ACTTAATTGAAAGTTAAATGAAATTTTGTAATTGTTGCCGAACTTAAATGAAAGCAAAATTTCTATTTCAACTTCATTACCGTCGAAGCCGAAGTCAACTTCGCCTTTCAGTAAATTTTGTAATCCGAATTTTAACGAATATTCGCCGGTTCTTAGTTGAAAAAAGATCTGATATTAAGATTGTCTAAACTTCAATCTTTGTTTATTAGTGGTTAATACTAAATTATCTCTAAGAAATTTTGTCAAAACAATATTTTAAATATAGAAGGTATGTTCAAAGATATCATTTAGATAATATTTGAGAAAAAAGGATATGAAGCTAAAGTAAAACTTGTTGTTTTTCTGAAGAAGTTTAAACAGGCCCGGCGGAAGGCGGGTACAACAAGTGATTTTCACCCAGGCGACTAAGGCGCCATATTTATGTTGAATATATATATATTTTTCTTGAGAGTATGAAAATATATAAATTATAGGAATAATTATATAAAAACTTGTATACTTATTTATATAAAAATTAGTAATATTTTAAATAAAAACCATAATTACTTAAAAAAAAAATTAAAATTTTTCATTAATTTATTTATTGTACAATGTTAAAAATGTTTCAGCCAATTAAAAAAAGATCATGTTTGAATATTTCCGCTAACCAATCATTGACATTGTCTAGTAAAGTTGTTTTTTCTTGCGGCGCAAAAACAAACCCATTAAAAAAAAAGAAAAGAATCATTGGATCGAAATTAATTTCTAAAGAAAAGCAAACATTTCTTTAGAAAATCGTTTGAGTTTTAAACAAGAAATTTTATAAAAGCGTTTTAAATTAAAAAAGCGTTTCTTTATAAATTAATTTAGAAATTAAGGCTTTATAAGTAGCTTTTCTTTTTGCGTAAAATACTTTTTCGTTCTAAAGTGTTTTAGCGCTCTTATTTAAGAGTTTCAATAATTTTTTTATTATGATATAAAGTTATCAAACTATTGCTATAAAATTATATATGATATTTATTGGTTTCTTTCAAAGAGAATAATGGAGAAAAGAAAACTTTCAGGTTGGGAATTTAAACAAAAACGCCTACGAAAAAAGGAACAATTGAAATCAAATCAAACATCTTAAGAAAATTTTTTATTAAAAACTCATCATGATAAAATGGCCAAAGAAAGTCCATAATTCATAATATAGCTGATTCTGGAAATGAAAGCAAATCAACTGAATCTACTAATTCAGTTGAAACTATTCAAACAAATGAAATATTGAATGAAACTGCGGCTACTTCAGAATACTTTGACGATATTAGCGATTGGCAGGAAAATTTAAACATTGATTTTATACAAGATGCTGCTATAAAAGGTCCTAACAGTTTTAAAAAAGGTTCTAATAACTATCCAAAAAATGTTGATAATTTGAGTTTTTCAAATCATTATTTTTACCGCGTCATGGATAATGGTGGAAAAAATCATAAAACGTGGTTAGTTTATTCACAAAAAGCAAAAAAAGTTTTTTGTTTTTGTTGTAAACTTTTTTTTTTTAATCCTGTTATATTGGCTCAAAATGGTGGTAATGATTGGCGCCATATTTCGCAAATCTTAAAAAGACACGAAAAAAGTCTTGATCATTTTAACTGCTACAGCAAGTGAGTGGATCTGAAAAACAGATTACAAAAAGGCACTTTAATTGATAAAATTTTGGATAAAAACTTAATTAAAGAAGTAAAACATTGGGACAACGTAATGAGAAGATTAATTTCTCTACCTATTATGATGGCAAAGCAAAATATGCCTCTCAGAGGCTCTTATGACAAAGTCTATCATGATAATAATGAAAACTTTTTTAAAATTTTAGAATTTTTGGCTGAATTTGATCCAGTTATGGAAAAACATTTGTTTAGAGCAAAAAAAAAACCAAGTTCTGTGCACTATTTGGCAAAAGATATTCAGAATGAAATCATTGACTTGATTGGCAAATCCATCACATTTAAAATTTGCTCAAATGTCCAAAAATCCGTGTATTTTTCAATTATTGTTGATTGTATACCAGATATCAGTCACCAGGAGCAAATATCAATGCTGGTACGATATTTTGATGTAGAGGATAAAACGAAGTTCACGTTAATGAAAGTTTTATGGGATTTCATTTAATTGAAGGTTCGACAGGACTAAATTTATCAAATGAGATTATTGACTCTCTGGTAAAAAATAACTTGTCGATGGAAAACATATGAGGTCAGAGCTATGACAATGGTGCAAACATGAAAGGCGTAAGAAATGGTGTACAGGCTTTTATTCTAAAAAAAAACAACCGAGCGGTTTATATTCCATGCTGCAATCACACATTAAATCTGGCAGTTGTTGATTCTGTGAGATGTTCACCTAAAATTGCTATGTTTTTCAATATAAGTGATCAAGTTTACAATTTTTTTTTCTGCTTCAACAAAAAGATGGTTAATTTTGCAATCAAAATGTCCATCTTTAACTGTGAAACCGTTAAGTGATACAAGATGGGAAAGCCACACCAATGCTGTAAAAACACTTCGATATGAACTACTGCCAAAAATTTATGAAGCACTGCAAGATGCGGCTAAGACCGCTAATGAAACAATTGCAAAAATCACAGCTGAGTCTATTGCTTTAAAAATAACAAGCTTCGATTTTTTGTGTTCAATCGTAATTTGGCATAAAGTTTTCGAAATTAATTTGACTAGCAAACAACTTCAAGCAGCTTCAACGAATATTTCAGAGGCTTTAAAAGCAATGGAAAGAACGATTAATTTTTTTAAGGAAAATTACAAACAGGAAAAATTTGACTCTGTTGTGTGTATTGCACAAGAACTTGCTTCTTTTTTAAAGGTAGAAGAAAGTTTTGCATCAGAATCTGCTTCAAGAGTAAGAAAAAGAAAGAGATTCTTTGATGAACCTGAACAAAACTGAAAATGGAAAAAAAGATGTTTCTGGCGAGGATTTAAGTTTTGAATTAATGTCTCTTTCTTTCTCATTTTACTGAAAATTTGGATCAAAAATGCTATAAAATATTTGTACGCAAATGGTTTGAATGAAATCTATGCAAATGTATCTATTCCATTGAGAATTCTTCTTACATTACCAATAACAGTAGCTAGCGCCGAGAAATCTTTTTCAAAATTAAAAATTATCAAAGATTATTTAAGATCGACAATGGGCCAGGACAGGTTGAACAACCTTGCAATGATTTCCTTTGAAAATAAAATTGCCGCTGATTTAAATATTGAAGATATCCGGTTGAAATTTTCGGAAAAGAAAGCTCGAAAAGTAATATTTTCGAAATAAATTACTTAATCAAAAGAGTTGTATTAAATTAAGTCAAAAATATAAACTTTGATTTATAAAGGCACCTAAATATTTTTTTCACCCACCTTCGGAATGTCTAGCGCCGGGCCTGAGTTTAACCATAATGTAATATGGTCCATATTTAAAAATTAAGAATTTTTAGTCACTATCTTGAGTTTTTTTCAAAGATATAATAGTTTGTATTTCATTTGAAGCAAAAATTTTACTTTAAAATTTTTATTTTAAAACCGGTTACTTTTTTTGTGGTAATTTAATGCTTTCAAATAATGATAATTTTTCTCTTTAAAAAAGGTTTGAAAAATAGACATAAATAAAATGTGTACTATAATACCTTTTTACAACGTTATATTGAATCATTGTAAATATCTATAACTTAATTTATATTATATAAATACAGGTCCGGATTAAGGGCCAACTGAGCCAGAGGCTGCATACCGTATGCAGCTTAAAAAGACATGCGTTAGGCCTACTCCAAATCTGGCCACATTACGGGATGAAACTGAAAAAAAGCCCACTCCAAATCTGCATGCAGATTTGGAGTAGGCCTACAGCCTATTATAACAAAACTTCAAAATTTATAGAAGTACTTTATAAGTGTACTTAAATTACTGAATACATTTTTTAGCAGTAATGTGACAGGAAAGAAATATATTTTTATATAATTATTATAATACAATGCAGCTAACATCGTTTTCAAAATATTTATTGAGTAATGTAGTTTTTAATGAAATAAAAAAGTAGTTAATAATTTAATTTTTAATGAGTTAAAAAATTGTAAAAGTTTAAACTAACAAATCTATGCAATAAATTGCAAATAATTCTTTAATGATACTGCAGCTCTTGTGAGTTTGACCGTTCGTTTATCTACTGAAATCTTAGACTACTAGACGTTATCTTTTCGATATTTTTTACAAGCAAGCTCTTTAATTACAGAATCTAAATCAAGCTGTTAAAGTAGTGTATTATCTATGCATAACAGCGCGCAGTTATGCATAAATAATACACTACTTTAACAGCTTGATTTAGATTCTCTAATTAAAGAACTTGCTTGTAAAAAGTATCGAAAAGGTAACGTCTAGTAGTCTAAGATTTCAGTAGTTAAACGAACGGTCAAAATAAATTTTAATAACGTTTGAAATAAATTTTAATAACGTTTAGTAAAATAAATTTTAATAACGTTTAAATGCCCTGTTGCTGCAGCGACAGGGCATTTAAACGTTGTCGGCTTATGGTTGATCTTAAATCGTTTTTAATGAGCTTAAGTTGAGAGAGCAAACATTCTTATCTGCAATTGCTTACCGTAAACAAAGATACATGCGTAGTACAATTGAAACAATTGGGAAAGCCACGACCTCATGCTTACCAATAAATATGAATCTACAAATTTCTACTTTCGCGCATACAATTTTTGTTTTCAGTTGACGTATCTTCGTTGTTAAACTGTTTGATTGAAGTAACAAATTGAACGATTTCATCTGATAATTGATGCTCAAGGTCTTTCTTGTATATTTCCACTAAACTAAGACAAAAAACCAAATCTATCATCGATAACATTTTATGCAGAGATTTTCTGATTCAAGGCTGATAATAGCTTGATAATAATTGGAAGAATTGTGTGTATGAGTTAGAATGATTTAAATGTTACTTGTTTGGTCGTTACCAAATTGTCAAGTATCACGATGAGCTATCTGATAAACAACCGGTGACTTGTGGAAAGCTTTAAAGCTCTATTATTGGTCCATTATTTTTTTAAATTTATTTTAATAACTTTAACGAATGTCTAAATCACTCCGATGACATTGAATTTGCAGACGATGTAGTAATACACTATGCCAATAATGATTTTAGTACCATCGAAAAACGTATGAATGAAAATTTAAACTCAATTTTAACATTTTTTGAAGAAAATGATTTAGTCTTAAACCTAAGTAGTGGTAAAACACAATCTGTGCTATTTGGTATGCCTAAGCGATTTTCAAAAGATTTCCAATAAATCTAGATTTGGTTTTCAACAACACAAAAAGACCATCAAATAACACTTATAAATATCTAGGAGTAATTATAGACAGCCACCTTAATTTAACCCAAAATTTCAATAACTCGTTTAAAAAGGCAGCTTCCCGTCTTTACTTGATGAAGAAAATGCGTCATCTGCTGCAATGGATGCAGCAAAAAATATTTATATCTCTATGATAATTCCAATAATAACATATTGTGGAATTGTAAGTTTAAAGAAAACTAGCAACCAAATAAATAAAATCATCAAATTAGAAGCTAGAGCTGTTGCAATAATTTCGAACACTCATATTATTAACGTAGTCACTGTTCCATCAATAGACGAAATTCTCAGAAAAAGAGCTTGCGTATTAGTATATAAACGTTTGCATGGGACCATGTGTTGCAACTTCAAAAACTATTTTACATTACAAAAACACTCAAAAACAAATACGCAATAACAATCTTTCTGTTTTTGTACATTCAAATTTTATCCAAAGATAAAACTTAAATGTACAAAAAAGTCATTTTCTTACGCAGGCGCTGTTTTTTACAATAATTTAACGAAAGAGGCAAAAAGTGCAAAAAACATGACTTTATTTAAATCACTTTTATAAAATTTGTTAATATTATTATATTTATATTTTATACTTTTAGTCACATATATTTTTTAATGTTATACTAATTTTTATTTTTATTCAGGACACATATTGATAGCAGTTTTTTTATATAACTGAAATGTATATCCTGTTAAAACATTCATTTAAATAAAAATAAAATAAAATAAAAAATAAAAAAAATATTTTAAACTTGCTCGAAGGCGTCATCTGGCAATCTGGCATCATCTGCTTCTGGATCACAATAGTCTCATTTTTTGTTTTTCTTAATTTGCCTTTATGCTCTCTCTGATACGCATCGTTTTGATACAGAATTTCACTGAATTGAGAACGAAGCTTATGAACAACCGTTTTTAAGGGTTTTTATATATAATATCCGTATTTGAATCTTGAAGACATTTGCTTGTTTTGTCAAATCTTTCTTTTTGACCATACTAATGGTCCAGCATTAGTCCTGTCTCTAACATTAGTCCTGCCTCTAACATTAGTCCTGTCTCTAACAAAATATAATGTATTCAGCTAAACTGTTTTCTTTGCGAATCCAAGCGTGCATACCATTTTATTTTCCTCTCGTATTTGATGCATTGTCATACGGTTGTTCTCTACAGTTTGTAATCATTATGCAATTCTCTTCTAAAAATGTAAGAAATATTTTTTCCAATCTCTTACTAGTATGCTCATATATTGGAATAAATTTTATAAACATTAAACTGGTCCGCTCGCTACTACATATCAAATTATCAATGTTAACTGGTCTGAATGTGAAACATCCGGATTTGAGTTTACCGAGACAGATTAGTATTTTGTATCTTTTATTTCTTCTATGACCTGCCTCATTAACTGATCACTTATAATTAAAATAAATCTGTCACAAATTGTTGATGAGAAATACGATAAGTGGCCTCTACCTTTGTTAACACATCATTGAATATGTTCTGTAAGAAATGGATCATACTCTGCAAGTAACTCCAAACATCCTAAATAATGGCCATTGTTAACAGATCCAATAATCTCGTTATTTCCACGAAAAGCAAGACCTCTCGACGACAATAATTTGATAACACTTAAAATCTGTTTGAGAAGTTGACGCCAATAGTTCCTTTCTGACATGTACTGTTCTACGAGACTTTTATCTATTTGCTTTCCAGTAGTTTATATAGAAATAACTTTTTAAATAATATTTATGTGCAAAGTACTGACTTCATGGCGACTTAAATCCCTGACTGCATTCTTCCAATTGTATTAACCACTAGTTACTAACGGTGATGTTTATTTGGCTTTTACAAGTAGCTAACAATTAGCACAAAATACCTTAGCAGTTTTTGGAGAATAACACAGCCAATCTCGATGAACTTTCTCACCGTTCAATTGTGCTCAAAAAAATAATGGTATTGAATAACTTCACTTAAACGCATCTCCTGAAAATATTTCTTCTGACGTGCTAAAATTGCTCTCAATGTGTTGACAACTTTAATTTTAATGTAACTTTCCACTTTCCTACATCATCAGGAATTTCTATACCTACATCTGCAAGTTTATCACATTGCATTTCCACTTTAACTTCTTCTACTAGACTTTCTACATGACCTGGTTCGTCTTAAATTTTCTTGTTCATGATTTCTATTTGTTGTTGAGTTATCTAATATCTCCACACCTATTGCTTGGTCATGATTGACAAGTTTCATGGTTCATGAGTTTGACAACTTTCAGTTGCAGTTGCGCTATTTGTACCAAGTTTAATATTCGATTCAGGCTCGGTAATATTTTTGGATTGACAGAATTCAGTAACCTTTTTAGTTATTGCCAGAAATATTTGGTATGTACTGTATCCTTCTTCTTTCATAAATTTAGTTTTCCCCCATCCGCTTTTATATTTTTCATGATTAATGACTTTTTGACGTTTTTTAAAATAAACATTTTTTCATTTACTAACTTATATATTTTGGAGTTTGTTTTTAGTAATTCAACATATCTCTGGTTTTGTGAAAATAATTCTACCAATGGTCCACCTGTCTGAGGTTATAATAAATAAAATCAAGAAAAGCTTGTAATTAAAACTTCAGAAATACATCATAACTTCACTTAAATAGAAGTAAAAGTGAATCAGCATTTTTATTTTATATGTGATTTTTTCTAGTTGTTACATTTGTTTACCCATATTTCGAATCTCCTTTTCATTTTAAAATAGTATAAACTGGAAATTGCCAGTCGGTTATTTGTAAACTACATTGAAAATGCTTGAAGAACATTTTCACTATGAGCATTCCATGAAAACGATATGGCATTAAAATATTTTTAACACGAAGTCTTTAATGACGAAGAAGCTCTTTTTCCGACTTTTATGTGTCTGGTTACTACCAAATTCCATATTATAGAACATATTGATGACACTTAAAATTGTACCTCTTTTCCTTCAAACGAAACCTTTACTCGCATTTTTTTATTGATTCTCATTGCAATATATTATGGTATAATGCCGTTGTAGATAAAATATAAGAACACGGAAACTCAAAGAAGATTGTAAGATCCTAACACCAAAAACCGTTTATCGATTCAATCGATTCAATAAATATATAACTTCAAAATATCTTAGAAATTCAAATATATCCATTCAAATATTTTCAAAGTATAATAATGTTTAGCAATACAATACAAATATAATCAAATATTTCAAATATAGAATAACGTTTAAAAATACAATAAAAATATAACCAAATATTTGAAATATTACATATAGGAAAAACTTATAAAAGAGAATCGAAATTAAAAGAACTTCAAAATTTAAAAAAAAAATTATGAAAAAAATTATGGCCTTGGCCTTTTAATTATTCAAAATTTGAAAAAAAATTATTCAAAAATTGAAAAAAAATTACGGCCTTGGCCTTGCTACTTTTTCATCAAAATTATGGCCTTGGCTTTGCTACTTTTGGCCTTGTTAACAACTCTGGCATAATAGAACATATATATTAAATTGACATGTGCATATAAAAAATATAACGCCTTAAAACCATACTATGATATAGAACTTATTGTTACGCATGCAATCATGCATACAAGCATGATATATTTGAAATTAACGATAATCTAATGTCTACTTAATACGCACTTTTTTTACGCAATATAATAACCTGCATTTAATTATGCATGTAAACTATATTTACAAGCCGTGCTGTTACAGTTATTCAAAATAAATATTCAAGTATACTTTGTGTATTAACCAAGTATAAAGATCTTAATAGAGGTTATAATAGTTAATTTTGATAAAAAAATATCACTTGTTATCATAATAATATTTAAACTTTTAAAAATTACTTCTATATTATCTCTTTTTTTCCAGTACTGCAATTGTGTAATCACCTTCAACAACTACTGCAATTGTGTAATCACCTTCAATAACTACTGCAATTGTGTAATCACTTTCAATAACTACTGCAATTGTGTAATCACCTTCAATAACTACTGCAATTGTGTAATCACCTTCAATAACTGGTGTACTACATTTGTACTACATTTATGGATAAATTCTCTCCTTGTTTCATTGATTTTTGTACTGAAAAAAAAAATTCACCAGTACAGTTTATGGTACATGGTCAAGGTGTTTTTGTGTTTCAATGTTTTAACTCAACAAATCTACGCATTATGAATGCTGATGAATCAAACGGAATACTTATCAAACTGACAACAGATAATGTTACCTGTATTCGTATTCCAGATAATGTTGCATTACCTGATCCAACGAATAATTCTTTTTTGTCATCAAATCAAGGTGTGTATTATTGGGTAAGTCTAGATTCTCAAGATGAGGTGTTGCGGGTTGGTTTAGGTGAACCTCGAATCAAGACTGCAGTTTATACATACAAATTTAAAAGTGATCAAACATTTCTTGGGCAACTTACTACAATCTATTTTGATGCAGATGTGATACCACTACGCTTACTCCGCGACCCAATAACAAAGACTATAGCTTTTCTTGTTCGAGACAGTGATGATTATACAATGGATGATATCGCATCGGGTTGTGTTATGCCACGGGCTAACCTTAATCTTGTAACACAAAGGCTTTATGAATGCATACGTGGTAAGAAATTTGTTTTGGATGACGACACATTTCCTGAATTTTCAGCTGCAATTGAGTCTAGCATTTCCAATCCATCCGGATGGTGCAATAAGCGTTTACAAGAAAAAAGCAGAGAATTTAATCCTGAAACTTCAATACCAGAAAATACATATCTGCGTATAACAATAGGTGGTTATAATGGTGAGGCGCCCGGAGTACCTTATGTTATGGAAATCTGGCCAGTGGGGCACTACAGTCCTATTCACAGCCATTCACAAGCAAATGCGATTATCCGAGTCTTGCATGGGTCTATTAATGTTGAGATGTACCCTTATTTATGTGCCTGCAAGAGCGGTGTTAAACCTTTTGCCGTTGTAAATTTAAAAAAAGATGATATTACATGGTTAAGCCCTACACTAAATCAAACTCATAAGTTATTAAATTTGCCTACAAACACTTCAATGTGTGTAACAATTCAATGTTATGCGTATGATTTAGATGATACGCAACACTACGGTTTTTTTGACTATATCGACATCAATGGCACTAAACAGCAATACACACCTGAAAGTGATATGGATTTCGTTGAGTTTAAGACCTTGATGAAGAAAGAATACAGCAAAAAATAAACACGATTCTATAAGTTTGTTTAAAAAGTAAACGTGAATTTCTTATTTAAATAAACAAACAATAATCAAAAGTTCACATGATATTAAATTTTTTTTAAATTTATAAAAAGTATTGTAAAAGTTGTGCTTCCATTTACAAAACTAATTACTTTTTATTTTTTTAAACTTTGTCTTTTAAAATTTATAATTTTTTGTTTTACGAAATATATTTTAATATTTTTTATATAAACAATATTTTTTAGTTTTGACAATAATTTCTGATAAATCCTTTATTATAATTGAAGTAATAATTTTTTATTTTCGAGTTACAATTTAAATTTTGAAAATATAATACTTTTTGCCTTCACATAAAAATATATCCATTGTAGGATCCAAGTACGATAGCAATGTATGCGCAAGCTTCCGACCAGATTGTCTGAAACGTATTTTTTGCTGAGTGAACCTATGATATGGCCTATAATATACCTTATGATATAACCTATGATATGGCCTAAAAACCTTTGAAATATTAAAGAATATTAATCTAAAGAATATTTAATTTTAGGAAAAAATATTTGTATTTTACACTCCTTTGAATAAGATTTGTAGGGGCGGATCCAGACCATCTAGTAAAGTCGCGGGGGGGGGGGGGCGGGGTGAGGGAAGATGATAAAGTATTTTTTTACAATCGTAGGCAAGGCCACAAGTCATAAAGCTTTTTAAGTTAATTTTTCTTTAAATATCTTAAACTGTTTTAATTTATGTAAGTAAGAAATGGCATTATATATTGGTTTCCCAAAAGTCCAGTTAAAAATTCACACTCAACAATTTTATTGAATTTTACATAAAGTTAAAGAAAAAGTTTAAACTTTTTTTGTTGAAATTCCATTTTTTATGAAGGACTGCAAATCAACTCGTTTCTCCGCGCAGCGGCCTTGTTCATCAAGGTTCGTGTTTCGGAGTTATAGAGTTGAGAGAGGGCTATAACCACAAATAAGTAGCCTCCTCATCTGTAGTGGCCTTCTTGGCCTTGAGGAGGTGAATTAAATTAAAAAAAAAAAAAAAATACCAAGTATAAATACTAAAAGGGGGCATCAATTTCCTCCTCTCCCTTTGTAGAGGGGACAAAAGGTGCAATCGCCCTTTTTGTATTAATAATGTTATTATTAATATTGTTATTATTATTGTTGTTATTGTTGTTATTATTATTATTATTATTATTATTTTATTATTCACCTTCTGTAAAATTTATTTACAAGGTATAAATACAAGCTAAGAAAAAAGAGAGACAAAAAAGTATCATTTAGGAATGTTTTCTTCAAGTGCGTTTATAAAAATGTTGGCTGTTGTTTTACATTTCAACATTGAACCGCCTGTACCAAAATATGAAGAGTAGCTTCAGGAATTGCATTCTCTGAGTCTCTAGGTTTTACTTTTTTTTAACCAGATTATTAATAGATTTATTTTGTTTTGGTGTATATAATTTGACACCTTAATTTTAAATAGAGAGTATTTAAAATTAAAGTGTCAAAGAATATCTCCTTATATAGTTTTTACTATATAAGGAGACATTAAAAAGCGATTTTACTGCGTTCCTTCCAAGGGTGTCGAGTCTTTTCATTGTTGACTCTATTTTCACAGAGCTCTAGACCGTGGGTTAGCTTCGGAATTGCTAATGATTTATTTAACTGGATAATAGACTGCACTTAGATGCGCAAACCGGATTCCATATTGAATCATATATTTTTTTGCACTGTTGTCTGGAAATTTAATACCCTACTGTCAATATTCATTCTATTAAGTGAAGCAAAAATTGATTTTTTTAAATCCCAATTAAAGCCGAGATGATTAAGTTTCTCATGAGATTTAATTTGATGAATGTTTTGGGATATTGTGCAGTTATTTGTCTTTTTATGGAGAGTAAAAATTTTGTTATGACGTCATTTAGCTTTATGCCGTTTAAATATTTGTACATTTTACACTTTGTAATAAGTTTTTTTAGGCCCAAAAAAGCAGAACTGATGTCATCAGCATAAGCTACAACACATTCAAGTTTCCATATATAGTTGTACCGACAATGTTACCATTTTTTATAGTTTCGAGTAGCTTTTCAGAGTGTGTTTTATATAGGTAGGATGACAAAATCGATCCTTGTCTCACTCCTTGCCCTACATCAAATGAGACTGATTTGGAACTTAAGTATGAGACAGTTCCACTGCCACTACGGTATGAAGAAGATATCGTGTTAACTATATGGAGAGGTAGATTTTTATCAAAATAAAGTTTATTAAAAAGAATATCCCAATTGCAGCTGTCAAAAGCTTTTTCAGCATCTAGTGAACATAAATAAATAGGCGAATAGTTGCGGTTATAATGCTTAATTATTTCGCTAACAACTAATTCAGCATAGAGGGTTGAGCCCTTATTATTAAAACCAAATTAAAGTTAATGAGTTTCTTTTATCTCCCGGCATATGAGTAAAATAAGGTGTTATAAAAGTTTAGTAAATATTGGAACAATGCTGATACCGCGGTAATTGTTAGGATCTTTGGATTTTGAAAGTGATTTTTTATAGAACTTAAATAGAAGCATAATAGCTGACGTTGACATTAGTGTAGGAGTCCATACGTGATTAATTGAAAAGTGAAATAATTTTCCTAACGATTTTATTTGTGCATCACAATGTTTTAAATGTTCTACAGAGATATTGTAATGAGCCTTGTATTTATTTGATTTTAAACAAGAAATATTCTCATCAGTAATTAATATCTCAACAGAATTTTCGCAAGGTGAAATTTGTGTATTAATTGAACAAATGTATGGCAAGTGTATGACAATGTTTAGCAATGTTTAGCAAGTTGTGATCTGAGAAAGCTTAGTCATTTCTACCAATATAATAAGAGCTACAAACTGTTTGTACTTTTGAAATTCTTGTTCTATTCTCAATAAGGGATTGCTGAAGTATTTTTTTTGAAGTATATTTCTGTGGCATAATAACTCAGCCATTGAAAATTGTTTACAACGTTTAGTGGCAGTTAAGTTATTCTACCTTTTAACCATTTAGATCGACACTAAATCATGTGCTAAACCAGCGCTAAATCAGGGCCAATTTCAGCCATGATGATAAATATCTAAAACAAGTTTTAAAGAACATTTTATCAGCAAAAAAATTTATTACAAGTTCAACTGGATTTTCAAGAAAATATTAGAATTAGTCAATTTTATAATTAGTTTGGTACAAAAAAGTTACAAACATCTAAAACAACAAATGATACAAAGAATTTTTTTTTTCTATGGCAAAAACTGTATCCCTGGCGATACTGTTGAATTTCATAATACAGCTTTAGTACATCCAAAAAGACACTAGTTTAAAAAATATACAAAGTTCAAAATATTTCACAATGTTGGACATTTATCATTATCATAGAAATAGAAGAACCAGAATATTTTAATGAGATTTTTTACAACGTTTTTTTTTCAGGAGGTGGGGGGGGGGGGTAAAACTTTTGACAAAGAACTAAAATTAAATAAACATTAAAATACTGCTAAGTATGTTAACTAACAGATGTTAAGTTTTTACTTTCATTTACATGAAATTGTTAAAGCATCTTTGACAATGTAAATAATCTTTGTGAAACTTACTATTATTTACGACTGACATTGTAAATGTTGTATTTTAAGAATTTTGGATTTAGTTAAGTAACGTATGTGTTGTATTATGAAAAAAATTTTTTTAAATTTCATGTTTAAAATATTTTTAATGCGTATGAATTAATCTAAAAGTTTTTTAATGTTAAATAAGTATCTTATTTGTTGTTGTTGACCCTTCCGCTATTCTCATAAAACTTTACGTGAACCTATCAGAGAGTTCAATGTATATGTAATGTACATTCTTGAGTTCAATGTATATGTAATGTTCATAGTATTTTATCAATTGTTAATATAAGATTAGGAGCCCTTTTCGACTAAACTATAGTTGATAAAATTCGCTTTTAACTCGTGCCAAAGACATATTCTAGTTACAATATAGTTTAAAGTTATCTTATTAAAATAATGTAGCATCATTAATAAAATAAATTTAAATGAACAAAATTGACTGGCTAAAGGTTTCTCGTCATTGGACCAAGTAAAACTAGAAATCAACCGGTGTATACCAACCGAATGATGTTCATATAACTCAAGATAATGGTAAAAAAAAAAAAAAAAAAAAAAAAAAAACATTTTGTGTTGCATGGTTTAAAAAAAAATAGTTACTTGCATAAAAGGAAACAAAAAAGCTTATGGAATGCTTTAATAGAGTTATAAACAATGAAGGATGGACGATACAACCGTGTGGCTATCTGTTGGCTTCAAAAAACGTTTGGAAGATTTAAAGTTCAACTTTTTCTCATCCTTTTTTTATTCAATTTGTAAATTGTGTAGTTTTTTAAATTGTGTAATTTTTAAAATATTGATGTCCTTCACAATATATTGCAATCAATTAACAGCAACACTTTTAAAATCAAGGAACCTTTTGAAAAGTTTGAGTTATCCATAAATTTTATACGAAATAGCATTACTATTAATGTTCCTGGATCGATTTTTAAAGATTGCAAGGAAATACCTGAAAATCGAATGAAACGAAACACGTCACAAAATTGATTGAGGTTTATTATTATTATTATTATTTTTTCACCGTTTTAAGAAGTTGGTAAAACTTGACACTTTTTTTTTTTTGTATTATACAAAGGTTTAAATCAAACACTTTTTTCAAAAGTTTTATAACAGCATTTTTTTGTAAAAAATTAATAATATAAAGTACTCAAAAAAATAAAAAGATATTTTTTTAAAATTCTTTGCTTTTATCACAATCTAATAAAAAATAACTTTTTTTTATTTATTTGGAGCCTCAAATAAAAGTTGGAATAAAAACAAAAAAAATAAAAAAAACAATAACTATAAAGATAAAAATTAACAAAATTTTTTCAAATAACTACCATGTACATATTTATAATAAACAGTATTTGCATTCATCATAGTAATGCATTTATATGGCATGCGCAATTTGTAGAATAAAATAAGAAAATACTAGTGTTTTAAAAATTACGTCACCTATGACAACATCGTGATTTTCTGCACATTTTTTCGTTGACGTTTAACAATATCTTCGATTTTTTCTGAATGACGCTACCTTCAAAAAGCTTGTATTTTTCTTAATTTTATCACCTGCAGCAGCAAATTTTATTAATTACTTGCATTTTTTTATCAGTCAAGTCTAATAAGTCACTTCCAGCAACAATGTTCGCTTTTTCTCAACTTTTTTTGTCATTTATCAATAAGCTTATTTTGTTCTATAACCATAGATTTTCATGAAAAAATGTTGTTGTCATCTATTCTAAACCAATAAAAAAAATAACAAGCTTTTGCAAGCTTTTCGCATTTTGTTTTATTGGTAACTTAAGCAGCTCTGCAACAGCAGTAGTTTGGACCACATCCTCCAATCGTACACGAATAGTGCCTATATATAGCGAGGCCTAACTTATGTGAATCAGTATAGTCTTCATAATTATCTGCCAAAGATGGTTGTCTTTTGTAAACATGCAAAGATTCCGAGCAGGCCCATATAAGACTTTGAACTTCTTTCGGACCTAGATGGAAACGTGCGTGAAAATAACATCATGCATGAAATTTTTGAGTGAAAACAAATGAGTTTTATTTTGAAACTAAAAAAATACATATAAAAAATTTTAAGATTTTATTTTGATGTCAAATACTACGATATACATAGTTGGTTTTTTATTTAAAGAATCTACTTTTAACATAAAATTTGCAAATATCTTAACTAAAAACAAATCTTGATTTTAATTAATCCAACATAGTTATTTTGATTAGTTGTTTTTATTGCAAAACAATGACGTCATAAATGAAGAAAAAAAAATTGAAAAAATATTTAAATAGATAAATTTCCTGTTGCCTATTTTTCAATACTGTCAATTATAAAAGTAAAAACAAAACAAAAAATATTTAAACAACCAAAAAAAAACCTAGATTATAGTCGTATATTATAGTCGTATATTATAAAATTGCACCGTTTTTAGTTTTAAATAATTCTGGAGAATGGTGACAGTTGATGTCTATTAGATCTGTTTTTCTATTAATTTTGCTTTGAAAAAGCTATCCTTATATAATTTAATAGCTTTATTAAATTTTATAGACAATATCATGATTTTAGGCGGCTCGACAACAGCAATAATTAGGACCGCATCCACCAATTGTACACGAATAATGCCTATATATTGCAAGTCCTAACTTATGGGAATCGGTGTAATCTTCAAAATTGTCTGCCAATGCAGGTTGTCTTTTGTAAACATGGAGCGATTCAGCACACGCCCACTGAAGGTTTTGTACTTCTTTTGGTCCTGTTTGTAAAATTTTATACAATATAATCTGGTAAATCTAAATTTAAAATCCTTACTCTTTCTTGATACAAAAAATTAATATATAAAAAAAACCTAATTATTAAGTTGATACATTATTTGCAATAAAGATCCTACAATTTTTGAAAGTGCTGTTGCCCAAGTCCGAAGTTTTTTATAACGGAAAACGTTTTCAAACAAAACCGAAGCAGTAACGAACAATATATTATCTTATTGTTGAAAAAATTTATAAGCATTTAAATACCTTGCTTTCTAAGCTTTGGATCTGTACATATATCTTTACAAGTTGATTTTTCTCCGCAAGTTCTTCTTACGGCATATAAAAGACCTGGGCCTTCACTAGGAATTGATGCACATATAGACATAGCGATTTCATCTAGATAATTGTAAAAATAAGATCGAAATCCTCGTCTATCTCGCCTTAGTATTTTCTCTTTGTTGTCTGGTTCAGCAACTGTGGACCGTTTATCTGAAAACAGTTGAGAAATAGGGAGGTCGGCCTGGTCCAAACCTAAAAAAACATGCATAATTCAGAGTTTGTTTTTCTTCTAAAATGTTATCTTTAAATAAATGTGATACAATTGTTTATCTTTAAACATAGGGGAAAGCGGGGCAACATGGCGAATGGGGCAAGATGGGTTTTCATATAACAACTCAACAAAAAATCTTAAAATTTGGTGAAAACAAAACTGTATTTGCGTCTTATATTTTAAAACACCAATTGGTTTTTTGAAATATTATTAACGCAATTTTATACGCATAAGTTTACTTTTTGCGCTTAAAAAAAATTCCTCACTTTCGATTTCTCATAATGGATGGTGTCCTTCAAGGTTAACTTCTTTAGAAGTAGTTTTTTGCAATTTGTATATATATTTTGTTATTTTAGTTTAAGTTATTGGTAGTTTTAAAATTTTTATAAAATTGGAGGTAGAAATTGCATAATAAGTCATCTTGCCCCGGTCACGTGACGAGATGACAAATTTATGAACTTTTTATTTTAATATTTATTTCAAATTGTTAGATTTGTTAAGTAAAATTTCATGGAGGCAATCAATCATTTTAATAACATAAACATACTGAGAAAGTATTAATGCTTCACGACTGATAGTTTTGCAATAACTTAGGCCTTTCAAAACATTCGCCGTGTTGCCCCGCTTTCCCCTATGTAAAATATTTATTAAAAAATTAGAAATTACGTTATAATGCTATTATATAAATTAGAAATTACGTTATAATGCTAGTATATAATGCTATTCTTTTTTTTTTTTTTTTTTTTTATTTTAATTCACCTTCTCAAGGCCGAGAAGGCCACTACAGATGAGGAGGCTACTTATTTGTGGTTATAACCCTCTCTCAACTCTATAACTCCGAAACACGAACCTTGACAAGCAAGGCCGCTGCGCGGAGAAACGAGTTGGCGGCCTTGCTCATGACTGGCGCGAGTAGGTATCAAGTATGTGTATGGAGATGAGGAAGAGAGGAGTGGGTGGGAGGGGGTGTCTTCCTTGTTTTGTCGACTAAAAAAGAAAAAGGTCCTCAAATTCTCCACTTTTTCGAATAGTGATAAATAATGTACAATTTATCGCTATTTGGAGGTAAAACGTAGACTATTTATATTCAACTTACTGTATTTAAAAGTATTTATTTTACTTACTGTATTTAAAAAAAGGTTCCAGTTTGACAACTAATTACATTCAACTTACTGTATTTAAAAAGTATTTATTTTACTTACTGTATTTAAAAAAAGGTTCCAGTTTGATAACTAAAGGTACAAATAGGCTCCAATTTGCCTACTAATGGTGTAAATATTCATTAAATGGGATGGGGGGGCAGGAGTTTCACGCCCATCTTCGCGCTGGCCTTGATGTATAGTCCTTATGCTAAACAAATTTTCTATAAATGTAAACATAAAACGTACAAATAAAACCACACAATATTAATTTCAAAAAAACCTTTAAATTTAAAAAATTTATTGAAATTAATTTTGTATGATATGCTTTAAAATTCAATGTACAATCATAGGTGTTCACAGGTGGACTTTATTTTATCTTCGACTTTGTGTATTTAAAGCGTAAAGCATGTCATGGGTTGTTGAAAATTTTAGGTCTTTAGCTTTTTAGCTACAACAAATGTTTTGTTCAAAAGACGTTCTGTACGTCTTTTAAACGTTTAAAAGGCGTCTTTTTTGACCCAAATGTCGGCTGGGGACTTGTGAGATATTTTAAATACAATGCTACAAGTTTAATTTAATCCTAATAAAAAAGCATTGCAAGAAAAGAAACAGAAAAAGGAACAACAAAAACACAAAAGCTGAATAAACAACCTAATATCTGAGCGCTGATGAGGAAATGAAGTCGTTTGACTGTTAAAACTGTTAATTTAATTTTCATTACATTAAATTTTTGAATCATTTACTAGATATAATTGTGAGCATCCGCCTAACTACAATAAACCAAGTCCTGAAAAAAAATAAAACCCAGCTTCAAAAAAAAATTCAACTCAGTCCTAAAAACTTTATTCAGCCGTGGCAAAAATGTAAAAAATTAATTCTGACAATTACGAGCGCATAATTTTACATACAAGTTTAGTGAGAGTAACATAAAAATGTTAAGAAATGACAAACAGTTAAACACAAAGTTTATTTGCTTATACCGTTAGTTTTTGTTTTTCTGTATCCGTAATATTTCCTGTAGTTTAAGTTAATCCCTACGACAGTTCTAATTAGTAATCAGTAATCTTCAATGATTTTGATTTTAGTTTAATTGAATCATTCAAAAAGTTTAACATTAATATCTGATAATTGGTGGTAGATAATAAAGAAAAAATAGTTCAGTGACAATGAAATAAAAGAAAATAAAATCCAGTGATATTGAAAGGGGGAAAATGAAATATCTATACTGACAATAGAAGATTAGATCATAAAATAAAAAATGAGAAAAAAATTATAAATAGAAAGAGCTACATTTAGGTTGAAATTTGGAAAGAGTTACAGTTTTGATACAAATTTATCAGCCTTAAAACTTTACCTTCAAAGAAACGGTAAAAAAAGGGTTTACAATTGTAGCATATAAATTGCGTATATTTGACTCTATAATGTTGAATGGATTGTTTAGAGTTTAGAATTTTTTTTTTTATACTTTTTGGTTGCACTAATCATAAGTGAAGGAATGTGAGAGACAGTGCCGCCGAGAGGAGGGGGGTTGCGAATTGTGGGAATGTGAGAGGATTATAGTTACATTTAAGTTTTCTTTTATGTGTAAACAAATATTTCTAAAATGTTTTACTGTCTTGAGAAATTTATTTTTAACTTGGAAATTAAAGAGTTTTATAACTTTTGTTTTTGGTTTGTTATCTTGTGTTGACCGATACGTTGATTTTAAAACAATTTGAAACAAACAGATGGTTATTAAAATAATTGTCTTGATATCATCTGCGTACATAATGCTTATAAGGGTAGGCGCTTTATTAAGATCATTTATATATATGAATGTAAGGGTCCAAGGATTGAACCCTGAGAAACACCGCAGATGATATCAAGACAATTGTTTTAATAACCGTCGTTGCTAATTACAAATTGTTTTCTCTTTGTTTAATAGCTTCTAAACCATTTTAAAGTTTTTAATTTCATGTTTTAGTTTTTGAAGTAAAATGTGATAATCTACTGTGTCATTATTTGTTATAACTAATAATTATCATATTGATAATTATTAGTCATAACAAATGATTATCAGTAATCTTTTTGCTAAACATAAAGTGTATTAAGTATAGCATAAAAAATAAGTTTTTAATACTTTTTTTATTTTTCTTGTTTGTTAAGGTACTCCGAAAAGACTAAGAGTTTTATCACAGAGGTTTAGACCTAAGAAAAGATTTAATAATTTTTACTAGTTCCTAAATCTTCTTATCGTTTTTATTTCGCTTAATTAGTATAATTAAGTCATTTTAAAACTTTAATATTTGAACACTTTAGGAGGGATAAAAACTACCAATTACTTAAACACCTTCATTCAAATGAAACACGCTTTTCTAAATTTAGTAATGAATGCTTTTCAATTCTAGATGAAGTTGTTAATAATAGGTGATGATAGGCCTATTCCTTTTTTTTTAGTTTTGTTCGGCAACCCAATGACGCAATTCTTCGGCAACCATTGGCAACATGTTTGAAATTTAAAAAATGTAAATCTTTTTAAAATTTTTGTCTTTAGAAAAATAAGTCAGATTAATACTTTTTAAATACAAAAAGGTTCAACTTTGAAAAAATTAATCTCATTGCAAATGGATTGATTTTTTTAAAGTTGACTAAAGCAAAAATACATTTCTTATAAAAAATTTTTAATGTTTTAAAAACGCTCATTGCGATTTTTTTAAAGTTGAATCTTTTTATATTTAAAAAATATTTATTTGTTTGATTTTTTTAAAGACAAAAACTTTAAAAAGATTACCATTTTTTAAATTTCAAACATTTAAAAAAATTTTCAAATTCCATTGGCATTTCTACAATTTCTAATGGTTGTCAACGAATTACGTCATTGGGTTGCCGAACAAAACTCAAAAAAAAATGAATAATCCTATCATTAAAACATTAAAATTAAAAAAAAGTTAATTTTAAGGTCCCTTTTAGCAACAACTAGAAAAATAATTTGTCGAATAGTAGAATTTGTTATGATTTGTTAAAAAGTAGAATTAGAAGCCAAACAAGAGACTGCACCTCTATTTGTAAACCAAATAAATTAAATTTTTTACTTATTAATAAATTCATTTAACAAGCCATGTTCCAGCAAAAAAACCTTGCTTTTTGCAAAAAAAGTTAGAGACCGTATGCCTATGTGTCAGAAATACAAGAACTAGTAAGCGAAAGATTAGCAGAATGTAATTAGCAAAGAATTATTAATCAAACAATTTGGTTGTAGTTCTGCAAGCCAAAGACATCCGTCTTGCAAACATTACAACCCCCAGTATTTGCTTTGGTCTGTAAAACATAGCCCTACAAACATAATATTGGATGCCATTACAGTTAATCAAGGTGGTAACTTATGGTTTATGTTTCCTAACTCCACAATAAATAACCACGTTATCTTGGAATAATTAAAGAACTTAAAATACTTATAAACATCATGAATACTTATAAATTTCAGCTTAATAGAGCAACCGGTCACATGGCAAAGCTTTTAAGAAATTAATTAAGTTAGAATGAGGTAGAATTTAATGGGCCCTGACCTGGAAATTCTTTTGACCTCAATCACAATCCCATTGAAAATTGCTGAAATTATCTTTAAAATCAAGTCCAGAAACTGAGACCCTTCTTCTTACTAGTTTCAGGGTTGTTAAAGCGAAAAAGTTACTGGTTTCTATCAACATTGAAAAACTTTTAGATAAAAGTTTAATAAAAACGATTTTAATATAAATTTGAATTAATTTAAAGTAGTACAAATAAAAAATTAAAATTGCTAATAAATTATTAATTTAAATTTTTAATAAACAATTTAAATTAATAATTTACAATAATAAAAACCAAGCTGTATTGTTAAAAAAAAAAAAAAGAAAAAAAAAGAAGTTCGCTTGAACTTCTTTTCGTTTCTTAAACGACCTTACTTTTCGCTTAAACGACCCGCTAACAAGTGAAAATATTAATACTAAAATACTAAGCGTTGTTAGCATGTAAAATATGGCTTATCACAAGAAAGTTTTATGAAATTCCGATTGGTGCAAACTATTCATATTTTGCTTTAAAACTTTGTGCATATAGAAAATATGCATATAAAAAAATACTTATTCATTGGCTTTAACGTACAAACTATTGATATTGATTTCATAAATTTTAAATTAAGTGACTATAGAGATGATTTTATATATTTAAAAAGTATAAAGTAAGGCATAAATTAAACAATATTATTTCTAAATTTTAAAATATCCTCAACCCTCAACAATAAGTGCATCGGAAGATCACGAGTCCTTTTGGTGCTTCTTATGACAAACTTTAAAAAATTAAACTATAAAAAAAATTTAAGAATTAAAATTTTTTTTTTATGTAATTAATATATATTTTTAGACTGTTTACTGCAATCGATCCTATTTTTGATTACGACTTTTTTAAGATCCTAGTTAATTATCCTCCCCAATAATAAATGTTCTATCATAAGAAAAAACACCACCCAAATAATCCGTAAACTTCAAATTGATAATTTCTTTCTTAGTTTTTTCCCTGATTATAAGCTAACATGATTCTAATTATGTATATTGCAATCTGTTAATATTACTAACAGATAACTTCATAGCTGTAATGTGCATATTTAACACAAACAGAAGACTGTTTAATAGGAATCCTGCGCACCGCTTGGTTTTGTTTTAATGTAAAAGACCTGTGTTTTATTTTATTTAAAAAAAAAAACATATTTAAAATTTGTTTACCATGGCTGTTCTCCTCCTTTACCTCAACGGCATACACAACAACCAAAAAAAATAATAATACTTTCCAATCCATTTAAAAATACTTAAAAGTTGAGTCAGTGCGCTAAGCAAAATTTCCAAACGAAAATGCATAAAATGTTAAATTCACGCATGAGAAAGTGCGCAATGAATCTAAGTCATGTCATTTGGTTGATGATATATGTTCAGCATTAAAATAAAACTTGGCGTTTTTTTTAATAGTGTGCGCAAAGCAAAACATTTAGTATCTTTTTGAAATCTAGAGTTTTTTTCCTGACATTATAATGATGCTATCTATATAATTTAAGAATTTGTTTGTTTTTATTTTAAGTTATAAAAAGATTTAATTCAAACTTTTTATCATTCTAAATTTTATGTTACTTAAAAATTGAGAAAAAAATAAAATATAAAATAATCTTTACTTTGGCATAAAAATCTGAGAAGTGTTGAATTTTAGGCATATATATTGATAGATAGATAAGTATGCCGTAGATAAGTGGGGCTTGGGAGCGCAATCCCCCCCCCTACTACACCCCACCCACTTTAACACATTTGATGCACATTTAAATTAAATATATTTATAAACAATTTTTATAATAAAAATATAAAAGGCCGCAAGTATTTGTAAAGTCTCAACTTCTACGCTACCGTATTAAAGAACTCATCGCTTAAAACTTATTACAAAATTGAATTGACTCATTACGACTTAGTTATACAATACAAATTTGTTTCGTTTACATGAATTATATATATGATGCAATTTTTTCAAAATATATTATGGATTTTTTCAAATTAAATCAAACTATCTCTGTTTTAGTTTTTATTATTGTTATTTTTTAAACATCTTAGTTAACATTTGTTAGTTTTTTTTTCTAATATAATGAGAATAGATAAAAATTAATGCAATTTATAAAATAAGCAAATACTACTAATATTTCAAAAACTAGTAATCTGAAAGAAGATCAGTAAGATCTTATAGTCAGAACCTTATACTAGTGTAAACAAATTAATAGGTTATAAAGTAACTATAAACACAACATAATAAAATAATACATACACATATCATTTTGTAGTATAGGTAATAAAGTTTAATAAATATTTCCATAATATAAATATTATTGTCAAATTTTGATAATATGGTAGAGTAAAAGACTTTTTAGCTTAATTTTGAAAAGATGCAAACAAGTAGGTAGATCAAAAATAATTTTAGGCAAGAGATTTTTATTCCAAATTTGGGGTGCACGATAACTGGTTAAAATATGTTTGATAAACGGGCTTATATGAAAGGTTGGTGTTTCTGGAAGTTTATTTATTTATTTTTAACTTTTTTTTCATTTTATTTAGGTGCCCCCAGAAGTCCTTACGGTCTTATCACAGAGCACCGCGGAAGAGCATTTAATAGGAAGTTCAGGTTTCAAGGTAAATCGATCATTAAAAACGTCATAAGAAAGATTACTTTTACATATATATATATATATATATATATATATATATATATATATATATATATATATATATATATATATATATATATATATATATATATATATATATATATATATATATATATAAAGCATAAAATATAAAAAATATTGAATTTGTAAATATTAAGTATTCTCGTTTCAGAAAAAAGTTACTTAGAGTGAGAAAAAAATTCAGCAAAAATAATTAAACGTTTTGCATGTTTCTAAAGTCTGTATATTCATATAGCTATGAATGAATGCATAACAAAGTTGGGATAAAACTTTTAAAAAATATAGATTCTGGCCTTGTAAAGAATTCCATTATTTCTGCAAACTTTAGTACCAACATAATCAATATATTGCTTCCATGTGATGTTCTCATACAAGAATTTGTGACGCAATCTCTTTTTATTTCAAGTAGGTCAATAACAATATCAGGTAGAGCTGGGGGCGAATAATGTTTTTTAATTATCAAATGAAAAAAATCCGTTTTGTCTTGTTAATATTAAGGGTAAGTTTATTGTATTTTTGAGTTTTTCATTCATAAAAAAGAGTATTAAAAGTTTATTTATATTGTTATTAGATAAAAATAATTTAGCATCATCCACAAACTTAATACTTAAAAGGTTAGAGGCTTTATGCAAATCATTAATGTAGATTAAAAAAAGATTTCCGCAAGCATCAATTTTGAGTGGCCTCAAAATTGATCCTTACGTATATATATATATATATATATATATATATATATATATATATATATATATATATATATATATATATATATATATATATATATATATATATATATATATATATATATATATATATATATATATATATATATATATATATATATATATATATATATATATATATATATATATATATATATATATATATATATATATATATATATATATATATATAAAGAACCGTTAAAAGTAACTGAATGGTTTAATACAAATAAATTGTCATTAAACTTAATCAAAACTAAGTAGATTTTTTTTCATCGTCTTTATCAAAGAGACGAAATTCTCCCAAATGTTAGCATTGAGATCAATTTATAAAAAGAAAACACTCAATGAAGTTTCTAGGAGTTCTTCTTGAAGAAAATGTGGATAAACCACATAAAATTATTCGAAAATAAAGTTTCTAAAAATATTGGCATACTTTATAAGGTAAAACCTTATCTAAATCAAATTTGCTTAAAATATATCTACTTCACTTTTATTCATTGTTATCTCAATTATGCTAATATTGCTTGGTGCAGCACCAATAAAAAAAACTAAACAAACTATTCAAAAAACAAAAACATTTTTTATTTTCTTATTATGAAAATCTAAAAAATTTTCCTTAAAATTTTAAATTTCATTATATTTTCTAATTAGGAATTCTTAATCGCAATAATTAAAAACTGTTATATATTTTATTATTAGTATTTCAATTTATTTGCATTTAAACAAAAATACAAAAAGGTGATACAGATAATTGGAGAATTACTCTTATGTAACACCAAGTTTAAAACAGTAAACAGTGTCTCTAAATATTGTATTTTTTTAAATTCGATTTAAATAGAGACAATGAAGAGGAATACACCAAATAATCAGGTAAAGAATTCCATATCTTAGTAACTCTTTTACTGAAAAAAAAATCTCCTTATACCATTAATGTAGTTGTTACGAGATGTTAATTTTTGGGAATGACATCTAGTTGAATAATGAGTAGGAGCGAGAGTGAAAAACTCAGAAAAAGGCAAATTAACTAAGTTGTGCATAATCTTATAAGTCATTAAAAGATCAAATTTTATTCTCCGGCATTCAAGAGAGTCAAGATTGAAGACATCAAGTCTTGAAGCATAACCTTTATATGGAATACAACACCGTTTGCAGACAATTCTTGTATAATGTTTCTGGACCTTTTCGAATTGGTCAAATATAAACTTTACAGGCTCTTATCAAAAGTTGGGAATCATTACTGATGAAAGACTTTAAGAGTAAGTAAGCACAAGAACTGGCTTTGCTAGCAATTTGAGAACAGTGTTTAGAAAATTTCATATCAGAAGAAATAAATATCCCAATATCTTGGATAAAATCAATTGATTCGATAGACGTGTCGATATCCAATAAGTATGAATGTTCTGGTAATAGATTCTCTCCGTATCGCAGGTGAAAACACTTTTTGGTAGATATATTGAGTTGACAATTATTTGACCATTCTGAAATTCTCTTTAAAGTATTTACAAGGTTAATATTATTTCCGTCTTTTCTCGCTTGATACAACTTGCTGTCGTCTGCAAAAAGCTTGATATAGTTTTGAAAATTTTTTTTGTTTGTTTATTTTTTATTTTATATATATATATATATATATATATATATATATATATATATATATATATATATATATATATATATATATATATATATATATATATATATAATATAAAATAAAAAATAAACAATTTTTATATATATATATATAAATTAGTAGAAAATCACTTAACAAAATTTTTTTTCATTTTACACTGTGTTTTATCAATAAAGACTCATCTGAGTCTTTATTGATGAAACACAGTGTAAAATAAAAAAAAAAATGTTAAGTGGTTTTGTACTAATTTATAATTGCTCTGTTTTTTTAAGAACATTGAGCACTCTATTTTGTAGAATACATTTTTAAAATTGTTTAAACACACACACACAGATATATATATATATATATATATATATATATATATATATATATATATATATATATATATATATATATATATATATATATATATATATATATATATATATATATATATATATATATATATATATATATATATATATATATATATATATATATATATATATATATATATATATATATATATATATATATATATATATATAAATTTAAATTTGAAGAACTAACAGAAAAACTCACTGCAAACAAAATAACACTAAAACTAGTACCAAACAAATACATGTTTACCAAAAATTACCGGCCAAAAATTTTTAAATTTTTTTAAAAATTTACCCTTAATTCACACATGCGCAATAAAAAATATTTTGTGTTTAGAAGTTATCGTTGGTGCTACAATTTCCTTATATCATCCCAACGTTAAACTTCTAACCATGATATTTTTCAAGCATTACAGTTGAATTCAAACGTGTAAAGTATTCATTAAAAAATCTCTTGAATAGTTATGGTGAAATCAGGATTTATATATTGGTACAAAAGAAAAACTGGAAATTAAAATAAGATCACTAGTGGTTTATCAAGATTTATACAGTAAATGTTTCATTTAAAAATGCTGAAGAATATTACAAAATAAATCTTTTTTACTTTATGCATTCAGTTTTTTTGTGGTACGGAATGTCGTTTTAGTGCTCATTAAATGACATCAATTAACATTTTAACCCTAATCCCTAGTCCCTGCGCATTTACTAAAAATGTAAAAAAGTCCTTCACTCAAAGTGCAACTACTATTTATTATGAGGAATCAGGTGATCTAAAAATTCTCAACATAAGAGCAAATATAAAGAACAATTTTTGGCTCATCAGCTTTTTTTCCGATTGATCTTATAAAATCATAAATTGTTGCTTTATTTACAGTACATTTCCCGTTATTCGAACCTTCAAGAGACCAAAGAAAACGATTTGACTAAACCAGCGGTTCCCAAACTGTGGATTGCAACCCTAGTGGGGGTCGTCTGAAAATTTGCCTGGGGTCGCCATTTTAACTTTTGAAAATAATTTGTTTTCGCCATATTGACATCTTGGCAATTTTAAACGAATGGATTTTTATCGTTCCAAGGCTAAATGCAACGTCTAAATGTCAAGATTTGTCAGAAAAGTCCGAGCATTCCAATTGAATCTTCAACTTTGAAAAACAAAATTGAATGAAAACAACTTTTACATGCTGTCAGTGGCGGACTGGCTGTATATATATTACCGGCCATGAAAATAATTAAAGGGCCCTCCCGGCCATACATATATCGCAAAGACTGTCCGGTCTGCAACTCTCTAAAAATAAGTCTTAAGAGGAGCAATTAAACTACAGATTAATAAAATTATATTGAATTAAAAAAGTAGAAGTGATGTGCAATTTGCACAGTGCAAAGTATAGCAATAACTATTCTTTAAACAGTTTGCTCAATTCAGAGGACGAAGATGCATATCTTTGAATGATCGTATCATACTCAAGGCTATCAAGTAGATTTTTTTCTACAGACATCAACATATACGACTCTAAATGGTCATTTGACATGGAATTACGCAATCTTGTCTTGATTAACTTTAACTTAGAAAACGATCTTTTACATTCGGCTTGTGTTACAGAAATAGTACATATTATTTTATAAATATGATACAAATTGTCATAGGTTTTGTCGTTGAGTCTATATGCAGCAAGAATTCGTAACACACAAGATGGACACGATCCGCATGCTCCATTTGTATGCTGATAACAGAGCGGTTCTTCTATGTCATCCTTTTGATATGCATTCTCTCTCAATGTTGTTGTTAAGGGCAAGGACAATTTCAAAATCTCATAGTTAGTGACAAATGATAACAATTCGGCCTTTATTTTATCAACGTCGGGATTGGTAAAAATTTGATAATGCTGTGTAAACTGTTTTCAGGAATTCCCGAAATGACAAGGTCACCAAAGTTTGATGTATCAAAACATGCCATGTCCATATATAATTGTCTATGTGAAGTGAAACGTGACTCAAGAATTTGGACTACCTGATCCATCACCACATTGTAAGTGTGAATTTTGTAGTGTTCCAAAGCTTTAGATTCGTCACGTTCGCCTACTGTATGTTCATCTAACATTGTCGGTGTCTTCCGCTTTGGGGTTTAACCCTGCTCAGTAGCATTTAAAACATAGCGAACTACAATGCTGAATTGGTCAATTGCAGATATATCTTGTGTAAAATCAACTTGTACGGATTACACTTTTGCTTTGGATACTTCCATTGCAATCTGTTCCTGCATCATATTTTTCATAATATTGAGAAGCTTTGATATAGTAGTCTTACTTAAAAACGTAACCAGAGCACCGCGACCTTTACTGCCGGCTTTACCTTGACGCTTCAGTTTTTAAATTCTTTTGGTTGATTTCTCTTGACACATGGAGAGATAAGAAGCTAAAAGTGGGTCATATTTGGCCAAGAGCTGTACCAAAGCCAAAAAATTTCCATGTTTTCCAAATTTTCTTCATTAATATCCAACGAATAAGCACCTTCATTCCTATGACCTCGAAATGGCAATGTTTGCTTACATAAATGTTTAATGATATCAATAACTCGAGAAAGTATTTGTTTCCGTATCAGTACTTCATCATTATATTTCTTTATTGCTGTACTATAAAATCAGTCAAAGTCTTGATTATTCATTATACGAATGTAATCAAAAACATGCCTGCGGTGAGTGCTGCTTGATTCGTGTTCTGCAACCCGTTGGCTAACTCGTCTAAAATCTTTGAAGCCAGACACAAATGGTGAAACGGTGTTAGACTGTGGTGATTCAAATGCAACACAAAATGAGCAATATAGAGACTGAGAATTTTGGCTAAATGACAACCGATTTCTCGGTATGCTATCCTTCAAGTCCGTTTGTCTATGGTAGATCTTGTTATTGAACGGCAAATGTTCATGTGGTTGAATTGGATGTTTGCTAAAAAAACATTTTAACTGCAATCATGATGGATATTCAAATGCTGATGTACTCTGCGAATTCGACTCAATATCTCACCACCTCGAGCTTGTATTATTGCTGATGTACTCTTCAAATTCAACTTAATATCTCGACTACCTTTTGCTTGTATAACTCCTGATGTACTCTGTAAATTTGACTCAAGATCTCGACTACCTAGTGCTTGTATTATTGCTGATGTACTCTGTGAATTCGACTCAATATCTCCACCACCTCGTGCTGGTATTATTGCTGATGTATTCTGTAAATTTGACTCAAGATCTCGACTACCTAGTGCTTGTATTATTGTAGATTTATACTATATATATATATATATATATATATATATATATATATATATATATATATATATATATATATATATATATATATATATATATATTAGGGGCCCATCGTTATATATATTTCAAGGGGCCCACCAGCCAAATGGCAGGTGGGCCAGTCCGCCACTGCATGCTGTCATGGTTATTTGCATTCTTTAAAGAAAATGATATTGAATATGAAACAATGAAAAGAACGATACTTTCTATCAAAGTACACTTTAAAATTCTATTTTTAGTTAGAAAAATAGTTAGAAATTTCAAGTTATTTTCCAAAATTACCTGACACATCATTTGCACTTGTCAGAAGTACATTCACCGTCATAGTTGATTACCGAGAATGCACAAATGGAGTTTTTTGAACTCATTACCAGCGATACAGGCAAGAAACAATTTCTCTTCAATGTAGAGCTTGGCAACCGGTGAAAACCGCAACCGTTTAACCGGTTTTTTGCTCAGTTTTCTCCAAACCGAAAACCGTTTTTTTTTTCTCTTAAAAAAACTGGTCGTTAATTATAAATTGCTAAGTACATAAATAGTTTAAAGGTTTCTTGTTTTAACAAGCTAACAAGTAAGTGGAAAGCACAAATATCGTGAAAATATATATAGTTTTAAAAAGCACTTTAATATTGCATTTAGTTTTATCAAGGAGATACAATAGACTGAAGGAAGAACGAAGTTAAAGTTTTTCAAGGAATAATCTTAGTAGTAACGTGAAGTTTAACTCCTTTAATTTTTAAAAAAAGTCTATATTGATATAAAATTCTAAAAAATAACACAATAAAATACGTCCTTACAACTCAAACGCTAAGCACGCTTTGATAAAATGGTCAAAGATTTTGATTACATTATCGGTGCCGTAACTCATTGGATACCCACGTACCTACAATTTGTGTTTAAATCCAGCAAAAATACTACAATGCAAAATAAAATCCTAGAGAGATATAACAAGTTCCTTGCCGATAAAACGTTTTTTAAAATTGTAAAAAACCTATAGCTAAACGGGGAAGCAAAAGATAAGGTTCAACCAAGTAGTAGAGATTATTTAAAATTTGACAAATTTATATCTTGTATCGAGGTATTCAAAAACTTTACGTAGATCATGATTTTTTTTGTGATTACTTATTGATAGTTGGACCAGCTGTTAAAAAATACTTATAATAATCAAAACAATCCACAAAAGGCAAGTAACACTTACTTGAAATACTTAATCAACTTTTAGATATTTTCATTTGTTGTTTCATTTCGTTTGTTGTTTAACTTTTTGTCATTGTTGTTAATTTGAGATTGTTAAATAACAATTTCCGGTTTTACAGCCGAAATCCGGTTTTTTGAAATTTTCCGGTTTTTGCCAAACCCTATTTCAATGTCAATTTTTTTTTTTTAATTTTACTTCACCTCCTCAAGGCCGAGAAGGCCACTACAGACGAGGAGGCTACTTATTTTGTGGCTATAACCCTCTCTCAACTCTATAACTCCGAAACACGAACCTTGACGAACAAGGCCGCTGCGCAGAGAAACGAGTTGAGCGCGGTACTACCAGGGACGTGGTGGGGATCGACATTTTGACAAATTTTGTCAAAATGTCGACAATTGACAAATTTTTAATCAAGCGTTTGCAGTCGTATCCTGTTCTGTCTTAGATCTACGTTGTGCTGTTGCAAAGACCGCTCCAGAAAATTCTGATTTTGCAAAAACTACGCAGACTTCTCAAGGACTACAATTAATTAATTTTTTGCTTTCTTCAGCTATATTTTCCTCTCAAATTTTATTATCTAAAGCCTCAGCGTTAAAGTTAATAGCTTCAGTTGTGTGTGACTCTTAACTGTATAATGCATATTGCAAAATGCACACCTAAAATATTGTAAAGTTTACAAAAGTTTAAGTGAGCATTGTGCAATCTACATTATACATCTTAAAAGTTACACATATTCAAAAAATTTAAAACTTCTCATAAAACGTTTTCAATGTAAACACTTTGTTAGTTTGCAAATATCAACCAAAACTGTTTTGCTGATAAACTATTATAAACACAGGGCACGACAACCGGCCCTTCCCCCCTCCCTCCGGTGTCGTCGGTCTTTAAACAAAATGTAAAAAAGTTTATAAAAAAAATGGTGCCTATAAAATATAAATTATAAATAAAATCAGATGTTTAAAAGACAAAAAACATAATAATTAGCTGCTAAAACGCAGTGATTTTGGAACAACCTCATTATTTTTATTGTTGTGATCATGATAACATTTACCCCAACTTGGTAAATGCTATCATGGGGCTTGGAAAAGTTGGCAACCGCTGGACTAAACGAATTTTTGACTAAAGCGAAGTAAAAAAAATATTTGTGTTTTCAAGGAACTATAGAAAATAATTCGAGGTAACAAAAGTTCGAGTTGACCGGTGTTCGACTTACCGGGAATCAAATGTAATTATAACCCAAATCAACGATTAGCGCTATTAAAAATAAAAAATGGAGGAAATTGTAGCTGCTATAAGAGGCTTTTCACCTGATAAAAATTGGCCTGCATTAAAAGAATACTTTAATGGATCTACATCTGCTCTTGCAAAAAATGCATCAAAAGTAGATATTACAATGAGTGCATTAGATTTACCTGAAAATACCTTAGGGTATCTATATTTAATGTAAGACTTTTGATAGTTGTTAATTACACACGAACACACATACACTCGTCAATAAAGTACATATATATATGTATACCAGGCATGTAGCTATAGTGTACATAACGTATTTATCGTATTTTCTCAAAAATAACCTTGCCTTCCTAAATCTTGCTGTTTTTACTCGTCTGCTATGCGCCAAAATCTATTGTTAAAAACCCAAATCACTAGCTTCCGTTGCTAATTTTAATTCTTACTTTACTTTTTCTTCAGCTTAAAAACATTCCTATAACAGTATTTCAAAAATACTCTCTAGAATTTTCTTACTTTACTTTCTACTTTTACCTTCATTACATTCTAACTTTTCTAACAAGTATTTGGCTGAATCTTGTTTTTCTGACTGCTGGAAAATGGCATGTGTGATTTAAATTTTTTTAAAAACCTGGGTATTTCTCTGACCTTTTTATCGCCGAATCATTCTTCTTACTATTAGTTTCAAATTCTTTGAACTCATCGTGAGTCAATCAAATTACAATCTTACTCACGTACCAGTTACCTACTCAATCAATTTTCAAGACAAAAAATTTAATCGGACAATTCGATTTTCTCATTTTACTGCTGATTTCTACTGGTTTTCTCAGTACTAAAATTTTCCCCGATGGACACTACTTTCATTTCCATAAGGTTCCATCCTTATTGTTGTGCTGCTTTTCAATCTGTATCAATGACCTTTTTGATAATTTTACTTCTAAATTGGTCACATTTGCTAATGACATGTTTATTTACTGCAGTCTTGAGAAAAATTGAAAAAAATCACTCTGAGATTGTAAATTTAAAGCTGTTAGCAAAAAAGTAATTTTAGAGTAATATATAGAGTATGATTTATTAAACAATTATTTTTAAAATGCAAAATAAAAAACTTAAAAAAAGCAATTGGTTAGGAAATCAACAAATAAAAAAAGTTGATGCTGATTTTGCAAAAAGCAGCCAATTAAATCAAATAATTACTGATGCTAATGCCTATTAATCAATACATCACTAGTAGATTTAAACCTGTATTAAATTATTTCCTGCCGAAATCAATCAATGCTCAGTCTTCTTAATTTATACTTGTATCTCATTTGTAGTGGCTGTGTCACTATTTTTATTTCTTTTTCTTTTAATAAGATTACAGATTTGAAACTCAGTTTAATGATTCTGAGGCCAGCTGGTGAAGTTTAGGGAACTCTGAAAACTCTCAGAGGTGCTGATTCTAAAATATATTTTAATTTTTTTACCACATTTATTTATTTTTATTTTAAAAACAATTACAGCTTTAAGAATATTTTTGAGGTTTTTTTCAACATTATATTCATTAATATATTCTTCTTTGTATCTCTGTTTTATTTTTATATATTATGTTATGTTGCATTATTTTTGTGTTTTTTAAACATTTATACACAAGCCTGCTTTAAGAAATAATAAACTAAATTTTTTTGTTTATTGTTGAAAAATTGATTTTTATCACCCTCATGTCCTTTCTAGTATCATAGTCAATATTTTTGTCCTCGCAGCAGCCTCATTTGTCAAGGTTTAAGTTTCAGATTTATACTTGAGAGAATATTGTAACAACAATTAAAAAAATTTTTTTTTTGCAAGTTATAACTTATTCCTTGCTTAAATTTCAATGTTTTAAGCACAAAAGAGTGAGAAAAATTTAAAAGCTCAAATGGCTTAAAAGTATTTTTTTTTTTTTCATTAATAAAAATTGAATTCCGGATATTTCTTTCAAGTTTTGATTTTATCATAAATCCAAAATGTGGATTACTTGCAATTATCAAAAAAAAATTTCGTAAATTTTGTTCGCATATTTTTTTCAAATCATAATATAGAATTACAAAAACATATTCTGTAGTATTTATAGTATTGCAGATAATTTAATGTCCAAATCTTATAAAGTTTTTATTTTAGTAACTGTTGATAGTTTTTCATTGATTATTTATATAATAATTGAGTTTATATTTTTGGCTGTCTAGATGTTTGTAATGAAAGTCTTTTGTAAAACATTGCCTTCCCTCCCCTTCATCCCCTCCCTAATTGTGAGGCTGTTTTAAAGTAGTTGTAAATAAGGAAAAGTTCCCAATAAAATTTTTTTAAGAATACTATCAAGATTATTTTGATTTGGATTTTGAATTCTTTAAATTGTTACATTTATATGTAATATAAAACAAGATTTATAAAGACTTGAACAATGTTGGTAATAACATTAATATCTAATAATAAATATCTATTAATTTTAAAGGGTTTTTAAAGTTTCACTTTCTAATGTTGGTGACTTTGAATTGCTATTTGACCAATTTCAACAACTTGTCAAAAATGGATGTAAAGAACAAATTCAACAAGGGTTAGAAAAATGTAAGTTTAAAATATCTATTATTTCTTTATCTGTTTTGATAAATTTTGTTTTCTCTGATTTGAAATATAATATGAACATGTTACATGAAAATGTCAGGAAAGTTATGTTAATGTGATAATGATGTCATTTAATACTTGAATGATTATACAGTTTTACAACTACAGTAGAATCTCGTTAATTCGGACCCTGGATAATTTAGACTTTTACTATGTCGAAAAAATTTTCAATTCTTCTTGACATTCTCTATACATAACAAAAGCTTCGCTTAACTCAGAAATTCGTTAAGTCGGACAAAATATATATACCCGTTCAGAGTCCGAGTTAAGGGGATTCTACTGTATTAAGATTTATCGAACCTTTAACACTTTCAGGTCGGCACTTGGGTTGGCATTGCCAAATGCCGACCCTAACTCCGAGGGTTATATATATATATATATATATATATATATATATGTATGTATATATATATATGTATGTATGTATATATATATATATATATGTATGTATGTATGTATGTATGTATGTATATATATATATATATATATATATATATATATATATATATATATATATATATATATATATATATATATATATATATATATATATATATATATATATATATATATATGTATGTATATATGTATGTATGTATATATGTATGTATGTATGTATGTATGTATGTATGTATGTATGTATGTATGTATGTATATATATATATATATATATATATATATATATATATATATAAATATATATATATATATATATATATAGAGTTGCAAAAAAACGAGTTTTTTTCCTTTGGCGTTTTTTTGGGTCAAAAAAACGTGTTTTTTTGGGTTTTTTGGCGTTTTTTTGGTTTTTTTTGGTGTTTTTTTGGTGTTTTTTTGGTTTTTTTGGTGTTGTATTGCTTTTTTTAAACAATTTTTCAGTTTTTTTTTACATAAATTTTGGACTAGTTTTCCTTTAATCTAGTATAGATTTTAGTATTTGGCCATTAAAGGCACAATTAGATGTATAAACACCAGTTTAACAAAAAATTTTTATAAAAAATTTAAATTAGCTTTAAGTTAGTTATATATTTAGGTATAGGGTAAAGTGAGGTTAACTGGGTACAGGTGTTAACTGGGCCACTGGCTGTTCATACTTCTGCAGTTTGAATACACCGCTTTTATTGATGTTTCCCAAACGATCCACTAGGCAGCACTACTTGCTGCTGATTTTGAATGCAAATGACATCCATTTTAAAATTTTATTAAGCATTTGTTGTTCTTGGATGTCACATGTATTGTTTTACTGCAGCGTTAGAAAGTTGATAGAATCTGTGTTTATCAAGTTTTGTGAGTTTTAATAACTGATTTCTGAACTTTAATATAGTGCCTATTTGAATAATTATCACAAATTACGCAAATATTTAAAATACTGGTAAGTTTTTGTAAAAATATGAATTTTGATATAGTGGGGTTAAGTGGGCCGGCTATTCATGTGGTTATATGGGACGGCCCACTTAACCCCACCAATGAAAAATTAATTTAATACAATCATTTAATTAACATTTATATCAACTAATTATGTTTTTTTTTAATTCCAGTTTATAAATAAATTAAATTAAAATGCCCCGTCAACGTCAACGTACCACAACGCACAGATCGTATTCCATTGATGCTTTAAAAACGGCAACTGAAAAAATTATAAAAGGAGAACTATCGATAAGAAAAGCAGCGGCCAGTCATCAGATACCAAAAAATACATTAGCCAGGTATGTGCTCAAAGTTAAAAATACACCTGATGGAGTTAAGGTTAATTTTCGACCATCAAATGAACATTTACTCGTTTTCAACTCAAGTGAAGAATTGCTATTGAAAAAATATATTCAAGATGCAGTCAACATGCATCATGGACTTTCATTTACCCAAGTTCGTCGCTTAGCTTTTGAGTTTGCCATAGCAAATAACAAAAACGTGAAATGTAATTGGACAGAAGAAAAAATGGCTGGAATAGAATGGCTGCATTCATTTATGAGACGACAGAGTTTGGCGCTAAGAACCCCCGAACAAACTAGTCTTAGCCGTTGCACTAGTTTCAATAAAACTAATGTTGGAGCATTTTTTTCAAATTTAGAAGGTGTTATTAACCGATTTAATCTACAAGCACAAGACATTTTTAACTTAGATGAGACTGGTCTCACAAGTGTACATAAACCAGTAAAAGTTTTAGCTTTAAAGGGGCAAAAGCAAGTTGGCCAGGCAACATCAGCTGAACGAGGTGTCTTGGTTACAGCATGTTGTATTGTTGGAGCTACAGGAACTGCAATACCTCCATATTTGCTGTTTCCCAGAGTGTTTTTTAAGGAACACATGATTAAAGGCGCACCTGTTGGAACAAAAGGTGCAGCAACAAAATCTGGATGGATGATTTCAGATATTTATATTGATGTCCTCAAACATTTTGTCGATCACGTAAGACCTACAACAGACAGTCCAAAGTTGATATTATTAGACAACCACGAGAGCCACTTAAGTATTGCTGCGTTGAATTATGCAAAGACTAATGGCATAATGTTGCTGACCTTCCCTCCGCACTGCAGCCATAAGTTGCAGCCTCTGGATGTGAGCGTATTCGGTCCCTTAAAAAAACACTACAACAGAGCCTGCAATGATTGGATGACAAACCATCCTGCGACTCCAATCACAATTTATGACATAGGAGAATTACTGGGGACTGCTTTTCCGTTAGCATTTACGCCAAGGAATATTTCCCAAGGGTTCAAAGCAGCAGGAATCTGTCCATTTGATTCCCAAATATTTACAGAGGAAGATTTTTTAGCTGCAACAGTTACAGATAGACCAGATCCAACTGTTTCAGATACAACCATTGAATCGACAACATTACCCTCAACATCAGTATCAACCACCATAGAAATACCAACCTCACTAACTGACTGTCAACTTATTTCTCCGGAACAAATACGACCATTCCCTAAAGCCGGAATGTGTAAAAATAACAGAAAACCAAGGCAGTAAGGAAAGTCTGCTGTTTTAACGGATACTCCAGTCAAACGGCAATTGGAAGAAGCTGCACAAATGCGTGCAAATAAATCTAAGCCTAAGTCCATTGCCCCAAGAAAAGAAAAGCGTAAAATATTAATAGAGTCCAGTGATGAAGGATCATCAGAAGTAGAGTATGCCGATTCTTCATTGGATATTTCAGAATTATCTTCTGGAGAAGATACGGATGATTTTAACCAGCCCATAACCGTCGATGATTTCGTGCTTGCTATGGTGCACGGAGCTAAGAAAAAGTCTAGCAGGCACTATATTGCCAAAATAATTTCGAAAACGCAAGATGGTTTCAGCGTTAAGTGGCTGAAAAATCAAAATAGGACAACAAAGTTTTATATTACAGATGAGGAGCTGACCTTCGTTCCTGCATCCGATATTGTTCGATAATTGCCAACTCCTCTATTTCACGGAGAAACGGGACGATTCGCCAATTTATATTCCTTTCAATTCGATTTTTCAGATTATTCCATTGTTATGTAAACATAGTGTTTTATTAATGTTTAACAGTTGAAATATTCATACAATTTTATCACATCGAAGGGGTATTTTTTCACTAATTTGTGTTTTTTTTATTGTATAATTTTATTGTTATCACGTTTATTTTGTTTATTAATTCTATCTTTCTTAACTAAATATATTATCAAAATAAAAACTAATATTATTGTAGTTTCACTAGTATGTACCCAGTCAACCCCGTAGGGTGGCCCAGTTAAACCCGTCACTGTGGTTAACTGGGCCACGGGACACATGTCTAAAAAATGCAATATTTACAAGGCCACAGCATATATTAACTAATTCATTTGAATTTATTAGATAGAATATTATTATTCTCATAGTTATGAACAGAAAAAATATTGAAAAGCAGTAATTTGTTACAATTACATCGCCCGAAAAAAAACTGTACCCAGTTAACCTCACTTTACCCTACTGTATGAAAATGTTTATTTTCTGTTTTGTTGTACTAACAACTGTGATACTCTCATTATATATAAAAACTATTCTTATTCTATAAAAAAGTTACCATTTTAGTCTTGATAATGTAAATACATTAATGTATTTACATTATCAAATTTGATATCAGACTTCGAATGCTCAAAAAAATAAGCTATCTATCAAGATTATTAACTTAATTAAGCATTTGTATATTATGTAGTAATTAAGTCTTACATTGTTTGTTTGTTATATCAAAAAAAGAATTATTGCTAGTATGCCCATTAAAAAAAAGCTCTATACTGAACTTAGTTTCAAGGAAAATTTAAAAACTTTTTAATTATTATTATTTACGGAGTTTCCCAGACCCCATTCACCTGATGATTCGTAATTTATTTATTTGTAATTAATTTTTTAACAGCATTTTTTTTTTCTAATTACATTTGTTCATCTAAATATTTTCATATAGCACTATATCAGAACACTTGCAAAATTCTTTAATATGCTCTGTTTTTTAAGTTCAATTTTTAGACATAATCTTAAGGCAAAAGAATTGTTTATCTTTTTCCATTTTACTAATTTGGTTCAGAGGTTTAATGGGTGACTAAGGCTTTATTTCTGCCCCCTGTATGGAGAGCCTAATCATAATTCTTTTTGTTCTTCCTGTTGATTACCAACAAGAAAAAAAAATTTACTTAATAATTTAAAGATCTCTTTATATATATATATATATATATATATATATATATATATATATATATATATATATATATATATATATATATATATATATATATATATATATATATATATATATATATATATATATATATATATATATATATATATGTATGTATATATAGATATTATGGTGCTTTAAAAATCACTACTCAGTGTTAAAGTATTTTTTGTATTAATCTATTTTTTGTCAGTATTTTTTGTGTTAATCTATTTTTAGATTCTAATTCAGAAAAGATTTATATAAAATTTCTCTTTATTTGAGTAATAAGTTGACTTTTTTAATGTAAACATTTTAGAGACCATTTAAACAATATTAGGGACCTGTTGAATAGAAATTGAGCTTAAGTATGAACTAAATATTAAACAATTAAACTTAAATTAGACTTGAAATTTCAAATTGTGTATCTGGGATTATTAAATCATTTCTTTCTAACTGCTTTATTATAATCATCGTCAAATGCCTACTTATTTATTTCTAGTAACTTCTGGGGTTAATCTCAAGGTTCTATTTTTGGTCCTGTTTTGTTTCTTATCTACATTATTGATCTTCCTCACAACCCTACATCTATAGTAGCTCTTTTTGCTGATGACTCAAGTTTTTGCTCCTGTCTTGACAAAAAGTCTTCTCTTTTTGATCACTTAGAATAGGCAGCCAATTTTGTATCTGATCTTACTTCTGTAACAGATTGGGGCTCACATATTTTAGCTTATAAATTTTATTTCTAACTTAACTCAGTTATTTACTGCAAACAACTACCACAATACTGTTGACATTCCTATTTTAATTAATGGTAACCCTCTTACTGAGTCTTCTTTTTTACATTTTCTTGGAATATTATTTGCTACTAACCTTTCATGTACACAAAATATACAATTGATTGCTAAATTAGCATCCCTTTATCATTATCGTCGTTTTCTTACCCTTGATTCCATTCTCTACCTCTACAAATATCTTTTTGTCCCTGTATGGAATGTTGTTGTCATATTTGGGCTGGTTCTTCTTATGATGCCCTTTTTCTTCTAAACAAGCTCTATCTGCTAAGCTTGAGCCTCTTTCCCATTGTCGTAAAGTTGCATCTCTTTCTCTTTTCTACAAATTCTATCATGGCGGCTGCTCAAAATAGTTATTACCTCTAGTTCCATTAACAAAAACTCATTCTCAACTCTTTATTATGCTAAGTCTCATTCATTAGTTGTTCAATTTTATTAAATATAATAAATGTAAATAAATATTTATTGTGTCAATATACACTAAAAACAGTAAAGATAAAGTTGAGGAAGATAAAATTATCAAAGAAGTTTTTATACAAGACACCTTTAACCGTGTTAATATACCAAAACAAAAATTAATTCAGTAAATTTCAGTATTTATTGTCCTATTTAAATCAGAAATTAAAATATTGCCATTAAAGTTAAATTTAGTAACTTAAACAATGAATTTTTGATTATTTCCCAAAAAAACCAAAAAAACGGACCCCTATGTTTTTTTTCCAAAAAAACGACCAAAAAAACCAAAAAAACAAGAACCAAAAAAACGCGTCACATCTCTATATATATATATATCAGGCCTTGTTTTAAAGGGTTACGCCTAGAGCGATTTACGTATGCCTTAAGCGATTTTTACGTACGCCTAGAGCTGTTTTGGTTAAGCTACTTTTTATCATTTTTTAACTTTTAAATTAGCGGTAACATAAAAGAAGTAATTAATTTTAAAAAAAACCACATTAACTTTTAAATAACGATATGTAAAGATATTTATTAAAAAAAAGAATTTACTTTAAAAATAATTGTTGTAACTTTTCATCGCAATATATCTTTCCTTTTTATAGCAATTAATTTGACGCTAAACTTTTTATCCAAATATTTAGCAACATAAAAAATTGTTTGTCAATCCTTAACTACAAATTTTTTGCAATGTTTTTAATAAAAAGTAGTAATTTTTTAAAGTTTTCAGTAAAAAACTTTAAAAAAATCTATATTCCATATTTATTAATACAGAATATAAATGTTTTTTGTAATATAGATTTTTTAAGAATTTTTTACTGAATTTATAATAAAAAACATTGCAAAAAAATTTGTAATTAAGAATTAACATTTTTTTGAATATCTCAAAAAATGTCTTTATATTTTTGTTATCATGATAACAAAAATATCAAGACATTTTTTCGAGATATTAAAAAAAATGTCTTTGCTTTTCTTATTAGTTAAAGGTATATAGATACCTTTACCTTTAAGTTATGCAGGGGAAGGGGGTCGGCACAGAAAAAAAAAATTACCTGTTACTCGCAATATTTAAATGAAGACAATTTGTTAAATTTTTTCTGCGTGCGATTCAATAAGTTTTTTTTTTCATAAATCAAGTTATTTTATAAGGTAAAGAAATCATGAGTAGACTACAACATCCGCTGATGACACTAATATTACGTTGAATATATTTATATAACGGAGGTTTTATTATGCACGCGCACATTACAGGTTCCGTTAAATAAATACTAAGGCATGTTTTAGTTTAATGACAGTCTCCATTTTTTACTAATGAATATGTATTTTTCTTTATAAAACAAAACAAACTAGTATATAAAAACCTTGTATATTTCTATTATCTCTAAATTGTTTAAAGTTCGAATATGGATTTTATTTTGAAGGACAAAAGATTTACTTTGAAAACTTTTAAATCTTGGGACTTTGCCGATGCTTTGCCGATGCGATGATCACAGAAAAAGAGAAGACTTACGTTATTAAAATCAAATGTAAGTTATGTGATCTTCATCAAAATAAAATATTATCCAAAAACAATGGGCTGTAAGGGCAACTGCCCAACGGTTTATAAATAACACAAGTCATGTTAAAATATTTTAACATGTTACTATATTTTAATTAAGTTGATATATAATTAAAAATAAAAATATAGTTCAATAAATAAATTAAATTTGTTCTTAACAAAGATTACCTCATATTTATTCTTTTTTTATTTTATTAAGTTAAATTGCTTACAAATGAAAAAAAAAAGAGTTTTGTAATTATACGTAGAATGAAAATACTTTTGAGTTTGTTTATAAGTTAAGGAACTTAATTTTAATAAACAAATTTTTACAAACGTTTAATTATAAACAGATACAATTCAAATTAATAAATATACTTAAATTATTTCAGTTGAGTATTTTTTTAAGTTTGCACGATTAAAGTTTTGCGTAGAAGTATTTGTTTTTTTGTTTTAAGAATAATTAACAAAAGAGTTTGCATAATTAAGACTTTTAAATTTAATTTAATTTTTTTTTTTTAATTTCCTAAAATTTAAAAAAAAAAAAAGATTTAAAACCTAAAGTTTTCTTTGCTAGTCAAAACAAAATCGTTGTTTAAATAATTAACATGGGTTTGTGTTTATAAATGTTAATATTTTTTGTTTACTCTAGAAATTTTTAAAAATAAAAAAAATCATTATTACTTTTTATTCAATAACGATTAAAAACAATTATTCAAAAACAAATTTCAGAATTAAATTTAAAATAAAATTAATAAAAACAAATTTCAGAATTGAATTAAAATATATATATATATATATATATATATATATATATATATATATATATATATATATATATATATTTTACTAAATAATATTGAACTAAAATTAATAATAAAATAACAATTGAAAACATTACAAAATTTTCATAATAAATTTACATTAAAAACGTTCATAGTTGTTTGAGTTAATTGTTAAATTGAACTAGTTTGCGGTTATTTATTTATTGCGGTCGTTAAAACACTTAACGTCTATAAAAAAAATAAAGATAATTTTATGACGTCAAAATCGCGTTAAGCTAATGCATTAAGCACTTTTTTATTTAAAACAAGGCCTGTATATATTATATATATATATATATATATATATATATATATATATATATATATATATATATATATATATATATATATATATATATATATATATATATATATATATATATATATATATATATATATATAACCCTCAGAATTAGGGTCGGCAATGCCATCCTAACTGCCCACCTGAAAGTGTTTGAGGTCAGCAAAAAATTGCTCGCCCAACTTCATTTCTATGCTTGATTGCTTCCCCATCCCAAACCCTCAGTCGATGTAGCAGCACTCCACTGTGGCTATTTGTCAGTCAATGTATGTACTGAAGCCCCCAGCAGCAGGCTATTATAGTATGACATCAGATTGCTTACCGCAATACTATTTGTATATATATATATATTAGGGTAATAACAATTTTTATTTTTTTTTTGTAATGAAACTGAAACCTATCACATTCGAGGAACATTTATATGCAGATGACAGTAGCAATGTTAATTTTTTTTTTAATTGATAAAAGTTCCCCCACCTTTCAATTTTATTTTTTTTTAATATCGCTCAATGAGGTATTTTCACGAATAAACAATACCATGATAATGATCAACGATTACGTGATGGATAAGAGATGCTTTTCGATTACTTTGAGCCTATTTGTTTATATAACTATAACCTCTCAATCACTGATCTGTATATATTATATCTATGCTCTCTCTCTCAAAAAAAAAAAAAAGCCATTCCGTTATTAATCGATCAATTATATTTATCCATCACGTGACGTTTTTAAAAAGTTTTCCGGCTCATTAAAATACCTCATTTGTTTATCAATTTAAATTTCACACTGACTCGCTCCAACATGGGGCAAGTTAAGTAAAAATAATTATTTTATTATTGATATATTTTATTTTCTGTTTCAGGTGCAAACATAAAATATATATATTCTGGAGTATTTTATAACATTTAGGAATATTGTAGATTAATCACCTCGTTTTCAGTGCAAGATTGCAAGTCATCCAGAAAAGACATTTTGTCACTTCAATAAAATGTCTTATAGATATTCCAGAAATAGTATAGAATCAAACAGGTGTATCTGGATAAAAAATCTACCCTATTCTTCCAAAAATAAAAGAAATCCAAAGATTCCATCTGTTGAAAAACAAACCAATCTCACGCAGATGCCGACAAACCGTCAAATTCTTGGAAACTTCACTTTTTTGTTCAATAGCAAGAAACGGCGGCTGGATTGAATCAAGATTATGATTACAGATATAAAAAAGCTTGGGGAGGAAATTCTAGACTTTCCACTGTTATCCAGCGCACTCATAAGAAAGAAGCTCAATAGTCTGATTGATTTATTTAACAAAAACAAAAAGAAACCATCTGATAAATTCACTGCAATACTTTCTCAGTTATTTGATGTCACCAACGTTAATGGAGAATGGAAAAACACAGAAGATAAAAAGCTCTACCAGAGGCAAGTTGAGATTGGAGGAAAGATTGGTTATTCAATGGTCAAACAAGCTCCTCTGGAATCAATCCACCCAAGAAAACGAATCCGACTATCAAAAACTCAATCCCAAGCCAGCTCTTCTCAATTGCATCTTACACAAACACATAAAACTGTCTCAGATTCTTTGGATTCTAAAACTTCTGTTTTCTCACACGATTCGCAAACCTCTACTTCTACGTCATCTCCTGAATGCAAATCGAAATACCAAAAAGCCAGCACTACAGCAGCTGGTTTACTAGTATTGAAAAACAACATTTCTACACAAAAAGCACATGACGTTCTTGCAACCATTGCTAAACAAGGCCACGATGTGCCGGTTCCAAGTCAGGCGGGTGTCTAGAAAAGAGTAATCTCTGAAGGACAGAAAATGAAAACCAAAATTGCTCAAAAACTTAAGGGCAAAGATCCATATTGTCTCCAGTTTGATGGTAAAAGAGTGCATGGGGAAGAATGCCAAGTAGTTCTGCTGAAAAATATGACTACCGAAATCAAACTCGGTATTCTTAAATGTGAGAGTGGTTCTGCTGCAGCCATTCACAAGGAACTACATTAGCTAATTGATGAATACAATGCTTGGGAAAATATTTGCATGATAATCTGTGACACGACTGCAATAAATACTGGTCGTCTGCATGGGATTGTGAAGCTAATACAAGATGATGTTTTGAGCAAGGGCTTTCAGAAGCCACAATATATTAGCTGTCAGCACCATGTTCTCAACCTCCTTCTGAAACATGTCATGAATTTTTTTATTCAAGAGCCAATAAGCAAACCAGAACTCAATTATTCCTTCATTGATAAATTAATAGAGAATTATGTTTCTCTTCAGGATGATTACCGCCTATATGCGACAGATGATGTTTGTTTTTTTTTATTTCAATTCACCTCCTTAAGGCCGAGAAGGCCACTACAGACGAGGAGGATACTTATTTGTGGTTATAACCCTCTCTCAACTCTATAACTCCGAAACACAAACCTTGATGAACAAGGCCGCTGCGCAGAGAAACGAGTTGAGCGCGGTACTACCAGGGACATGGTGTGGAACGAACTCGGAACCACTCATTTATGAAGCGAGCGCTCTACCACTACACCACTACCGCATAATGTTAACACAGGCAAAAACCCTGCATTGCGAGATAATTTCAAGTTGTTATATGAACTATGTCAAGCGTATCGTCATTACAAAACAACTTCACGCTGGCCTCGAATAAACTGGAAGAAACTCCCAAATGTACACCAAGCAAGATGGAACTCACGTGCAATATATGCTGTTATAGCATTATTCTTGATACCAGAGTGGCGCACCACCCTCGTTCCAGCATGCGACTTCATCTGCTACGAATGGGCAAATGCTTGATTCCATTCGCAACACTACAATGAAGCATCCTTTAATGAACTATTAACCTTACTCATCAAGATAAAATGCAAGAAAGCAATTAAGTGTTTAAAGACACATTGGTCAATCGAGGAGTCATTCATTGATATTTTTAGATCTAACCAAATTGCTGTATGTGCGGTAAAACTGATAGAGGAACTTCATGAAGAATCAAGAAAATTTGAGTTTTTGAATTTGAAGTTCCTTGGAAAAAATAACTTTTAAACATTTCATGTATATTTTGTATATATTACTAATGTTCTCCATCTTATTTGTTCATAAAGTTGCTTAGATAAGCTATTACTTTTATTATTTTGGATAAAACTAAAAAACATGTCCTTTTTTGAAAAAAAACATTTTTTCATTTATCTTTTCCTGTGTGAGTGGGGGAACTTTTTTAAAAAACATCAAAAATGCAATTTATATTCTTGAATTACACATAAAGTTTCCTCGATTGCAAGTGGTTTCATAAAATTTTTTTTTTTGTTATAACCCTTATATATATATATATATATATATATATATATATATATATATATATATATATATATATATATATATATATATATATATATATATATATATATATATATATATATATATATATATATATATATATGTATGTATATATGTATGCATACATACATACATACATACATACATACATACATACATACATACATACATACATACATACATACATACATACATACATACATACATACATACATACATACATACATATATACATACATACATACATACATACATTAGGGTGTCCCAAAGAACAACATTTTTGAAAATAATCTGCTCTCACCTCCTAAATGTGTTCTATCTAATACAAAAACACTAGGTTTAAATTTTTTTTGAATAAAAAATATTTTAAGGGGTCCCTCAAAACCCTCGAATATTTAATGGGTCCCTAATATTTTTAGAAAAAAAAGTTATTCAAAAATATGTCAACCTGGTACTCAAATGAAGCGAAATTATATAAATATTTCAAAAATAATATTCATTTCAAAATATTTTTAACTTATCAAAATTATCATAAAAAAACATAAGAAATGCATTTTTTTCATTTTTTCTTAAAAAAGGCAATTTTTTATGTAATAAAACCAAAAATAAAAATTTTGTTTCGAAATATATATGTATACATATATATATATATATATATATATATATATATATATATATATATATATATATATATATATATATATATATATATATATATATATATATATATATATATATATATATATATATATATATATATATATATATATATATATATATATATATATATATATATATATATATATATATATATATATAGAGGATATTTGAGAGCTCTACATAGTGTAATTTTGATTTATATATAGGTAGGATCAATATTGTTTAATATGATTGTTTAATAATTATAATGATAACAATTTATTTTGTTTTAGTTTGTCATCTTTGCCATGTTTTAGTTAAATGTTTGATAGAAATTAAACAGGTAAGATACAGATTTTAAATTAAAACTTACACTTCTTTTTTAGTGATTTTAAGAAAATAAGATTATTGAATTTATTAACTATCATTACTCATAAAAAGTAGTGATAGTTATTAAAAGCAAATGCTCAGCAAGGCCTGTATATATGTATTTATACAGGCCTCAGTGTAAATATATATACCAAGGCCTATGAATCTTTTTTTATATTTTTCAAGTACAAAATAAAATACTTTTGATGTTTTATTGATATTATATACATAACATATTTAAAGATATTATACATTATAACAAATAAAAGGATTTTAACAAAAACTTAAAATTTAAAAAACATCAAAACAACGGGAAAGATTGGTTGAATACAACCCTCGGAATTAGGGTCAGCATTCGGCAATGTCGACCTAACTGCTGACCTAAATGTGTTTGTGGTTGGCAAAAAAAATTTAGCTTTGCCAAGTTCGTTTCAATGTTTTATGGTAAGACCTTTGTATTTGTTGACCTGATGCCGACCTCTATAAGATTGAGGTCAGCAAATTATTGCCGACCTCAATTTTCCAAATTCCGAGGGTTGTGACTATGGGGAATCCTCAGATAATTAGTCCTAATAAGCTGCAGATGGTTTGGAAAAAAATTATGGTCTGAAATTTAATAAAGAAAAAATTTAATTTAAGGCAGAAAGGTGCTGCTGTGTAGGCAAAAAAAAAAAAGCCTATAGTTAGAAAAAACTTTAATGTTTATTTTAACAATTATGAATCTTTTTTGCTATGTTTATTTTTTTGCTGTAAATATATATGACCAGATAAAAAAATAGGAAAGTATATTGTGTTAAGGAATGGGTTTGAACTCTTGAAAAACAGAAACAATGACAGCGCATTAAACCTGATCTATTAAATTTATGCATGTTGTTGACAAACAAACCATTTTATAAACTTTTATACAGATTGCAATTAATCAATGCTTTTCAAGCTCTCTAAATAAGTGCAGCTTTGTTGTATAGGAATAAAGTAATGCTTATAAAATAACACATATGTTATATGCAAATGTTAAAAATCCACTTATATAATGTTTTATACAGGGTTGTTTGATTTAAGAAAACTTTTTTGCTTAACCTGTTTTGTTTTGAATTTTTGTATTTGTTATCGTATTTAAAAAATTTGATAAAACATGAAATATATTGTCTCATCCAAGTAGAAATCTTGAAACTTCAATTTTAGATTCGCCCCTCTCTTGATAATTTAGGAATTCTGACCAAGAAAGAACTTATAATGAAATAAAACTGCCAATAAATGATCATAAGATCATATTATTAAACTATAATGTTCATTTCACCAAAACAACGTATTTATTTAAAATCTTATTCAAATTATATTATCTTTTTTTTAGACTATTAAAAATGATAGGCGCGGCTTTTTCGTAAATGGTTGAAGCCAAAATTTGTTTGCGTATGTGACATCGTTTTGCGCCAAAAAAACTAGGAAAAACAAACTAGAAGTAAGATTTTAAATTTTTTAGGAAAATTTCTTTATTAAAGATTTATAGAATATATTTTTATAGGATTCTAATAAAGACTAATATAGTAACTATGTTATTTCTTTAAAATAATTTATTTATTACTATTGTAATGAGTAAAAACTATTATTCATGGAATGACATATCTGTACCAGTTTTATATCTTTTTGTACAATTATGCACCATAAAATTGATAAAAGTTTTATATCTTTTTGTACAAGTATGCACCATAAAATTAATAAAAAAATTTAATATAAATGCAAAAACAAACTTTACGTATAATTTTTTTTTTTGCCACAAATTGATGTCATGGCGAAAAAATTCTTTTAATTTAGCTTTTAGATTACGCTTTATAGCTAAAGCCGCATCTATAGTTTTTAATGGTCTTAGATCTTCTTAGTTCTGCCATTTGTATAGCATTATGTACAAATATCTTTAAATGTAAATGTCTTTAGCATATGTTGAGTTTGTAGGCAGTATATGGAACAATGGTGTATAATATATTTATAAAATATAAAAATTTTATTTTATCAGTTAAGTATTTTAACAGTTATTTAATAGTATTTTTACAGTATTTTAACAGTCAACATTTTAGTTTAATAGAAATCTTTTTTGCTTTATTGTTATTTTTTTGCTACAAATATGTAAGCAAGATTTTAAAAAAATTCAAAATTTATTGCGCAAAAGGGAGCTCTTAAACCTCTTAAAACAACACATTTTTTACAGCGCACTAAACCACTATCAATTATATGCGTTTAGGAAAAATAAAAACCTTATTATAAATCTTTTATAAGTTCTACATTTGCAGAAAAGGTGCACATGCTAATTTTTTGTTCTTGAAGTAATTTTTCAGAATGAATTATTTTACTAAAAAATATTAAAGTAAATAAGGAATAGGTATAGAAATGTTCGGTGTTGAATAGATAAGTATAGATATGGTAGATTTGGTAAAGACCTGATATATATATATATATATATATATATATATATATATATATATATATATATATATATATATATATATATATATATATATATATATATATATATATATATATAAATTAGTAGAAAATCACTTAGCAAAATTTTTTCTCATTTAACACTGTGTTTCATCAATAAAGACTCATCAGAAATGAATGATCAAATTAATAAAACTTCAATTTATACCAAAAATTGAATTACAGGAAGTCACATGTCTTAACTACTGCAATTTTTCACACATTTGTGTAATTTGCTGACACTATTGTAAAAAGAATTCTTTAGAAATGATTACTTAAGCTTTTTTAAAAAATAATACATTTTTTTCAAAGGGGAGTTAATGTAACTATTATTTGAGCTCACTTATTTTTGTAGTTTTTTAGGAGAAACTTATTTTCGTGCCTGCATTTAGAAATCAATTCCGATTTTTTGTTTAATAAACATTCTTGGTTTGTATATGTAATTATTTCAAATTTTTCTTTTAGACATTGTATGCATTTTTTGTAAATATTGTTATATGCAGGCACTGATTTAAGGATGGACCAATTCAGTGTAAAATCATCAATATTTTTATCTTTTAATTCCCATATATATTTTGACAGCATGGTGTCTTTTGAATACTTTTTATTTTTAAAAGATTGCTTATGATTGTCAAAACGTTTTTTCCATTCACCTTCTGTTATGCCAATATATTGTTTATCAGGTACATTCTTAGAGGAAACAACACATTTAGATACCACATTTTTTGACAAGCAACTTCCACTCATTGGACAATTGTTTTTTTGTTTACAATTACAATTTTCTGTAGTTTTTTCATTTTGGATTTCTTTTTTGTTTAACAAAACATTGTTGTGACCTTTTATAATTCTTTCCATATTTTTTGTGCAACTGTGGCTAACTTTAATAGCATTTCGATTAAAAGTTTTATGTAATTTATTAGAGGGCGGGAAATGCTTGTCGATCAATTTTAAAAACACTTTTCCTATGTTTGTGGAAACATTTTTGCTATATGGGGGGTTGAACCAAATTACATTTCTAGTTCTATTTCGCTTTTTTGTATTCTTTTTTTCAGGGTCAAATTTTAATTCAAAGTTTTCAAAACCACTTTTTTTAAGGGCATCTTCAAATATCTGTTTGGAGGAATTGAATACATTTATTTTAGCAAGCCATAAGATAGTCAATCTAGCAACACTATGCACATGTTTTAAAGTAAAAAATTTCTCTTATGTTTTACCTATTTGCCAGTCAATATAGCAACACTCATCATGTTTTAAAAATTTTATAAAATAATAAAGAAACAAAAACAAAAACACCATTAAATAAAAACCTTCTAGTCTTAATTATTGTGATTTTTTAAAAAATGATAAAACTTAATGTACTTTTCTGTTTTTTTTTAATGTTTAAACAACATTAAAATGTAGTTTAATTGTTGATATCACTTAAATCTTAAAAAACAGCGTTTTATATTAAAAGTCTCTTTCGAATACTATACAAAGATATATATATATATATATATATATATATATATATATATATATATATATATATATATATATACAAATAGTATTGCGTACTAAGGTAAGCAATCTGACGTCATACTGAAATAGCCTGCTGCCGGGGGCTTCAATACATACATTGACTGACAAATAGGCTGACTCGCGGTGGAGTGCTGCTACATCTGATTACTACTACTGATTGCTGCCCCATCCCAAACCCTCGACAGAGGGTTTGGGATGGGGCAGCAATCATTTTATTCATCATTCTTCTTTTTTTTTCTTCTTTTTATAAAAAAGCTGTATGGATTAAGGTAAGCAAAAAAAGTGAGCAAATGCTTATAAAAATACGCTTTAGTAAGTGTGTATGTATATATATATATATATATATATATATATATATATATATATATATATATATATATATATATATATATATATATATATATATATATATATATATATATATATATAATATACCTATACAAACATACTAGAGAGCAACATGGTAACAGGAATTGCGGTATTACGATGGTCACCACAATAATTACTGCAGCAATGTTTCATAAATTACGGTAATACTGTGGTAACTGTAATAATGGGCTTGGTAATACCACAGTTGCGGTAACAGGTGTTGAATATGAAAGTTAATAAACACAAAATATAACCACCATTATAAAGTTATTTCTGCATGGCTTGAAATATTATGTTAGTTTTAGCAAAAAATGGTTAAATTAAAAGATTTTTACATATGAGTTATTCAGATGTGGTTTACTGGTTTGTAAAGTTTGCTTTATTGATGGGGATGATATGGAGATGGGGCAAATATAATGGAGATAAGGTGGTAATGGAGGAAAAAAATGGTTTCTGTTCCTGTGTCACTCTCTAACACTCACATATATATACAGCCCTCAGAATTAGAAAAAATAAGATTCGCAATAAATCAAAACCAATCTTAAACTGATTTTGATGGCTCAAAATTTTTAACACAAAGTTTCACTATAATAATATAGTAAAAAAGGTCACCAAAAAAATGCCAACTTAATATATTTTTGGGTAAGCAGTTAGCATTGCCAAATGCTGATCCATATATATATATATATGTATATATATATATATATATATATATATATATATATATATATATATATATATATATATATATATATATATATATATATATATATATATATATATATATATATATATATATATATATATATATATATATGTAAATATATGTATATATATATATATATATATATATATATATATATATATATATATATATATATATATATATATATATATATGTATATATATATATATATATATATATATATATATATATATATATATATATATATATATATATAAATTAGTAGAAAATCACTTAGCAAAATTTTTTCTCATTTAACACTGTGTTTCATCAATAAAGACTCATCAGAAATTATATTCTACTAATTTGTAATTGCTTTGTTCTTTTAAGAACATTGAGCACTCTTTTTGTAGAATACATTTTAAATTGTTTAAATATATATATATATATATATATATATATATATATATATATATATATATATATATATATATATATATATATATTATAATTATTATTATTATTGAGTTGAGTTGTATTCTGTTGGATTTAATACAGCTCTTTGTCGGTTTGAGAGAGGTGGATATTTATAAAATAGATCAAAGTATATTAAATATTTAAATGATTAAAAGAATGAGATGGAAAGCTTTTTTCTACATGAACAAACAACCTAATGATATGTGCAATACTAATGATAATAATAATATTAATGAAAACTTTATATTTTATGGCATTGTATAAGTTTGATACAAGCTGCCTAAAGATGAATACAATAAATTGATGACAAACGCTACCATAACTAATTATAAAAAAATCCATATATTATCCAAAATAATCCATATTTTATCCAAAATAAACAACCAGCTAAGAAATATTTTATGCATTAACTAGTGGAGTAACATACAGGAGGTAGTTAAATGGTTCAAGAATATCAATGACAAACATTTTTATAAATTCCTCATTTTTTATATTGTTGACTTTTATCTTTCTATAAACAAGAAACTTCTTATCAACTCTATTTGTTTTGCTAAACAGTATGTTACCATTGCTATCGAACACAAATCTTTGATTCCTCACGCACGGAAATCCTTGTTATTTAACGATAACGAAGTTTGGATAAAAAAATCAGGCAATTTATTTGACATCACCATGGGAGTGTTTGACAATGCCGAGTTGGTTAGAATTTTCCTTCTTTTTTAAATTTCTCAGTTTTATAACAAGATTGACGTTGTGCTGTATAGAGATGATGGGTTGGCCAAAATTAAAAATGCCAGCGGTCCACAAATAAAAAAAAGTTAAAAAACATTCAAAAGTAACAGCCTTTATATTTCTATTCATGCAACATAAAAATAGTGAATTATCTCGATATTACATTAAATCTTAATGACTGCAGCTTCAAACCTTGCTATAAACCTTAAAGTTTGTTAAACTATATCCAACTATAACCACCCACCAAGTATTTTAAAACAACTGCCGACCTCTATTGAACAAAGATTATCATCAAACTCCTCCAGCAAAATAATTTTCAAAAACTCTTCTCCTATCTACAAAGAAGCCCTTATAAAGTCTGGACATAGCAGCAATATCCAATATCGTCCTAATTTAAATTTACAAAAAACTAATCGTCATACTAATAAACGCAAACGAAACATCATATGGTTTAATCCCCCTTTTTAGTAAGGATGTTGTCACCAAATTAAAAAACCTTTAATTTTAATTAAATCCCCCTTAAAATTTAATCCCCCTTTTAGTAAGAATGTTTTCACCAAATTAGGAAACCTTTTCTTGAACTTAATCGACTTACATTTCCTAGCACACCACAAGCTATACAAGATTTTTAACAGAAACACCGTCAAAATAATTTACAGATGCATGCCAAATATTAGTACTATTATTAAGTTCCACAACCAACACATTTTGTGTAACCAAAATACCAAAAATGTTTGAAAATGCAACTGTATAGACAGAGCTACGTGTCCTTTAGAAAATCACCAGCGAATGTCAACCACGCTAAGAAATCTTATATTGGTGTTAGCGAAAACTCCTTCAAGATCAGGTTTGCAAACCACATAAAATCATTTAACTTGGTCAGGTATAAAAATGACACTGAACTTTCTAAAGAGTTCTGGAAACTTAAGGAAGCAGGCATTAAACCAATAATTAAGTGGAGTATTGTTAAAAAATGTCAACCCTATAACCCATCCTCAAAAAGGTGTAATCTTTGCATAAATGAGAAATATTTTATTTCAAAGTACAATAAAGAACCTTTGTTAAATAAAAAAAGTGAATTGGTTTCAGCATGTAGGCACAGAAAAAAGTTTTTGCTATTGAATTTCGACACAGGTTAAATAAATTCCTGTTTCGGGTGAAAACTGAGGTTTGACATTGAATTCAATTTATAAGAACCATTCAATAACGAGAAAGCGAAAAAGCAGTTGTCGTAGCTAGCTCTTTGAATCCACTCTTCTTCTTTTTTTAATGGTTTTTTACAAGAACTCTTCATTTGAAGTAGCTTCTGAAACTTTTCCAAGCTCATCACATACTCTGCATTTTCTTGAATAAATTTTACTGTAAGCACAGCAAAATTGAATTTTTTGTTACAAAACATTTTCTTAAAACAAGAATTAAGTTTCTTGTTTTAAGAAATAAATATCCTACAATGCAATTCATTTTTAAAAACAAGAAATATATTTCTTGTTTTGAGAAATAAGATTCTTAGGCTATGCTTAATAGATTAAAATTTTGCTGTGAGTTCTGATGAGTTGTTAAAAACTTTAAAAGATTTTATAAGTTTTGAAATTTATTGTACGCAAAAAGTCTGAGGGAGTCTCTTCCGTAGGCATTTTTTCAAACTATGATTTAGAATAGCAAAAATTAACCAGTAGTCTGGTGAAATAAACAACTCAAGACCTAGTGGCTAGTCTTTATTAACAAAAATTGCTTATAGAAGGATTTCAGCTTTGGTTCTTTCCGTTTTTACACCTTTTCAGACCTCCCTTAATTTTTAAATACAGAACATTTTATCATTTTTGTATTGTGATTTTAACGCCAGTACCAAACACCTCTAAGGTTTTACCATGATTTGAATTTCACCTCTGCAGCAGACTCAATATACATCTGCCAATAGTCTTGTTGATTTTAAAAGTGTAAATTAAAAATAATGCAATGTAGATAGAATAAGGTTTAAAATGACATTGCTTAATACTTATTACATTTATTTTTGACAAGATAAAATCAAAGTGCTATTTCTATTGATTTCATTTTTATTTTATTTCTACTGATTTTAAGAAAAGTCTGTCGTTATAAAAAAAATTAGTTTTGAGTTATTTTCTTTGTATTTTACATCAGATTTTAAACCATTTTGCAAACCATTGTTTTTAAACAATTTGTTACTTTATGACACAAACTATTCTTAAATTATAAGACTATCGAAAACCATAATTCCCTGGAAAGAGAAATTTAGTCAGTCATTCCATTGATCTCTTTGAGTTTTTTATTACTCAGAATAAAAACCTGCCTGATTTTAGAGAAATGAAACTTGAATATTATAAAATTCAAGGCGTGTGAAACAGCTCCATATTTGTTAATTTTCACCTAATGGTCTGATTTTTTTCTGCAAGTTCATAATATTCTCTGCACTTCTCAAAAGTCTAAATTTAGATAATTTTAAAATCAGAAACTTATTTATTTTGTTTTTGCAAAAAGATATTTTAAAGTAAAGCAGTTTATCTTTACCTTATTGTTTTTTAGCCTTTTATGGTTTTATGATATAAATAGTTTATTCTCCATCTTAACAGTTTTTTTACGGCTACGGCTATATGAAGCTCTCTGACATGATGGCTGGAGGTTAACAAGAATAATGGTCAGCCAGGAAACTTAGCTAGAAGTGGGTGAACTGTATGAGATCAAAAGCATCTAAAAAATTTATGATTGCTGTGTATTGGGCCTCAATGCTATTTTGTTTAAAACCACATTTTTTTAGTTTCATAACGAATTTGTGTGTTTTTAAAATACCACCAGTTAACAAAAATAATAGTAATAAAAATGTGCACAATCTATAGATAAAAGATCTTCCATTACTTGTAATGATGTTATTATACAGTTATTGACTTGTAAATTTTTATTCATGCTGATTGTTTAAAAATGCCGTAAAAACTCAAAAAATGTAAAAAATTTTAACTTTAAAAGAGTGGTGCAAGTATAAGTAGTCATCTGAAATGAAAAATAAAAAAATTTCATTAAGAAAACAATACCTTGAAAATATTTTACGACACTCTGCGTATTAAAATTTGTTCATGAAGGTCAAAATGGGCTAATATACACACACACACACACACACACACACACACACACACACACACACACGCACATATATATATATATATATATATATATATATATATATATATATATATATATATATATATATATATATATATATATATATATACACACACACAAACACACACAGTTATGCATTTATTTATATTTTTTTTATGCAGTATACAAATTTTTATATTTTATACCAGTTTAAATTACTACAATAGTATTGTAAAAGTATTTTATAAATTTTATTCATCAACAGTCTATTCGCGGCATTCATGTTTTTTCTGAAGCTATTTTAAAAGTTCAAACAAATAGTTCTCAAATGACTTCTTTGCATTCAGATCTTTTTCAGGTAGGATATTGTTTTTGTAATATTTTTTTTTTTTTATGTACTATATACTGTTTTCCATATTTTCAGTATTGTTTATGTATGTTTTTTTATATTTAATTATATTCTCTGCATTTTATAATATTACCAATTTTAGTTATTTTTTTGTTTTATTGAAATGCAATATATATTCTTATTGTATTAAATAGATATATACAGTTTGCAATAGAATTCTATAATTATATTATGAAATGTTACATTTGTAATTAAGCTATTTAAAGGGTTTTAGAACAGCCATTTGAAGTTTTCAATATACTTCTAAAATTTCAGTTCAATTACATTTTTTAATGTGGAGTTAAGATATTATTACCTAAAAATGAAAGGCATGCGTAAAATTTTAAGTATAAAAAATATTAAATTGGGCAAAAAATAGAAATGTGTTTTCATTGTAAGAAGAAAAGGTATTTTGTTAATTATATTCTGGTAATTTCTTATGTGTACTATGGTTTAACTCTGGCCAAGTTTGATCCCCACCACATTCCTGGTATTAAAGCACTCAACTTGTTTCTCTGCACACCTGTCTTTTTTGTCAAGATTTGTGTCACTAACTGTTAGAACAATTAAATCCCCAAGTGCAGAGACAAGCTGTGTTCATATTAAAGAAAATGTTAAAAAAAAAAATGTTTAGGATAAATATTTTTGATTAAAACTAAATAATAAATGCATACCAATTAAATTAAAATTGTTGTTTTAGTTGTAGCTTGCCATTCTGTTTTTTCGGTTCTCCAAGTCTGTATAATGTTAGCCGCAATCTGCAGACTTGATAATTTATTTCACATGTGTTTATTTCATTACAGTTTTGGTATATGATGTCATCGAAAATTTTTTTAATGATATATTATTTTTTCTGTCACAATCATCAAGTCACATTTATTTGTATAACTTTTTACTAAATTATAAAAAATTTTTGTGGTACAATTAAAGATAAAATAATATATATTACATTTCTTGTTTTAAGAAATAATTATCCTACATGTCGACGTCATAAAATATCTTTATTTTTTTTATAGGCGTTAAGTGTTTTAACTACCCAATGAATAAATATTGCAAACTAGTTCAATTAACAATTAACTCAAATAATTAAAACAATGTATAAATGTTGTAAATGTAAATATATTATGAAAAGTTTCTTATGTTTTCAATTGTTATTCTAATACTAATTTTAGTTCAATATTATTATTAATAATGCGTTATATAAAAATATAAAAAAGTTTAATGTCTGTTTTGAGCATATTTTTGATACATAGTTAAAATGCGTTCGCCAGGAATTTAATGCATAAATATTTTACGTTATTGTAAAAATGTTTTACATTTAAACAAATCACAAAGAAATACAGAGCTAATTATGTTTTTAACGATTAATTTTTTTTTTTTTTAATTTTTTTTTGAACGTTATGAAATATAAAAATTAAATTAAATATAAAAGTCTTAATTATGGAAACTCTTTTGTTATTTATTCTTAAAACAAAAAACTTTTTAAATACTTCTACGCAATATTTTATTTATGCAAACTTGAAAAAATACTCAACTAAAACAATAAGTATATTTAATTATTTGAATTGTTTTTGTTTAGAATAAACATTCTTTAAAATTTGTTCATTAAAAATTAAGTTCCTTAACTTATAAACAAACTCAAAAATATTTTCATTCTACATATAATTACAAAACTCTTTTTTTTTCCCTTGCAAGCAATTTAATTTAGAGTAATAAAATAAATAAAATATAAATAAATATGAGGTTCTTTGTTAAGAAAAAATTTAATTTATTTATTGAACAATATTTATTTTTATTTATATACCAACTTAAATAAAATATGTTAAAATATTTTAACATGACTTGTGCCATTTATAAGCTGTAGGGCATCTTCCCTTACGGCACCATTGGTTTTGGATAAAATTTTATTTTGATGAAGATCACACAAATTACATATGATTTTAATAACATAAGTCTTCTCTTATTCTTTGATACTTTCGATTCGATAAGTATTAAAAAGTCCCAGGATTTAAAAGTTTTCAAAGTAACTCTTTTGTCCTTCAAAATACAATCCATATTTGAACTTTGAACAATTTGGAAAGAATAGAAATATACTAGGTTTTATATACTAGGTTGGTCTTATTTTATATAGAAAAATGCATAGTCATTAGTAAATAATAAGTACTGTCATTAAACTAAAGCATGCCTTAGTATTAATTTAACAGAGTCTGTAAAGTGCGCGTGCATAATTAAACCTCCATTATATAAATATATTTACCATAATATTAGTGTCATCAGCGGATGTTATAGTCTACTTGTGATTTCTTTAACTTTATAATATAACTTGATTTTTATGAAAAAAAAAATTTTATTAAATTGCACGCAGAAGAAATTTAACAAATTGTCTTCATTCAAAAATTGCGAGTAACAGGTAATTTTTTTTCTTCTGTGCCGGTCCCCCTCCCCCTGTTAATCTTAATGTTAAAGGTATCCATATACCATAAACTGATAAGAAAAGCAAGGAGTAATAATTAATGAAGAAGTAATTTTAAGTACAATAAAAATAAATTGTTCTTATATTGGCACATTTTTTTTAATATCTTGAAAAAATGTCATATTTTTGTTATAAATGTTTTAATATAAATGTTTTTATAATATAGATTTTTTTGCTGAATTTTTATTAAAAACGTCTACAAAAATATTTGTAGTTAAGAATTGACATCTTTTTTCATGTTACTTAATACTTAGATAAAAAGTTTAGCATAAAATTACGTTGTATATAATCGTTATAAAAAGATAAGAAATATCATCTCTATAAAAAGTTACAACAATTATTTTAAACGTAATTTCATTCAAACTTTTGTATCAAATATTTTTACATATTGTTATTCAAAAGTTAGTGTGGTTTTTTTAAAAATTAATTACTTCTTTTATCTTACCACTAATTTAAAAGTTTAAAATGATAGAAAGAAGCTTAACCAAAATCGCTTACTACCTACTTAAAAATCGCTTAAGGCGTATGTAAATTGCTCTACGCATAATGCTTTAAAACAAGGCTGATATGGTTTTGATATTTGATTAGCGCAACTTGTTTTAAACAATTGTAATTTTTATCAAGATTTTTATACAAAAATCAGTAAAATATTTTATATCGAATTTATTTTCAGAAAAAATTGCAATGATTTGGGTGAAAATAGAAAAGTGGTATAGCACAACATGTTTGGTCAATTTTCAAAATTGAATTTTTAATTTTGAAACTTTTCTTCCGGTAGCTTTTTAACTTATGTTAAAAGAGGTTTAATATGACACGATTTAAAAATGCAATATGAATTGAGAAATGCCGAATACATAATGTTCTATAAACATTTTTACATTTTTATAAAAATTATATATACATTTTTATTAAATTGTAAATTTTTAATCAAACTTTAAAATGACAATTTGTGCTGTTATTGGGTGCCATAGTAATGCGTACACACCAAATTCTAATATTTTTTATATTGATTATCCTCAGATTTAATAACTACTTTATGGAAAAAAGAAATTAGTATAAATTTTGATGGTTCATGTTTCAGCATGCCAAAAGAACAAATGACAAAAAGAATCATTCCAAAACCAGTGCAAGGGCAGATCCATTGTTTGAAAACAGAAGTACATTAGGAAGGCCGTAAAAAGTGATAAAGATTTCTTTTAAATTACTTGTTTTTTGCATTAGAAATCATTTACCCCCAACGGGAGTTTCTAGAAATAAGTATTGAATTTTTTGAAGGGTCAATATTATATCCATTTCCTGGCAAGAATCTGGTATTATACAACATAATTTACAAGTTTATTCAATTCTGATATATTTTTATACTCTTTCTTTAAGTATTTCTGGGCGTACTTTTCCTTATTATAATGTGTTTGTTTTTTTATCTTGCTGTTGTGTTTTATGTCTAACAAATTGAGGAATTTTGTTATAATAATTGGTTTATCACATTATCGTTACCACAATGATTGTAATCATTTATAGTTTTAGCGTTTTTTGCAAAATTTGTTGATAAAATATGACAATTACTCACACCAATAATAAATTAAACAGTTAAACTACTTATAGTAGTTATTCCTGATTTCTAATTTTTCGTACAAATTTGTCCATTTATGATTCTATACTTTAACACACGAAAAAGTTATGTTGTTTCTTTCTGGTAAGTTGAAAGTTTTGGTTGAAACTGTAAAACCTAATCATCTCATGTACAAAGTTTTCTATGGGCTTGAACTGTTCAAATTAAACATAAATTATATTAAACTAAATAATTAGACTACATTGTATTAATTAAGTAAAACTAAAAAAAAATTAACATAAAGGAATATTTCCACTAAACCATATAAAACAAATTAAATGTAAAACGAATACTTCAAATAAATCATGTAAATTGAATTTAAATGTATATGCGCTAAATATAAAACAAACAGCTGCAGCAGACCGTAAACACTTATTTTAAACATAAACAAAACTTAAAACAAACAATAAACTGTATAAAATTAAAGTAAATATAAACTAAAAAAAGAATGAATAATGCCACTAAACTGTACAATCTAAATAAAATAAAAATTAAATATAAAATGAATATTCACAGTAAACCCTACTGGTTTAAACTAAATATAAACTAAATACTAAAAGAATAATTTTACAAAAACGTATATATTAATTTAAGTATAAAGTAAATATAAAACGAGTGACTTGAATAAACCATATAAATTGATCTAAGTAGTAACTAAATATAAAAATATAAAACCAATTATTTTACTAATAACCAATAAATCAAACTAAATTAAAGTTAAAATTGAAGTTTGTACTTAAACATACAAAAGTTAGTTATTATATAAATATAAAACCAATATTCGCATTAAACCATATAAACTAAATGTAAACTAAACATAAAACGAACTTTTAAACCATATAAACTAAATATAAAACAAGAAGCTGCCTCATACTGCCTGATTTTTCCTCTGGCTGCAAACTCTAATAATAATAAAATATGCATAATTGGGTCATGATTTTGGCTGGCCTCTAAAACAAAATAAATTTAAACAAGTAAAAAAAAATTTTTTTAGTAATAAGATGTGTATACTGTGTCTACTCTCTTCTCCTAATTACCTGCTATAACACTGACATCTGCATCATCAACACTGATCATCAACACTGCTATAACACTGAACATCTGTTTAAAATAGTATAACTAGTACACTACTACTTTATCCAATATAATCAATCACTTCTTTTCTTTAATATGTTCCACTAGTGACTAGACTAACTTGTTCAAGTTGCAAACTTTATATAGAGCTAACAATTTGTCAAATATCCCTAATATATACTGCAGTTTATCCAAATTAATTATTAAGCATCATTTTGGTAGAAAAAATACACAGCGATATATGTCTTACATAAATGTATAAAAAAAAATCTTATTGCTTTAAAAAAAAAAAAAAATATCCAGAATATATAATAAAAGCAACTTTTTATGTAAGAGTTCACCATAAAAATCTTATTTACCATTTTATTTTAATTTTATTTAACTCTGCGCAACACAGGAGGACATTAGTCATCTTAACTATAATATTTTAAAAAAAGGAAATATAACATACTATAAAAAGGAAATATAATCATACTTTGAAAAGGAAATATAACATACTATAAAAAGGAAATATAATCATACTATAAAAAGGAAATATAATCATACTATAAAATGAAAATATAATCATACTATAAAAAAGAAATATATCATACTATAAAAAGGAAATATAACATACTATAAAAAGGAAATATAACATACTATAAAAAGGAAATATAACATACTATAAAAAGGAAATATAACATCTATAAATAGGAAATATAATCATACTATAAAAAGGAAATATAACATACTATAAAAAGGAAATACTAAAATATTATACAAATACTTGATTTGCTGATTGTTGGAGGAAAAGTACTTATATCTCAAAAAGCAACAACACAATATCCTAAAAAAAAATAACAATGTCATATACCGAAACTGTTATGATTTAAACATGCATTATTTTTAAATTATCAACTCTGCAGATTGCGGCTAACATTATACAGATTTTTTAGAGACCTGAAAAAAAAAATTGTGGGCTTTGACTAAAATGACAATTTTAGTTTTTTTTACATTTATTATTTTGTTTTAATTAAAAAAAATTTTGTCTAACATTTTTTTTAACATTTTTTTTTAATATGAACACTTGTCTCGGGACTTGGGGATCCGATATTAAAATATGGATTATGAAAATTATGGAAAAGCTCATTAGCAAAAAAACTTAAGAGCGAACTTGTCCAATTGGTTTTATGCATTCTTGAAAAAATAATTATGAAATAATTATGTGAAATAGTTAATATTTTTATTATTTAATGTTTATTAATAGTTTGAGGTATTAAAAGCTTTATATTTTTCAAATTCTTACAAAAAATCTTGTTTGTCAAGATTTGTGTTTCATAGTGTAATGAAATTAAGAGAGAAAAAAGTTGTATCTTATCAATGTTACATCAACTTGTTGTTTTTTCAAGTGTATAAATCAATAATAGTGTTAGCTAGAACCTTATTGCTGTTTTAACTATAGAAACAATAACTGTTAAAAGTTTTATTGTTGTTTATTTTCTTAGAAACTGTTTTACATCAGAATATCTTATGCTTCACTGTTATTTTTTATTAGAAACAACTTTATTAACTATTAGAAATTAACAGGTTTCTTTTTTTTGTTTGTTTGTTTTTTTTTTGTTTTTTTGTTTTTTTTTTTCAAAAAATAGGTTTTATTTATTTATTTTTTACAAAAAAGGAGAACTAAAATTACATTTATCTTTGCAATAACTTTTTGTCATTCTGGTTAAAATAAAATACTTAAATTTTGTAAACAAACCCTTTCGATCAATGTTCTTGTTTACAAAAGTTTTTTTTTAAGTTTTTTTTTTAAAATAAAGTTGCCATTTAAACTGGTTGTATTCATTTCTGCATTTGAACTGGTTTTAGATATTTCTGCAGTTAATAAGGCTTATTCTGAACTATTATGCTAAAGAAACTTTTTCGGGATTTTTGCATTGAGAAATCTTATGCTATTTTTTTAATATGGTTCATAAACCCCTAATCATATTTTTAAATTCCTAATTTTCTATTGTTGAAATTTTATCTTATGAACAAGCCTATGAACCTAAAACATAGCTGTTTTTAAAAATTATAGTTGTTATCTATGCATGTCAAAAAACAGATGTAGTTTGACTCTTAAATTTTTATTTTAAGTAAACAATTTTTAAATACAATGTTTTAGTGTAATTTTATTACTGATTTATTTTAATTTAGTTGTGCCTTTCTGCTAAATGTTTTAAACCTGCTCTGAAGTTTTTGGATGTTGATGTAACAGATATAAATAATGAAGTAAGTTTAATAAATTTTGACAAATTTTTTCTTGTTCATTTTTTTTTTTTTTTTTTGTTAGTTGAAGTGCTGCAAACACTGTTTGTTGATTCCTAATGATTTTACATTTAAGTTAATAATTTTTTTGTTTACTAATGTATTATTAATTTTTCAGCAACCCTACAAATTTTTTTAATATAATTTTCGTATGAATATTTCTCTTTTTCTGTCTTATACTTATATAAATTACTCTTTACTTTTTAAGTTACATGAGAATTGAACGTTATTAATTATTTAGTTTAGATTTTTTGTTGTCAAAAAATCTAAATCAAGTGTTAAATAACTATATTTTTCATGAATAAAGTGTATTAGCAAATTATTTGCTTCTTTTCTTTCAAAATTTAAAAAAAAGAATTATTATGGTAGTCAAAATAAGCAATTTATGATTGCATAAAAATTGGACACAAAGGAGTTACCATAAAACATTAAACGATTTTTTGTTGACCTCAAGCACTTTAGGTTGGCATTGCCGAATGCCGACCCTTATTTCGAAGGCTGATATATATATATATATTATTATAATTATTATTATTTTCATTTTACACTGTTTCATCAATTAATACTCATCAGAAATGAATGTTCAAATTGATAAAACTTCAATTTATACCAAAAATCAAATTACAGGAAGTCATAAATGTCTTTGCTACTGTAAGTTTTCACACATTTGTGGAATATGCTGACACTATTATAATAAGAATTTAGAATTGTTTACTTTTTTTTTTTTTAATAGTTTTAATATAATTTGTTTTCCTGTCTGCATTTAGAAATCAGTTCAAATTTTTTTGTTTGATAAACATTCTTAAAAACCTGCCAAATTAACGAGCAAACTAATTCTATTGGTTCAAAAAATACGCTAAGCAAAGTAAAGTTATATAGTATTCTGTTGAAATGTTTTAAAAATTGTATTATTCACAATTTGTTACGTTTTGAGATTTCTAGCATAAACTGTTTTAAGAATATATTATCAATATTATGACTCATTCTCGGAGCCACATCTGCAAAGCCATGTTTTAAATATATATTATTTAAATTGTCAAAAATTTGAAAGTTTATTATAAATTATAGATTTGATTAGTATTCTTATTTTTTATTTAAAAAGTATGTATTTTTTATGTAAATGTAATTTTGTGTATCTGTTTTTTATCGTAATTTCATTACGATAAAAATGTAATTCAATGATTTAATTATTTCATTTCATTTGTTTATCTTACTAAGAAGAATTGTTTCAAATATGTTAAACTTTTCAAACTACGCAAAACATAAAATAGGTATTAAAAAAATTAACTTTTTTATTTATAAAATAATTTAGCTTAGATAAAACTAAAACTTGCAAACTTTGCTAAATAAAGAACATTTGTTTCTTTTTTAAACAATCGCAAGATGTTATTTTATATAAAAAACATTGATTAATTTTATAAAAAAATTATAAAAGAGCGATGTTTCGAAAATAATTGTTTTAAAAGTAATTTATTTTGCTTTAAGTTTTTTTGTGTTAAAAGATATTTTTCTAATTTTTTTTTTGTAATTGTCTCTCATTGGTCCAATTAATCTTGAGCACATTTTTTTTTTGCTTTTTGAAATGTTCTCAAAACAACTAAAAAATCTGGCCAGCTTTTTGCAACTAAAAATGGCACGGACAACTTTTTTGCACTCAACAAAGCCAAGTCACATTATAACAAAGTACACCACTTGGCTAGCAAGGTCAACAATCTTGCTGTAAACCAAGTCACATCAATTTGAAATCATGTAAACAACATAATAACCACTTACAAACTATAAACACATAACATTATAACACATCACAAACATAGAAACACTTCATATATAAAAGATATTTACACACGAAATATAAACCCATACAACCTTAACACCTATAAACACATAATAAATAACAAATAAATATATCTAAATATAAAAATTAAGAAAAATATATAAATTAGAAGCATTTATAAAATAATACCTTATTTGTTTAATGACATACCTCGTAATAAATGTTTAACAACTTTAAAAAAATAACGGTCAAATGACCTGGTTTTTTATATTATAAAAGCAAACAGATTTTCTTTACTGTCTTTAAAATAAGGTATTAAACAATCTTGTTCTTTACATACAACATAGAGTTGATCGTGTGAGATGCAAGGGTTTTGGAGATAACAACTATATTTATCAGGAGTTTGACCTTTTGAAAAGAGCATCATTTTCTAGAGTCATCATCGTCTTCTAATTTTAAAAATAAAAACTAACAGATTAAATAAATTACCTGACTTTAAAAGTTACTTTACTAATTCAAAAATAGCATAAGGTTCATCCTTTACTACAGAAGTTATCAAATAAAAATTGTAGATCTTATAACTAATTAAGCTGATAAAACAAAGTTTTTGATTTTATTACTGATTAAGCAGATATGAACAGATTATTATGTTTTGAGAATACCTTATCGCGTGATTTTAAAAGTATAAAGAGAAGGAGTATGCTAAATCCTATTTATAATAAAATTTAGATTATCATTGCAGAATGCAAACCCTAATTCTGAAGGCTGTAATATATATATATATATATATATATATATATATATATATATATATATATATATATATATATATATATATATATATATATATATATATATATATATATATATATATATATATATATGTATGTATATGTATATGTATACAATATATATGTTTATACATATATTTATATAATATATATATATTTATATATATAATGTGTCCGTGTATATATATATATATATATATATATATATATATATATATATATATATATATATATATATATATACTCTATCATGTCAAAAAAGAAAAAAAACAAAGAATGATGAATGAAATGATTGCTGCTCCATCCCAAACCCTCAGTCAATGTAGCAGCACTCCACTTCGAGTCAGGCTATTTGTCAGTCGATATATGTACTGAAGCCCCAGCAGCAGGCTATTTCAGTATGACGTCAGATTGCTTACCTTAATATGCAATACTGTTTGTGTGTATATATATATATATATATATATATATATATATATATATATATATACACATATATATATATATGTATATATTGTGACATAACTTTTTTCATGGCAAATTTCTAAAAAATAAATAAATTTGAAGTAACCAATATAATAGACTTGTAATAGAAATACAAAGTTTTTTTTTCCTACAAAAAAACAAACGCATGCCGACAGAACTCTGCAAAATTTTGAAAATTGCTGTTTTTAACTCTTCTTGTTATGTTGCTAAATCAATAGAAACACTTATATTTTATAAAATATTTATTTAAAGAATATAAAATTACAGATCAAGCAGAATATTTTTCTTTAATGGTCTCTTTTTTACACTCTAGATACAGATTTCTACTTTTCACATAGTGTAGCAAAAATTGTTTTTGTTCTTCATTTGCATGTTCAAACAATGAAAATTTTTAATAAGTTTTACTACTCTTTTAGCTGCATCATTAACTGCACTTAGGAAAAGACAACATATAGATAACATCATTCCACGTTGAAACAGGTCTCTTGAGGAAGTTCTCATTAACTTTTAATCAAGAAAATAAATTTATGCTCTTGACAGACACAAAATCAAAGTGCTCGTTTATTATTCTTTAAGGATATGTTTAAGAAACATATCCTTAAAGAATAAATAGTTCTAGCCTTCCACCTTGCTTGATGCATTGCTCCAAGAAGTCTGATTTTAATTTTTTTTTTTAATAATTATTATCTTCTTATTTAATTTATTATTATTAACTTCTAAGAAATTAACAATTAATTCCTGATAATCAATAGTTTTTTGAAGTTTCCCGATAATCAGTAGTTTTTTGTACAATAGTTTTTTGCAGTTCTTTATTATAAAATGTCAACAATTCTTCAAATGTTGTATTACTAAATGTTGTTTGACAATATCAGTGTATGTTTTAATAGCAGTCAGATAAATAGTTTTCCAGTTGTCTCTAAACATTTTGAACATAGGGATATCAGGGCTACTTGTAACTGTAACAGGGCTACTTGTAACTAAACTTGTAACAGGGCTACTTGTAACTAAACTTGTAACTTGTAACTTGTAACAGGGCTACTTGTAACTAAACTTGTAACAAATACACATTTTAAAACCAGTTTATACATGTGATGAAGGCAAGCAATAATTAGTAATTCCCTGTCAAGTTTTTGTTTCAAGAATGCACTAGCTTCTTTTATTGACCCCGTATTGCTTTTTGCTTAAAATGTGGTAAAGTTCTTCCTTCTTTTTATTATAGTTTCAGAACTTACTATTTGAGAGGTTGACGGTTCCTTAGGGCTTTCATCGGTGCTGTTGTGTGATCCTGATGTGTGATCCTGATGTTCTTGCGTTTGTAAAAAATCTTGTGTAGTAAAAAATGACAAAAAACTCACTAGACATTTGTTAATGTTTTTTTATTATTATTCTTTTAATTTTATCTGTCTTGTCCTTTCTTCTTTTCTGGCTAATTTTTTGTCAATAAAAAGTTAACCAAAAAAGATTCCTAGACACCTTGGTTCTCTTTGTTTATGTATTTTTAACCGTTCCAAAGCATCAGCATGTGCTATATCAAATAAATAATCTCAATTGTTTTGAAAGTTCTCCTCACAGTGCTTGTAAATATCTTGTTTTGTTTTTTTGGATTTTTTTTGCAACTCTCTCCAAACATGGCGACGATCTACAAGTTCTTTTACACAGTTAGACTTAGCTATGGTATGGATTCTAGCTTTTTCTTGCTTTTTACTGCAAGAACTTGACGGTTAGACCGTAACTTTGCTCCTGTTATTTCACGTCACCAACTGTGATAAATTTTTTTTTCTTGCTTTCCATTTTTACTTTCTTAAAAATAAAACAATATTTGTTAGTCATGAGAATAACTGAATTTTTCTAAAATGGCGGATTTGCTTAAAGCAGTTTTTACAGTCGCAATTGATAATAACTATCTATTTACAATTATTGTAAGTAGATAATTATTATCTATTTACTATTATCAATTGATATTGAATTATCAAGATATTAACTATCTATTTTCATTTATTAATTTTTCGTCATTGTAAACATCACTTTGATCATTTTTACACTTTTAACAAATAACGCAACCGCAACTATTGTGCAACTTGATATTGTATGATCATGATTCGATGCAAGTCGGCACAGGTTATCTAACTTCAATCAAGGTAAAAATTTATTTTCGAGTGTTTTAGAAGCAAATGAATGAAACTAAAACCTATGCATTAGAAAATAAAAACTTTGAAAAATAAAGAAAACCCTAATATATATATATGGGCAATTCCCCAAGAGTGGCTGTCGTAACATTTGATGTTATTTAAGCTATTAAAAATGAACCAAAAATGGGAATGACTTGAAACTTTCAGAAATGTGGAATACTATTGCATAATTTAGTATGCAAAAGTTACAGTATTGAAGTCTTCTACTTTTTTCAAAAATTATCTCTGCATAGCGTGACGGTCGTAAAGTTTACTTTTTACCACTTCTGAACAAAACAGCTTAGTCAGACTAATTGCAGCAAACGGCATGGTAAAGAAAAAATCATTTGGTGTGTGTATTTAGCACATGTTGATGTTATTATATGCTGAGTTTCATAGTTTTTACTTGATGCTTTATAAGCATTTCTAAGTTTTTTTATCATGATGGTCATAACAAAATTCTAGTTTTATAAATAAAACAATGCAATAAAAAAAAAAAGATGAATATAACATCAAAGTTCTCAATTATGGTTTTTTGATACTGGGCTCGTTAAATTTAAAATAGGCAACTAAAGGCAGGGTGCTATATTTATTTATACTGTATTACTTTACTAAAGTTTAAATGGTTAATGCTGCCTGTTCCCATCATAAGTTTATAAAATAATTATTTAAGGAAAGTAAAAATATATTGACTTTAAAATTTTTTTACAAGCTTTGGTTGCGAAATTGATTTTTTTGTTTGTTTTTGTTTTTCTTTGAATGTGATGGTCGCAATGTACTTTGTTACATCTTAATACTATCACCTGAAGCTCTTTTTTTAAAAAAAATTAATACGATGGTAACACTTATATCAGTATCTTTACTTTAACAATATTTTTAGCTTTGTAAAGTCTGATACGAAGCCTTGAAAAAACTTATCGACTTAAGTTTAAGACTTAAGTGACGGCCGTAAGTTTATGCGTTATGACTCGTAACGCATTAATTTGATAAATATATTCTTTTTTTATACATAGTTGGAGTGTTTTTATAAATAATATTCTACATAATGTTTAATATTGTCTTTAGGTCACACTTAAAAGTAATAGTTACATAAAAACGCAGCACAGAAACCTTTTTCAACACTTCACAACAGGACTTATAAAAATCAAAAATTTTTTATAAAACCCTTACAACTTTAAAACCATGCTATGGTTTGATAAAATGATTTTTTAAATAATTTTTTTGCTTAAAAGTATTCTTAAATAGCTAAAAAAAGAATTTATTGAGGTTAGCAAATGTTTTTCTAACTTTTTTTTTTCTTTTCCTCTTTCTCGCGGAATCGCCCATATATATGTAAATATATACATATATATATATATATATATATATATATATATATATATATATATATATATATATATATATATATATATATATATATATATATATATATATATATATATATATATATATATATATATATATATATATATATATATATATATATATATATATATATATATATATATATATATATATATATATATATACAGGCTTTAGCAGAAATGGCGGGCTATAGCCTGTGCCCATCTCTGCACCTGTGTAAGTTAGTTTACACAGGCAACATAAAGCCAGTGCATAATAAAAACTTTTTGGTAAAAAAATGTTAAATATGTTTAAAGATGTTAAAATTTGAAATGTTGATGTTTTTTGTTTAGTTATTCTTTAAAAACTCCTTAAATGATATAATTTCAACATGGATAAAAAAAACTTTTTTAAATTTAACAAAGTTTGGCAAGTTCACTTGAGAGTAAAAAAACAAATCAAAACAAAAGAACAAGAACATAGAGCAAAAAATACGCAAAATAAAACGCATACAAATAGCTCTATGCCAAAACAAAAAGTGTGATGTAACTTTGAAAAACTGAAATCTTAACTTTACAAGTATTCAACTCATTTATTAAAAATTAAATTACATAAGTCTTTAAAGATTTATCCTTATCCCTCTTGTTATTACAGTACTCATCAAAATTTTCATATTCGATGACATTTTTATTCACAAAGATATAAAATGAACAAACTTTTATACTAATATGTAGAAGTATGATAAATTGTTTTTATAAAATGACATTATATTGTATAACATTTTTATACTGTTGTTTTTAAAATTAAAATGATTGTTAAAAATTAAAATGGTTATTAAAATGATTAATTATGTTTTAGCATTTTTATAATTTCACGTGTTTGTTTAAATAACTAAATTATTAAATAAATATAAAAATAATATATAATTAATTTTAAAAAACATTAAATAAAATAGAAATATTTTTTTAAATGATACCAATTTTGGCAACTTGGTAATTTTTTGCTGATCTCCAACACTTTTTGGCTGGCAGTTAGGTTAGCATTGCCAGTTAGGTTAGCATTGTTAGTATAGCATAGAAGTTAGGTTAGCATTTTAGGTCAGCGTTAGAGAAACAAGTTGAGCGCGGTACTACCAAGGACATGGCGGCGATCGAACTCAGAACTTCTCGCTTATGAGGCAAGCACTCTAACACTACACCACTACCACATTTATATAATTGCACAACCATTTTAAATGATGAATTTTAATCAAAATTGCTAGTTTGTTCATAAAAAAATAACATTTTGAAAATGACTTTTTACAAATGATTTTTTTAAGATAGTTGTTAGTATCATTTTTATAAAAAAGAAAAATTTTATAAATTTTTTCTGTTACACTTAAAGAAGAACTTTATCGAAAAATACTTTACAGAACACAAATTGACCCTACCCTCTAAAAAAAAAAATTTCAGCATAAAAATGTTTTTTTTTCAAATTTGTTAAATCAGTTTGCCCAATAATCAATTGGTTTTTTTAATATTACAATAAGCTAGTATTTCAATTTTCTACTGACCAAGTTGTTCAGTAAATATAAAAATTGAAAAAGAATTTTCAAAAATAAAAGAAGTAGTGCTATAATGTTTTTTTTTTTTTATTGATGACAATACTTAAAGTACATAATATATATTGGGTTCAATTACATAACACAGGGTTTATTTTGTAAAGTTTTTGGATTATAAGATTTATGATATCACTTGCATTGTCAATTAATTTGCAACTAATTACCAATTTATTTGCAACTAATTACCAATTTATTTGCAACTAATTACCAATTTATTTGCAACTAATTACCAATTTATAATTAGTGCATCAAATATTTTAGATTAATTTTTATTAATATATCAAAGTTTTGATTGATAATTTTTTAGGATGGCAGTTTTGATGCAAGATCTTTTCTACTTTACTTTTACTATGGTGGGATGATATTTCTTGCTCTTAAACAGTTTGAAAAAGCAATGTTTTGTCTCCAAGCAGTAAGTTTTTTTCTTTTAAATCAATATACTAGTGGTAAGAATATTTAGAGTTAATAAAATATAAATAATAAAAATACAAACTCGAAATAAATTTGAATTTATAGTATATATAAAAAGTAAGAGATGCTACCTTAACCAACCACCCAACAGCAATGAGATAATAAAAAGAGGCAACCTTGACACATGCTAACTTTGCAGTGGGGGCTGTATATATGGCTTCGATGTGAGGTCAGTAGTGAATGAGAATTTTGAGTTTAAGAGGAAAAATTGTAGACACACTAAGACTGTTGTTATTCATCAATATTGGAATATCTGCAATATTGTGATAATTATAATTAGTAAACAACTGAGTTTTTCTAAAGTTTTAATGCTTCTTCAAACTCTTAGTTGCAGTAGCCCGCTGTTTCCATCTAATTCGTAACTTTTCTGTTAAAGTTACAGTTGCTATTAGTCTGTTAATTAACTGAAAAGTTTGTTGATAACTGAAAATAAGTATTAAGTTAGTTAAATAAAAACAACTCACAATTGGAAGCAGGAGTGATTTAGATGTGACAGTAAGTCCTGCTTTTTTATAATGACAGTAATGGTTCAAAAGATAAAAGTAGAAAAGTTTTTTGTTTATGGTTCTTATCTTCGGGAAAATAAGCAAGATAGGTGAATTTTTATATAACTTTATACTAAAGCATAAAGTTATTTACAAATATAAGTCAGACCATGTGAGGTCAATATTATAGAATAAAGGCCAAGCATGTGGCATGGGTTTTTTTTAAATCTTTGATTTACAAAACCAGTAGCTGTTGTCATCAGATCTAATTTTAATTTGGCTGAAACAGCTGATTTAAAATTAGTCTCACAAAGAGCAAGTCCTTTGTGAGACTAATTTTAATTCAGCTGTTTCTCTTTCAAAATTCAAAATTTTGAATTAAAAATTTTGAATTAAAAATTCAAAATTTTTAATTCAAAATTTTGCTAAAGATTCAACAGATGTAAAGTTACTTCAAAGACCTCAATTACTTGTAAAGTAAAGACTGAAATAATTTGTTAGTAATGATGAAAAACAGTTTTGTTTTTCATCATTACTACCAAATTATTTCATTAATATTATATTATAAGAAATATTGTATCATAAGACAGTGACATAAATATTGTCTGGGCAGTAAGCTTTAAAAGAGTTATTAAGAGTTATTATTTTAATTCAAGAAGGTTGGAAAAAATTACTTTTTATATTACGCATATATTTTAACAGTAATTTTGTTCTATAGCTTCAATTTATGTAGCATTTTTTTTCTTTTTGAAAGTCTTTTTGAAAAGCAAGAGTTATTAAAACTGCTTTACAAAGTTGCAACCTAATATCATATCAAATGTCATATCTATCATATCAAACCTAATATCGTGCTTTTAAATCTGCTGAATCTGTTTTTAATATATGGAATGTATTATAGGAAGGTTAATAGCGTTTTTACATTCATGATTCTCCAGTTTGCTGCTTCATGCTGATTATGAATTGCTGATTGTGAATTGGATTCATGCTGATTATGAACCCCATTCAAGAGCCAAGTATTTAGTGAAGCATTTACGTCTTTACATAAAATCACCGAAAAACTTTAAAACATTGTATATATGACAGCAATATAATATGGAATTCCAGTTCATGTTGATTATGAATTGCTGATTAATAACTGTTTAAATATGTTTTCTAGACTAAAACATATTTTAGTCTTTAAATTTATTTAAATGTTTTCAGACAGCTAAATTTAACAGTTATTAAACCTGCCCGGAAAATGGTTAACTTTATTAAATAGGACGCCATTTTGGTGAAATTCTATTCTTATATTTTATTATAATTAACCTATATTTTATCTAAATATCAATCTCACAGTAACTTGAGTTATCAAGAAATTCTGTTGTTTCTGTGCAATATTTGTCCAAATACCAATTCCATAATGAATTGTGCAACTTCAATTTTTATTTTTTATTTTATTATATTTTATTTTATGTATTGCGCAAATTATATTTTTAGAAAACAACGTATAACAAATGATACTTAGTTTAATTTTTTTTTTTTTTTTTCAGTATCAGTGATTGTAATCCGAGGATCTCAGCCTTTTTTATAATCCCGAGGTTGTTTAATATCAATCCCAGAATTTCTCTATAATCCCGAGGTTGTTTAATATCAATCCCAGAATTTCTCTATAATCCCGAGGTTGTTTAATATCAATCCCAGAATTTCTCTATAATCCCGAGGTTGTTTAATATCAATCCCAGAATTTCTCTATAATCCCGAGGTTGTTTAATATCAATCCCAGAATTTCTCTATAAGATTAAATAAAACAAAGCCTAATGAAAATAGGTATTAAAACAACAATTTATGCATCTCAATAAAATAATTTAAAATAGTATAAAAATAGCAGAAAATAATTGTATTTTCAGTTGTACAAAAAAATGTTTAGAGAAAAATGAAAATGAGAATCTTTGCAGTATATCATGTTAGTTAGTTATTCTCTTATGTTCCGTAATTCTGCAAAATAAATTTTTTCAAACTGAAAAAAAAAGTGCTTTTCTTATAAAGGAGATTCTTAAAATTAAAAATTAAATAAGCATGATGTATGTGGACTTTACAATATTTTCTGCGGTATGAAAAAAATCAGACACCGATGTTTCAACTGCCAAACAGCAAGAAGATTTTTAAAATCAGTGGTTCAACAAAAGGAATTCTTATACACATGTTGTTGGAGGATAATGTGAAGGTCAAAAGTTCAACCCAGCCTAATATTACCAAAGAAAGTACATCAGATAAAACAGCCAAAGAGAAATTTAAACCACTAACAGAATGCTTTTCCATTTATGAGCGGGAAGATTAAATACTTTATGTTACACTTGCTTGCCTGACGATGTCTGACAGGCTTTCATTTAATCTGTTTTGTTCTTCAACAGATTTGTATGCCACTTTAGCTGCTATGGGATTCAGAAATTTATCAACGTTAATAATCACAATTCATAATCATGTAGTAGAGTAGAGCAAAAAAATAAGATTAGATCTCGTTCAGCAAATTGAAGCATGCATGAAAATGGAATTTGGGGTAGGAGAGATATTTTCTTTGTCTTTTGACAAATGGGTGTCACTTTAAAATTGTCGCTATATAAATATTAATATTTATGGACTAAGTTCTCATTTAAGGAGTTTAGGTTTAGTGCGAATAAAAGGTTAAATGCCAGCAGTATAGTCAGCAGGAAGGTTGCTGGCTGCTAATCAACAATTATGTTTTGCCTACAGCATACAACTTGCTGTAATTGATATTCTTTATAAAAAGAGAGAATTGGAAACAAATCATCTAGAATTTGAAAATAAATTTTCTGACAGTGATTCATTCAAGAAGGAGGAAATGGAGGAAGATTTACTGGGCTACAATCATGAAAATGTAAGACCTAAAATTGAATTTTGAGCCAGTCATAAAAAAAAGTACACAATTTGATACTAATATTTAGAGGATCACCAACCAAGAACAACATTTTATAAAAATATATTAAGACTGAATTCGGAAAACAACTTTCTTTAATAATGGACTACAAGATATAATCGAGCAGCCTTCTGTTAATGCTTAAACAATTTTACAAAGTAAAAAATTGTATACAAAAGTCATTAATTGATATTTACCGAGTCCAATATAAATCTATAGTTCTATCACAGAATGAAGTGATTATCAAAGATTTCAACTTTCCATTAAACCAAGAGTTAAAGCATTTAATTTTCGATACTCTATAACCTAACATAAAATAATCGATACTCTAACCTGTTTACTGTCATAGTTATTAATTTTATGCTTATAAAATTGAAAGATACTGAAAATAAAACAAACAAGGAAATGTGTGCAGCTTTCATGGTTCGTATGGATGAATGCCAAACTATGAGTAAATTTCTATAATACCTGCGTAATGGTCGAAGCTCCATTGAAGTCAATGAGTAATTAATTACAGTGCCTTCTTTATTTTAATGTCAAAAACTTTTGGTAGAATTTCTGTAAAGATTAAATACTTCCGATTCTGCTTTAGTAAGATTGTCAGTTGAGTCTGATATGCTGAATTTGATTGAACTTGAAATGGTACCTGAGTCTGTAAGTAATCCTTTAAGTATTAAAGAGGAACTTAAAGTGTTATTAAAGAAGGACAATCACCAATGCAACCAGTTAGACATGAGACATTGTTATCAAAAATTCAAACAAAAATGACACCACTTGAAAATGGTGGTACATGTAGCGATTATTTAAAAAGAGCTTATTCATTTCTAATGACCATGAAACTGACAAGTGTCAAGGATGATTAGTTTTCTTACGCTGGACTGTTTAATACAAAAATTAGTAGCCCTTTATGCGATTAAATTTTGTACGTGATGTGTTTCCTTAAGTCACATTTCAAAGCACATAAAACATAACATGTTTCCTTATTTTTGACATAATATCTTAACATTAATTAACATGTTAAGTGAAAATGTTTTTCTTTCAAGCATGTAACAATGTAACACAAACTGCCTTCACTTAATAAATATATTTTTGGTTAAAAATGTACTGTTTTTATTCTATTTAATACTATGTAAATGTTATAGATGTTTATGTTTTTTAATCCTGGGAACCCGGAATTGATATTTTTCAATCCCAGAATCCCGGGATTGAAAAAGACCACCAGGATTGCAATCCCTAATATCAGTTTAAGGCATGTAATGAATTTATTCAATTAAAAAATCAATTTAAAACTTTAATTGAATGAAAGCAATTACTTAAATATTTTATTAAAATTAAAATTTAGGTAATTACAACACCTGCCATACCTGTAAGTCATATTATGCTTGAAGCATACAAAAAATATCTTCTTTTATCATTGTTGCTGAATGGAAAGGTAGTTTTTCATAGTTTTTTTTTCATTTTTTTATTTTTTTCAAATGTAATAAATAAGTTTTGATTGCTGCTTGTGCAAAGGCTCAATAAATTGAAAAGACTAAGAATATATTTGAAATATTAATTAGTTGACACAATATAAAGCAAGCAAGCACAAAAATGTAATTGAAAAATTTATTGTTTTTGTTTTTTTAAGACTTTTTGTTTAAGTAGATGGTCAAACACAAATAATTTTGGTTATGTAGACAAATAAAATTTTTATTGGTTAGGTTACAAAACATTACAATTAAGAATTTGTAATCACAGTTAAGTTATTACTTTTTAAATTTATTACTAGCAATAGCTACTAATAATATATTAGCTATTAATAATATATAAATATATTAATATTTCAAAAATGTTTGGCATGCTTGTCTTCTTCACATATGACTCTTCACATATGACTCTTCACATATGACTCTTCACATATCATTTCTTCACATATGACTCTTCACATATCATTTCTTCACATATGACTCTTCACATGTCATTTCTTCACATATGATTCTTCACATATCACTTCTTCACATATGAATCTTCACATATCATTTCTTTACATATGACTCTTCACATATCACTTCTTCACATATGAATCTTCACATATCATTTCTTCACATATGACTCTTCACATATCATTTCTTCACATATGACTCTTCGCATATCACTTCTTCACATATGAATCTTCAAATATCATTTCTTCACATGAATCTTCACATATCATTTTTTTTTTTTTTTTTAAACATCTTTGCTTCTAACAACGCTGCAAGCAACCACTAATTAGTGTTAAAAGTTACTGGAAGAGAAAAGATGAAGATTGTAGAGCAAGATAATGATTGACAGACGACTTAAAAGATTGCAAATTATATGAATCAGGAAAGCAAGATGAAGGAAGCGAATTCCAAAGAACTGATGTTCGAGGAAAAAAACTAGGCGAATAAAAGTTTTTGGAGCACTTAGGAACAGTAACAGAAAAAGGATGAGACTTAATTGAATGACGAGTAAGAAGAGAATGAACTTTAGTGTAGATGGCACAAGAGGCGCTAGCTCTTTAGAGCAGTGCCCATTATAGTATTTGTAGAAAAGAGAAAGATAAGCAACATTCCGATGATTTGACAGAGGTTGAAGGTTGGCTGCAAGAGCAGGTCCAACTATGTTTACAATGTGTTTTTTCACCTTGTCTAAAAGAGAAAGGGCATCATTAGAAGATCCGCCCCAGATATGGCAACAGTATTCCATACAAGGCTGGATTTGAGATTTGTAGAGATAGAGAATCCTGAGTAAGAAAGTGTCTAGCTCGATGAAGAGAAGTAACTTTAGCAGATGCTAATTTTGCAACGGATTTGATATAAGGTTTCCAAGAAAGATCAGAAGTAAGAGTTAATCCTAGAAGATGAAGGGTAGGAGACTCATCGAGTACATTATCGTTCATAAATATAGGAAGGTCTAAATTATTGCGATATGTGATTTCTTCACATATCACTCTTTTTGATCTCTTAGGACAGTTAGCCGATCTTGAATCTGATCTCTCTTTTGTAACAGATTAGGGCTTTAACAAAACTCGGTTGTTTGCTGCAAACAACTATCAAAATATTGTCAACATTATTTTACTCCTGAATCCATTCTCTACCTCTACAAATCTTTTATTCATCCCTTTATAGAATAATGTAGTCATATTTAGGCTTGTTCTTCTAATAATGCTCTTCTTGACATTGTCCACAAACGCATTGCCAATCTTGAGCCACTTTTTCATTGTCATAAGGTTGCATCTCTTTCTTTTTTTTCTACAAATGCTATCATGGTCTCTGCTCAAAGGAGCTATCATCTCTAGTTTTATCTAACAAACTCATTCTCCCTTGACTTTTCATTCAGCAAAGTCGCATCTTTTTACTGTATCTTTCTAGGTATGCTCTAAAAAAATTTATTCATCTCTTCCCTCCCCCTGCATTTTGATGCTTTAAAGCTCTCTCTTATCATCAATCATCTCTCCCTGTTTTCCTGGCTCATACAACCTTTAACTTTTCAAGTCTTCTGTCAATTGTTCCCTTGCTTTTTAACACTGTTTGTTTCTAGTAACTTCCAACTTAACAGTAGTTGCTTGTAGTCTTGTTGGTAGTGAATTATTTTAAAAATATATATAATATAAAAATAAAATAAAAATAGCTGATAAGCTTTAGCAAAGAAAAATAATGTTAAAAACAAGGGAAACATTAAAGGGATTATTAGGGAATAATTAAAGGATACAAATAAAATTTACGATTTGTTGAGAAATCATTTAAAAAGCAAATCAGCCGGGGAAGTGGTGAATAAAACCAGTTTTTAATTTTATAATTTTTAAATGGACAGTTGATTTGACATCAGATGTAAAAATTGGTATAATAAATTTTCACAATATTGATTATAATTAGGGTGGTACCGGAATGGAAATTTTGAATTCCAACTGGGACCGAATTTAGTAATAAAATCCCAGCCGGAACGAGAATATTTATGTAATTTTTTACCTTCAAGATTGAAAGTGAAAGCCTGCACCTCAGCACCATGGCTAAACTATTTCATTAATTTGATTCTTGTTTCATTTAAATCTAATATCTTGCTTTTATTTGTTTCTTATAATTTTATTTTATTGAAAGAGTTAACCTGCATAATATTTTAAATTAAAGTTATTTCTTTGTTTTCTATTTTTCTATAATTTTTAATATATATATATATATATATATATATATATATATATATATATATATATATATATATATATATATATATATTAAAAATTATTACTTTGTTTTATTAAAATATTTACTGTATAAGGCATCCTATATTTTTTGACTATTTAAAATTTAAGTAAAATTTAAAATGAGACTTTTTTGTTTACATAATCCATCCTTACACAAACAGTAAAATCAACTCCTAGGAATAAAACGCGCTTGAATAAATTATCAAGTCTGTAGATTGCAGCATATAATATGCTGACTTTTTGACCTACAACAAAACAGAGAAGGCGAGCTTCGACTAAAATAAAAAAGTTTTTCTTGGTATGTGTTTATTTTTTTGTTTTAATAAAAAAAATTTCTCCCCAAAATTTTTTTTATCATTCCCTTTAATATGAACACAACATGTCTCAGAGGTTTGTGATCCCTTTAAGAAATTTGTATTTTTTACCTATAGTTCTTTATTGTCCTGTAGGACCATGATTTCTTGATTTAATTTACAGTCTAAATGTCACATGTCTTAAAATAAAAGTAAAAAAATTAATTCCGGCATTACGGCCTGATATATTGTAATTCCAATCTAAACAAGTTCTTGCTTTTAAACGGTTCCATTTTGTTTTTATATCTTTTATAATTTCCCTTAAACTTGAAACTAACAGTTTTGTTGTCAAAGTTATTAATTGCTAATAATTTATTGAGCTCTTTTAAACTATTTTCTCAACATTCTGGTCTGCAAAATATTCAGCATCTAGTATTTATATATAATAGCATTTCTCATAATTTTTACTTAATATGATAAATTTTATAATTAAGATAAATAAAACTTTGATGAAGCATAATTACTAAATTAATACAATTACTTTAGTTTTATGTAATTCCCTCATAAAATGGTGTCAGTAAGTGGTTTAGGAAACTATTTTATTTAAAAAGAAAATCACTCATCTTGAAAATAATGGTAAGTTTTCAGCAATAATGAAAAACCTTTAAAATTTGTTTAAAAAAACTCATTAATCATTATGTTCAATTATGCACCAAGCAGTGAAATTAAGTTAAAATATTTTTTTTTTTTTCAATTTTTTTATTATTCTTTTATAAACAAAAAGAAAAAAGGGTTTCACTCTCAGTGAAAAATAATTTTTAACCAAAACTTTGTATAAGATTTTTTTGATCATGCTCATGTTTGAGATAAAAAAAAAAAAATTGGTTATTTCTTCAAACTAATCCTATAGCTTTTTAACTGTGGTGCCACAAATTTGTCTAAAAAACTCTAATATTAAATCTTCAGTTTAGTTGTGGGTAAGGATAAGAGAAATCAGCTTTAGAGGCAGCATAGCTGTCAATATACTAATTCCTGATCTGCAATTCATATTAATGCCAGGAAGGCCATGGTTTTCATAAATTGTTTTAACAATTTTCTAATGTCATGTTTTAAACTTAAAAAATGGAATTATGGAAATATACAAGTTAATAAAGTGTGGAACCATTAGCGATAAGCATTAAAAAATAAATGTTTAAAGATAAAAAATTTTGTGATCATAGAACTTAATGGTTTTTATTTACTCTTTTTTCCGGAATGCATTTCTTTATAACTCTTAAGTGATCTCTAGTTAGATAAGTGTTTTTTTAAAAAAGTTGTTTTTTTAAAAAATTTGTTTCTTTAATCAATAAAACAGAACACTTTATAAAAAAATTTCTTGGAAAGCCAATTTTTCTTAGCATTTAAAATATAAAAATCCACTAGCTGATAAAAACTGAGTGAAAATTTTGATTTTAAAACAAAAAACACTTCATTAATTATTTCCAGCTTAGAGATTCTTTTAAAATGATTTAATACACTTAATTAAAACAATAAAATTTTGAAACATAAGTAATGATAATCAAAATGAGCTTAAATTGTGAAACGTGAATAATGATAATTCAAAAAAACTTTTAATTTAGAAAATGTAATTATTTAGAAAGTCACACCATTGCCAAAATAGTTGAGTTAGGTACTAGAATTAAATCAATTGTACCAGCACAAGCATTTTAACTAAAAGATCATTAACTTTTCAAAACAAACTCCCTTGTAGGCTACTAGTTCCTTCAAAAAATCAATTAGGGCACGTTAGTTAAATTTGACAAAACAATTTATTTTATTATTTAAAATAAATTAAAGCTGCATCTGTGGAAAAGTACCAATGAAATTATAAAGTAGTTTTCTAAAATAAGCATTAAAAATGAATGCACATGATTACAATTTGATATGTTAATGATTTTTAACCCTCAATCATGAAAAATTTTAGATAAAGTAATTGAATTTGCTAAAATCCACTCAGAAATTACACTGTTTAATTAAATACTGTAGAAAAAATTTACTATATTTTAATAAGAAGAAACAAGAGAAAAAAACGCACATGAAAGTTTTGATGTAACAATTGAAAGTTAGGACAGTGTAGAAATTTTTTAGTTAGTTGGTTTGTACATTTTAAAATCCCTAAATAAAATATTACAAATTAGTCAATTAGGTATTAGTAATTTTTTAGGTTATTAGGTTATTAGTAATTTTCTGACAAAATTAGAAAAGATATTAAAAAGTTTTAAAAATATTGGTTTTTAAAACTTAAAAAACTTTCCTGCTTCGCGCTCAACTTGTTTTTGCACGCAGCAACCTTTTTTTTCCAAATTCATGTTTTGGAGTTATAGAGTTAAGAGAGGGTTGTAACCACATTTACAGTAGCCTCCTCGACTGTAATGACCTTCTCAGCCTTGGGGAGGTGAATTTACATTTATAAAAAGAAAAGCCCTACAAAAAATTTAGCAACAAATTATCATATATTAATGTAAATTAAAACATTCCCCTTAAATTCCTATATCAATTTTGACTTTTGACTCTCAAAAATTGTTGACCACTTTTAACATAAATGTTGCATAACGTTTAATGTTACATTTTGACAACATTAACTCATCATTTAATGTTGCATTTAACACAAATAATGAGAAAGATTAGTGAGGACTGCGTTTTATGCAATTTTTTTTACTTCTATCTTTAAATACTGTGCTTTTGCCAAATAAGCTTAAAACTGAATTTTAATAAAATCATGATGTAGGAATATCACATGCGAATGTGAAGTCATTAGAGTGTTAGGTGTATCTATGGAAATTTTAGGATTTTGGTCCTATTATAGTAATAGTACCTAATACTCAGGAACGAAACGATCAAAAAAACCAAAAAATAACACAATATTTAATTAAGTTTTTCTACTTGAATTAAAAAAAAATGATTTAGGTTCTTTTTTTCAACATTTATTCCAAAGTACCCAAGAAGTCTGATAAAGCAGCACTTTTTAATTGAAGCTTTTCATTACATGTTTTACATTACATCATAACATGTTTGTGTAGATTCTCAAATTAAATTTTTAATGATTTAAAATTACCTCATTCATGTCAATCGAAATGAAATTAAATACTACATCCCTTCCAACTATAGGACTTTTGAACTTTGTTGCAGTGGTGGTATCAATAAGTGTGTTAATACTTAAAATGGTCTGATAAATTAAATTTTATTATATTAATTTGAAATAGTTTGAAAACTTTTTTTTTTTTTTTGAAAACTTGCTTACCTTCATTGTATTCACCTGATAAATATGTTTTGAACAATTGTTGCATAGTAGAGTTATCTCTAGTTATGTATTCATAGTACATCAGTATCTCTTGACAAAGTACATCAGTATCTCCGACAAAGAGGCAACATAAACAGGCTATATGACATATAGCCTGTACATCGTTTACATCTTTTTTACATCTTTACATCGTTTGCATGCTTTTTGTTTTTTTTTTATAGATAAACTTATTTAAATAATATTTTCTTTTAATAGATAATATGTGGTTGAATTGTTGATATATAGATTTGTATGTTATCTATATGTTTTTATAATGTGTGATTGAGTTTTTCATTTAAAGGTTCATATGTATATATATATATATATATATATATATATATATATATATATATATATATATATATATATATATATATATATATATATATATATATATATATATATATATATATATATATATATATATATATAAATGTATATATATATATATATATATATATATATATATATATATATATATATATATATATATATATATATATATATATATATATATATAAATAAATATAAGAGCGATTCTTATAAACTAGCGGCTTTCGACATATTTTTATGATGTATGTTTTTCTTTGTTATTTTGTTATGGTCTCAAAATTACATTTAATTTGGACCGTAGAGAAAACTTTACTTTTCGGAAATTTCGATTTAGATATGGTCTCAAAATTACTTTTAATTCGGACCGCAGAGGAAATATTACTTTTCGGAAATTTTGATTTAGATATGGTCTCAAAGTTTCTTTTACTTTGGATGGTAGAGAAGACTTCACTTTTTAATAATTTTTTTCCCACTTAGTACATCATTTTTACATTATGACTTATATCATTGTTATATTATCCACGGCTAGTTTTTTAACCACTCATTTGGCTTAAAATTATCTGGTTTTATTGCAATATTTAGTTAGTCTTGTTGCAGTGTTTGTTTATATTTATCATGTTTATCAGTATATAAATTTACCACAAATTCTATGCATGAAATTTATCAGACAGATTGCCTTTCCCAACTCCAAATAAATGCTTTAAAAAAACATCTTTTTTTTTGTTCGTGCAAAAAAACTAAATTAAAAATAGCAATATAAAACAGAAAGAATTTTAAAAACTTTTTAATAATCATAACAATATTTAAAAGTTCATTTCTATGTTACTAATAAATATTGGAGTTTAACTAGTAAAATATTTTAGCCAATTATTGACTAATATATTTTGCTAGTCAAACTCCATTATTTATTAGTAACATAGAAATGAATTTTTAAATATCAACTAAGCTAGTAATACATAAATAATGTAATGTGTGTGTTTATATATATATATATATATATATATATATATATATATATATATATATATATATATATATATATATATATACACACACACACACACACTCAAAATCTGTTTCTCAACAATAATACTTCGTTAGATTCAATATAATATTGGAAATTCAACTCAACATTTTCTGTTAGGATTTTCTCAACATTTTTTCTGTGTAAAGATTATTATTGTGAAAAGTCTTAATTGCATAAGTATTATAGTAATTAGTTTGTCATGTCTTGAAATAGAAAACCTTTATTAGGTTGTAATGACCTCTTGTTAAGCCAAACCAAGACTAAATGTTAATTACCCAAAATAAAGCAAGGCAGGAATCTAATGATTCAGTGTGATACAGCATTGAGACATCTTTAATTCTCTAATTTGTCTCAATAACAACTGTTTTATGATTGTCGATGTCTTCGAATAAGGTTTAAAATAATAACCCACAACTTTAGTATTATTGATTCAGTATTTTTTCATTTTAACTGTTAGTAATTAAAATACTATAAATTTAAATGCATGTTTTTAAATTTGGTTTTCATTTTCAAAAAGGATACGTTGTAATTTATGAGTAATCCCTTAATTAGTGACCAACTCGTAGTGGCTAATTTTATTTAGTAAATAAACTTGCAGTATTTTTTTTTATTATTCGGACTCTGAAGGAATTTTTGACTTACCTAGATCATTAAAGTCTTTGTCTTTTAATTTAGTATTTCTCTAAATTTAGTATAGTATTTCTCTTTAGTACCTTTTTTTTTAATATATTTTTATTAATTATTTATCCGCTTTCATAAGAACTTAAAAATATTTTTTTTGCCCCAAAAATAAAGTATTCAGCCGGCTATACTGTCAGCAGCCGGCAATAATAAACTATTAATTTTCTTTAACTAATACAATTTAAGTAATTAAAAAATAGTTTATTGCTATTATTAGATGTAATGTGCATAAAGCATTAAGCTTACATTTTTTTATACAATAAATTATTTACTATTCAGTGGCTAAATGTTTGAGCTGCATTAAAAAGTAAATTTAAAGGTTTTATGCATTTGTTTCGTAAGAATTCAATCGTCCCGGAATTCCATTGAGTGTTTGTGTTTTTCCTTCTTTTTTTGCCATAATAAACATTAAATCGTTTTCTTTTATATTGTTTTTTATTGTCTCGTTTGTTGCCATTTGTTTATTATTTGCTATGTGATTGTTTGTTGGTATTGTATTTGAATTAAGGACTATTTTAGCGTTTATTTCTCTAACTACATTTCCATAAAGAGCAAGATTTCTTTGACGAATGAACTCTAGATATTCACATTCTCTGAATGTCAAGAAACGGTAAATAAACTTCGAGTTTTTTTCACTTCTAACAAGGTAGAAAATATTAATCAAATGAGTTAATATGTACACAAAAACACCAATAATAGATGCAGTAATTGACAGAATCAAAACAAACCATATGACCATTAGCACATATTGATACAAAATATTCGAGGAGATTTCACACAAAACTTTATTTTTGTTATCAATAGCAGATTCACCATCCATTGCAAGCTCGTGTACATCACAATATCCAAAAGTAGGAAGCATTTTATTACCAGGAGTAGGTATTTTTCTTAAATTATAGTTTAAAGCCATAGATGAATTATATTGAAGCCACTTCAACCAATTCACTCCGTAGTCGCGGTATCGATGGTTTAAAATATGATTGAGGAGATTAAAAGTGAATGCATTAATACCAACATAAGCACATTTTATTAAAATGTTTGCAAAAATTCTGTATCTCATTTTACGTTTTGTGTTTAATTCACGATTAAAGTAGTTATCAACAATATCATTGACTTCAGTCTAAGATAAAAATTATATATTTTTATTATGTACTATTACACATTATTATTATTATTAAATATTAGATATTTATTATTGCAAATATGACTAATTAGTTACAAGTAACATTAAGTAAAAATACAAAGGATAAATAAATTTTACTAAAACACTAAGTTAACAAAATTATAAACGATTTTTGATTATTAAATCTTTGGTATGTACCTTAGAGTTTTTTAAATGTTGCCTCAAACTAATTATATCGGCGTTAATTAGTCTGTATAAAACATATGGTAGGTAAAATAAAGTTGATAAACTAGCCATGTAAAATGGCATCCATTGATAATGAGAAAAATAGTATTTTTCCATTGGCGTGCACATCTTGTCTAATTCGTAAAGCTTTTTCCTTGTTTTACACAAGTCCATATTGTCTTTTCTTATGCCATCTATTTCAACATATTGTGGTATCCCATAATATGCAGAACGATCAGCGTAGTTTTCCATTTGTGGGTAAATATAAAACCCCTGGATCCAACATGCTTTATGTACAAAATCTTCATTTATGATTGAATTTTTCGGGAGAGTGCAGAAAACATTATCGCGGAACCAATCAACTCCTATTACTAAACTTGCAACCATAAAGGATTTGGCCACAAAAATTCTTGATATTTGATCACTGTAGCTATCATGTCTGTGTTTAATTTTAATTGATAAAATAGATTTAATACTCCCTGTAATAAGAGACATGCTGTTTGTACTTTAATTTGATTTTATCTGTAAGAGTTTTGTGGCAAAATATTAAATAAGGTTTTTAAAGAATGACAACACATTAATTTTTAATATGTCTTGCAGCAAGAAATTTTTTTAATTATGGATTGATTCTTTCATATTATTCGTGCACTATTAAAGCTTCTTCCATTTATTATTAAAATTTATTTTATTTATTTTTTATTATGCGCAACATTTATTGTTTCTGTAAAAAAAATTTAAAGAATTTTAAAGTCAGCATTTCATAAAATTATTACAAAAATTGTAAAGTAAAAAATTATTGAACTTTATATGCATTTTTTAAAATGTGACGGTGTCATTTATATCGGTAGTTTTAAGGTTATGTAAGAAATTTATTAAACGTATAAGTAATCGAGTTACATATTGCTCATTATATGGTAAGTTAATAATTCATTTGGTAGGTAATTTTAAATTAATTTTTGATTGTTTACTATAGGTTTTAGACGGCTAATGCATACACTTTGAGTCATATGACATTGTGACGTCTTTTTAATTTTCTGGTTTTAAAAGTTGTTCGTGTCAATCGAAATATTACAATAAGGAAAAGATTTAAAATATTAATGTTTCAGTGATAAAGGCGACAGATAGTAATCTGTTTCATTTATGTTAATGAAAAAGGAAAGTTTATTACTCAAGAAACACAATGGAAATTGAATCTTAAAAGTCGTAATTTGCTTCAACAAAACATAGCAATATTTGCATAGCAATGTCCTTAATAACTGGAAGTATAAAATCAATTTTAACGATCAAAATAAAACATCGCCATGATAGTTTTTCTGATCAAATTTCACGAATATTTGTTGCAAAAATGTTCCTTGTTGCTAGTTTAGTAGTCGGAGTTGATTGGTTTCATGATACTGTATTTTGTGTTCTTCCTAAAAATTCAAAAATGTCAGAGAATTTTGTTCACAGTGCATGTTGGATTCAAGGATTTTATATATATCCGCAAATGGAGAGTTTCGTCAACGAGTCTGCATACCATGGAATTCCACAATACGTTGAGCTCGATGGGATTTCAAACGAGGGAAATTTTTTGTGTAAAACAGTAAAGAAGTTGTATAAACGAAATACCAATTGTAATCCTATGGAAAGACATTATTTTGCTCATTTTCAATGGATGCCTTTCTATATTGCTAGCTTAGCAGTACTTTTTTATGTTCCATATTTTTTATTTCGTATAGTCAACTCAGATCTGATTAGTCTCCAACTTCACATGAAGATTTCAGAGGTAATTTTGTTACAGACGTTTCTAATTAATCATTTTTTTTTTCTTCTTATATTAATGTTAATTTATTCATATTAATTAATTTATGTTAATTTATGACATCACTTTATAGATTGATTCTGAGGAGATAGTGCAAAATTATTTTAATCACCACGTTAATTCAAAGTCAAAAATGCGTTTAAGAATTTTTTTTAATGTGATTATAAAATGCATGTACGTCTTTGTTAACTTATTTGCGTTCAAAGTTTTGAATGTCCTTCTCAACGGGCAGTTTATTAACTACGGTATGAGTTGGGCCAAATGGTTGATTCAAAATGCATCTGTTCAGTATGCTAAAGGATTTGCCGCCACACCAGGAAACAAAATGCTCCCCACCTTTGGTTTTTGTGATATTCATGAGTTATCGCTTGATGGTCATTATGCTACAGAAAACAAAAATAAAGTCATTTGTGAAATCTCTTCAAACATTTTGTATCAATATGCAATGGTTCTTCTCTGGTTTGTTTTGGTTTTTGGGATATTTGTTTCCACCGTTGGTTTGCTGGAGAATATTTTTACTCATGTCTTAACTGCATATTGGAAGTCCAAACCTCCGTGTGGATCAAATAATATTTATCGTTATTTAACATTTCGAGAGTGTGAATATTTAGCATATATTAGGAACAAGAATTTTGCGGTATTTGGAAATGTTGTTAGAATTATTGCTGCTAAAAATTGTCTTCTTAAGAGTGTCATTCCACTACATTTAATTGCCCAAAAAGTAGCCAATAACCGCGTTATCACTAAATCGGTTAATGGTTTTAACAACTCGTCGTTAGATGATATTGGGGATTGCTCACCTGAGGAACTGAATTTTTTTCGTAGTACCGATCATGAAATGACCAAAATGAAATTTAAAGATCGAATGAAAGCCGAAACAAAATATGCGCTTTTAGATGATTTGCTTTCCGGTGGTTTATAGAATTATCGCTAATTAAGTTTGAATTTTTACAGTAAAACTTTAGGTTATAATAAAATTGTAGTTTATTGAAATTAAGAATATTGAATTTTACTTTTAGGTAGTCGTAGTTTTTTTTAACTTCACTATTAGGTAGTCGTGGGTTTTTTGAGCTCAAACAAACCTTTTGCCCAAATCAACCTAAAATATCTTAAATTACTCATTGGTCAAAAAATTTTTAATTTTAGTAAATAAGGGTTTTTTATATATTTCTACATAAAAATACCTTGTTATAAAACTCTTTTTTTAAAATAACAGATTCACTCTAGAAAAACACTTGAACAAAAAATACTTTTTTTCGTGATAAAAGAAGAACAAGTTTTTTCTTTAGTTTTGAAAATAAGTAATATTTTGTCTTATATTTTCAAAAGTTAAAAAATCTCGTCGCGCTTAATTCTGCATAAATTTTTTTCTTGCTTTCTGTCTGTTGCCGAAGTTAACAGTAGATAATTTAATTTTTACAACCATCAAAAAATTAAAATATCAATTTAAAAGTATTAACAAAAAAAACTCTTTAGAGCAATATTTCTAAATACCTAGTTTTGAAAAAATTTGTAACTTTCTTGTATGAAGCGTATTTTGTATATTTTCATTTTTAAACAAATTAATTTTCAGCAAACTTGTATACATTTATGCGGATATCTATTGTTGATGTTTGCGGATGATGATGTATGCGGATATCTATTGTTGATGTTTTCCAAAAAAGTTTATTGCAGTTTCTTAATCGATTTAATATTTTTGTAACTCGCAATAGGTGGAATTGGCCATATATTTTTAAGATCAGTATCCTGTTCAACAATATTTCAGAGCTTTTTTATTATTTTATTGATGAGTTTTCCAACTTTTCCAAACGTTGTAACTATCGGTAAAATTCTTTCTTTTTCACTTTCTTCTTTATATTTGTTGTAGATAAGTTCTTGTTGTGTATGTCGTGCTTTTTTAAAACCTTTGTTAATTGAATTGGTAGCCTCGTATAACTAAAATTTGTGCTTGTTGTTTTAGTTATTTTATTAGGTTGTAATTGTTCGATATAATCTTATTTTATATTAACGCTTGGCTATATACTAAGTTGCTTTTTTGATGAGGGTGACGAATGAATTATAATATAACAGTGCTGTTGTATCAGTTGCCTTTTTCTATTTTGTTGTTTTTAACTTTTTTACTATCTTTTATTAAATTTATATTAATCTTTTTAAATTTTAATTTATGAAAAATTTTTTTACGTTCGATTCAAAATTTATATGACCATGTTTAGTTTACAATCCCTAAAAATAAAAGAGTTCCATAAAGTTATGCCCCTGTTATATGGGCATAACTTATTGTACTTTCCGATTACAGGGAATTAAAAGATTTAAAACTAAACTTTTTCAATTCAAAGAGCAAATTTTGACATTTCAAATTTAATTAAAATGATTGTAAAAATACGTGATATGTATTTTATATTTTATTAAATTTAATTCATATATTTTACTTGGTCAATTTTTAAAAAATAAGACATAAATAAGTGTTTTTCGATATTTTCATAAAAGATGTCATGGCAACTTATATAGATCTTTTCAAAAAAAAATTGGTGGTTATAAAGCACGTTTTCAAATAGTTTCGAAAATAAAATTTACCTATTGCTTATAAAACACGTTTTAGAATCGTTTCCAAAATAAATTCACAGTATTTTCTATATTATATAGTTTTTTTGTTTTGCGATATTTGACAACATTGAATTAGATAAAATATGCTAAAAAAACATGATTGAGAACTTTTTTCTTTCGGATAATATTCTCCGTATTTTTATCAGATTTATTATTTTTGAAATTATTACAATTCTTATATGACCATGCTTCAAAAGCGTATTTATAGATTTTACAACACTCGCGCCATTATTTGGATACAGATGAACAAGGTTGTCATTCCTTCTCTTACATTTACAGTTGAATAAGGTTTTCATTCCATTACATTTTTATTATATGTTATAAAACAGAAAATTCTATTTGAATTATAAAACAATTAATTCTGTTATAGCAACCTCCGATAATAAGCACGTCTAATCCAATAATACAGTCATACAGATCCATTCTTGACTTAAAATTTCGTATTTATTACGAAAAATTTTTGAAACACTTTTTTATTTCATATAGAAAGGTTTTTTTAAAGTACCACCATTAGCAGAGGTTAAATCTTTTCTTTAAGTGTACTTTGCAATCTTTAAAAGATACAGTACCCTAATGTGCCACCGTTTGACGAGGTTTAGCACAAAAAAAAACGTTTTTATTGAAGGTTATAAATTATCTTCCTTTTTTTTTATTTTCTTAAGCTTAGTCTTTTCCTATAGCGTTGTGCCCAAATAGAAAAATTTTAAAAAGTTTAAAAGAACAACCAACATTATTTGGTCTAATACCAAGTGTTTTTCTTATAGTGGATTAATTTTTTGTCATTTAAAACTGTTTATAAAGATGTGTTTAATGCTAGCATAATCTTGCCTTTAATATAACATAATACTAATATATTATACTATAATTTAATGATATAAATAATATATATGTATGTATCTATATATACATATATATATATATACATATATATATACATATATATATATATATATATATATATATATATATATATATATATATATATATATATATATATATATATATATATATATATATATATATATATATATATATATATAAAATCAACGACTTGTGTGGGTGAGTCGAACAAAAATGGCTTTTTTTCAAATGTATCAAATATATTTAGATATGCAATCTTCCCAAATACACATCACCTGTAGTATCACGTTCCATTAAGGTAAACTTTACTTTTTAATGGTACTTTTTGACACACATGTACACACACATATGTGTATATATATATATATATATATATATATATATATATATATATATATATATGCAGCCCTCGGAATTAGGGTCGGCATTCGGCAATGCCGATCTAAAAATGTTTGAGATCTCATTTTTCCGAGGATTGTATATGTATCCATTTATGTAAGCATATACGTTTGTATATATAAATTATACAGCTTATACTTTATGTATTTAGCATCATACATATTTGTACTATTTAGCCACAGAGTTCGCCTTACACTGAACTTGCTGAAGCTTATTTTACTTATGATCCAGCTCATTTAAGAGCAGTAGCTAACAAACATCAGTCAGTTTTTCATACGGTATTTATAGTCTTCCAAACTACTCTTTGTTATTAGATTAAGTTATTAAAGAACAATTTTTATAAGTTTTCGTTTATATTTTTTTTAGACTTTGTAAATGATTTTATTAATTTTTTGTTTACCCGTATAAATACAAAACAGGTTAATGCACCAATTGTATTATTGTTTCTACACTCCTCATTTCTTATATTGAATTTTTTAATTTTTAATTCTTATAAATATTTTTTAAGGATAAGAATATTGGACTTGTAAAACAAGTAATGGCTTCACTCGTTAAAAAACGAATACAGAAACTAACGAAGGTTTTGTTTATAAATATATGTAATGTTTGTTTTTATTATTGTATATGCTATCGTGTCAATGTTTTTTTGTATCTATATCTTTTTATTTATTTTTATCTATGATTGTCAATGTTTTTTTGTTTTTTTTGTATCTAGACATTTCTTACTTTATCATTATCAAATATGGCAGCCAGAGTTAATCTTAGGGATGCTTCAGAAGCCGAAAAGTTTCTTTTAAACATGGTGCGCGTATATACATACATATATACATATATATATATATATATATATATATATATATATATATATATATATATATATATATATATATATATATATATATATATATATATATATATATATATAACTTTGTTTTAATGATTTAGATAGCAGAAGGAACTATTTTTGCTACTATCGAGCAAGATGTTGCTATGGTATCTTTTCATGATAATCCTCAAGATTACTACTCTGCCGAATTTTTTTCAAAGTTTGATTCTGAGGTAATTTAATAATAATTTATAATGGCTCTTTTTTAGTAAATGTCCAGTTTTTTTAAAAGTTTTTGGCCACTATTAGTATCTATTAGTATCTATTAGTATCTATTAGTATCTATTAGTATCTATTAGTATCATATTAGTATCTATTAGTATCTATTTGTATCTATTAGTATCTATTTGTATCTATTAGTATCTATTAGTATCTATTAGTATCTATTAGTATCTATTAGTATCATATTAGTATCTATTAGTATCTATTTGTATCTATTAGTATCTATTTGTATCTATTAGTATCTATTAGTATCTATTTGTATCTATTAGTATCTATTTGTATCTATTAGTATCTATTAGTATCTATTAGTATCTATTAGTATCTATTTGTATCTATTAGTATCTATTAGTATCTATTTGTATCTATTAGTATCTATTAGTATCTATTAGTATCATATTAGTATAAGTTTAGTTATTTTATGTGACTTTTTGAAGTTATTCTTTACAGATTACCAACTGTATACATTTGAATGAACGTTTACAAATTATGGATAGAGAATTGCAAACCAACCCGCAATATGTCCAAAGGGTGAGTTAAGATTGAACAAGCAATATTCAATATTACGGTGGATTTTTTGTATTTGTTGGTTGCGTATCAATAACTAAAAAATATTCTTTTTCACCTGAATTAAAAATTTACAACTTTATCAAAATTTACAAGTGTCTTTTAAAGAATGAATATTTTTGCCTTAATAAAGCAAAAATGTTCATTTTTAATAATAGTGTTTGTCTAAAAATAGTTTTTGCTAAAATAAACACAAATTCATTTCTTCATTATTTTTTGTATCTAAAAGTTGATGATATATTTAGATGTTAAACCTAGCTCAACTCGATGATGCAGGGAGAAGCGATGAAATTGTTGGTTAGAAAAATGAAACACGATAATCAGTCAAAGAATGTATTGGAATTTATATTTTTCCTAATATCTTGAAAACTTTTTTTTTTTCATACTTTACATGTAATAATTTATTTTCGAATAGCCTAGTTAAGGAAATTTTTATTTAGAGATCACCAAGCAGCAGTTTTTTAAGTTCTATTTAGAAGTGGTCGGTGCCTTCAACTCTAATTATTTAAGTGATTATTAATCCTTAGTTTTAATAACACCAAACAAGAAACTATCATCGGTTGGATGCAAAAAACCGTCCTACCATCGGTTGCTTCAAGTATCAGTTTTAGAGATAATAAACCAGCAGTTTGTTCAAGTGTCAAATTTTTGAGCTCGCCAATCTTTATTTTTTTCAAATGTCGATTATTTTAAAGACCATCAGCCATGCGTTTTTTAGTGAATTACTTAAGCTAGACTTATCATAAGATGGTGAACGACAAACTTAATATTTTCGTATTACATTTTTTGATTTATTATTTGTTATCTGATTTATTTTTGTCAATAAAAATTAAAAAAAAAAATTTCCAATTTTCATTTGACAAAAATAAATCAGATGAAAAATAATAAATCAAAAAATGTAATACCGAAATATCAATATGTCGTTATGCTAACTCTAGTTAACCTTTTTTAGAGGGGCAAAGGGGTGGAGTGGGGGAATTAAGTTAATAACAAAAAAAAACTAATCAAAGTTCGAAACTAATACTACAAAGATTGATCAATGCATCAACAAAGGTAGATTTTTTGTAGCAAACCACTTCTTAAAAATCAGGTAGAAACTATTAAAAAAAAAAATTTCTGTTTTCTGTTCACCAAAAATAAACCATTAAAAAGATAAAAAAAAAAAAGTTGAAACAGAGACGGTATCTATATTCATATCTGAGCTCGAAAACCAGATGACAGACAAAAAGAAAGTGATCGAATACCTTTAACAACGCTTTTAAAAAAAGACTCGTATTTCAAAAACGTTCATTCACAAGGGGAAATGTTTTATAAGAAAGTACACAAAACATTTGAATTGTCGTCGTTGTTTGGAAAATAATGAATCTAAAAGACTATTTTCTATAAGCAAAAATTAAGAAGCATTCTCGTATTTGATTCCGTAGAAGATTATTACAAAATTATGAAAATTCTGGTTTTAATGTTAATGACAATATTTACCTCATATCAAACTACTTGCTCCGAATTAGTAATGATTTGTATTATTTATTTTATTATTTATCGTTTTTTAATATTCATCAAGTGTTTGCAAGATTATTTTAGAGTTCTAAAAGCTGTATTATTTAACACCCCCAGTAAACATTTTTACAAGGCAAAAATACATTAAAATACCAAGAGAAAATAAAAATTTCACTTGAGATTGTTTTCTTCAAGAGTTTTTTTGAAAATTGTTCGCTGCTGCTTTGCATTTCAACATTAAACTGTTTGTACTATAATTTAAGTATCTTCACGAATTATATTTTCTGAAATTTTAATTTTAACTTTCTTCTTAACCTGGATTAGGTTTTTCATATTTAGTTTATGGATCTTACATAATTTCTTTATGTCATCTAAAAATGAATGTTTTACTGAACAATTGTTTAGCTGAGAATTAATGATTTCAAGTTATTTTTTAATAGACAGATAACTAAGTTTATTTTGTTGTATGTACATTGATATCTCCCGAACTTTAAATAGAGAGTATGTATGGTTTTTGCTATACTTGGATACATTGAAAAAAGAATTAACTTTATTTCCTCCAATTTTATCAATTATTTAACTCTCTATTTTTATAGAATTCCAGAACACGTGTTAGCGTTGGAATTGCTAAAGATCTATATATCTGGATATAGAAGATGGGAATGCAAATCGTATATAGAAGATGGGAATGCAAATCGTATATAGAAGATGGGAATGCAAATCGTATATAGAAGATGGGAATGCAAATCGTATACCAGATTAAATCAGAGTTTACACAGTTGTTTGGAAATTTGATCTATTTAGTGAGGCAAAAATCCCAAATGAAGTCCAGATGATTAAGTTTTGGTATTATTTGATGGTCGTCTAGGGTTATCTTACAATTAGTTACTTGATTCCGGAGAGCAAATTTCCGTTTTGAAAGCATTGAGTTTTATGCCGTTTAAGTTACTGCAAACATTACACGTTGTTATAAGTCTTTCAAGACCAGATAAAGTAGAGCTAAGCAGAATGATGTTGTCAGCATTTTTAAATCATACCTAAGCGATATCCAGAGCGAACTAAAATACAAAGAACTACCAAGAACTTAATATTGCTCTAAATTCCTTAAAATTAAATAAAACTCCAGGTATAGATGATATCTGTAGTAGGGTAGTGGCAAATGTCTTTACAACAATAAATAAACCTACATTTGAAATTTTTAAGTCTTTGATTAAAACAGGAGTTGTACCGGGCAAGTTAAAAGTAGCTAAAGTAGTACCAATATTTAAAACAGGTGAATCATACTTAATTAATAACTATAGACCTATCTCGGTACTCCCTACCTTTTCTAAGCTTATCGAAAGAATAATCTATAACAGATTGTATGAGTATTTAATCCAAAATAGAATCCTAAATAAAAAGCAATTTGGTTTCCAAAAACAATATTCAACTGAACACGCAATCCTAGATCTAGTTAACAAAATAAGTGATTCTTTTGATAAAAAACAGTATGTTCTAGGGATCTTTATAGACCTGTCGAAGGCGTTTGATACTGTAAATCACAATATCTTACTTAAAAAAATGGAAAGCTATGGGATAAAAAACATAACCCTTGACTGGTTCAAAAACTATATTAGTAACAGACAACAATGTGTCTTTTCAGATAATTATAAACACTCAAAACTACTAAGAGTTGAGTGCGGTGTCCCCAAAGGTTCCATTCTTGGACCTCTTCTTTTTCTTCTATATATTAATGACCTTCAGATAATTATAAACACTCAAAACTACTAAGAGTTGAGTGCGGTGTCCCCCAAGGTTCCATTCTTGGACCTCTTCTTTTTCTTCTATATATTAATGACCTTACAAAAACCTCGGAAAAACTTGATGTACTTATGTTTGCCGATGATACAAACTTATTTTATTCATCGAACTCAATCAAAGACCTTTATGAATGTATGAACAAAGAGCTTAAAAGATTAAATTTATGGTTGAAATTAAATAAGTTATCACTAAATACACAAAAAACAAAATACATATTGTTTCATTCCAAAAAACAAAAAAAGAATATACCAACTACCCTTCCCTCACTAAAAATAGATAAGGTAAATATTGAAAGAACAGAAACAACTAAATTTATTGGGATACTAATTGACGAAAATATATCTTGGAGAGCCCATATAAGTTCAATTAACACCAAAATTTCAAAAAATATTGGCATACTCTACAAAGTTAAACCTATGTTATCCCAACATAATCTTAAATCGCTTTATTTTTCTTACATCCAAAGTTATCTTACATACGCTAATATTACATGGGCAAGTACACACAAATCCAAATTGAGTACTATTTGCATAAGTCAAAAACATGCATCAAGATTAGTTTATAATAAAGATAAACTGACCCATGCTGAACCCTACTAAAAACCTTGAATGCACTAAATGTTTACCAAATCAACATCTACCAAAATGTTCTATTTATGCTTAAATACAAACTTGGACTAGTCCCATCGCATTTCTTAGATAATTTCTTTCAAGTAAACTCTAATAGGTATATGACAAGAGCAACAGGCAACTTCACACTGCCCAAAAGAACAACAAAGTTCTCACGGTTTTCTATTTCCTACCGGGGTCCGTACCTATATAACAAAATCATATCCAAAAATATAGAACTTGAAGTATTAGATAATGCTGCCAACTTGAAAAATAAATTAAAACACCTCATACTTAATACCAACAATTATATCGACATGTATTAAACTTAACATTAAAATATATATTAAAATATTTAGGTGTATCACTGATTGTATATTGTTTAACCACTTTTGACTAAATATAAAAATAAAATAGACTTTATTTAACCTTTTAAATAGGTACTAGATGATAAGTCTTTATAGACTTCTACGAGTTTTCCTTTACAACAACATGTATATTATTATTATTATTATTTTTATTTGCCAGAATATGTACAAGGTAAATTTACATTGAATATATTACCGGCAGGACTTCTAGAAGATCACAGGATCTTATCATGAAGCCCTTTATAATCTATATAAGAAAAAGAATACAATATTCTAATATTCTTCACTGTCAATATAATAAACAAAATAAAGTATAAATCAAAATAAATAAAAAAAAAAACAACTTAAATACTAAAAATAGATATAAATATTTTGTGTAGAAAAGATAATTTCTTTTACTTTCCGTTTAAAAGAAAAATAAGACCATTAAAAAGAAAAATCGAAATTAGGTAAAATTATTTTATTCCAAAGAGAAGGACCACGATAAGAAATACAAAACTGGTCAAATTTAGTTTGGCGAAATGGTTCTTCGATACTTTTACTGGAACAAAGATTATATTTGTTTTTAGGTTTCAAATTATAAAGATTTATAAATACATTAGGTTATATATTTTCTTTACATTTAAACATAAAACATAAAATATTCAAAACATTTAGTTCGTAAATATTCAACACTTTCACTTCTTTAAGAAGTGGTGTTGAGCTTGAAAAACGATTCGCAAAATTAATTGTGCGAGCTGCGTGTTTCTGATGTCGATAGAGAGATTTAAGTTTGGTTTTGTGAGCGTTTCCCCATATTATATTTGCATAATTTAAATGGCAATGAATAAATGAATAATATAGTTGTGTTAATTGATGTTTATTTAATATATTTCTAACTTTATATAGAACTCCAATGCTTTTAGCAATTTTTATTGAAATATTATCAATTTGTTGCCTCCAAGATAAGTTTTCATCTATTATAACTCCTAAGAATTTTGTATTTTTTTCTCTTTTTATTACTGTACTGTCAATATATAAGTCAGGCAAGATATTTTGAATTTTCTTTTTTTTAGAAGTTGGATGAAAAAGTATCCATTTTGTTTATTGGTATTTAAAGACAACCTATTTTTTTTTGAACCAATATGAAATATTTTTAAGTTCCTCATTCATATTGTTAAAGAGTATTTTAATGTCTTCGTTTGACTGAAATAAACTCGTATCGTCAGCAAAAATTATAGTCGCTAAATTAGAAGCTTTTTAAAGATCATTTATGTATATCAAAAATAAAAGTGGCCCAAGTATGGATCCTTGGGGAACACCACATGTTACACTCGTTAAAAATTGAGGCGAAGATTCTTTGTTATAAACAAATTGTTTACGGTTACTTAAA